TGATATGCTTAGCGGTGTTTACTGGCTGATAAATGGCAATGGTTTTCTTAAGAAATAAAGGAGATAATATTCAGTGGATGTACATGTAAATATATTTAGCTGGCAGCATTAGTCTGGTTATGCCTCAGTTTATTTTATTTCATTAATACCATTATACATCTGTTTCAATCTTTCTTTAGCTGTTTGAGAAGATGTGTGTACATTTAGCTGGCAGCACAGCAGAGGCACTGATCTTCAATCACCACTCATCAGGTACGATACTTCAATATTTAAAACTAACAAAATTAAGTATAAACGAGACTAATTTTTCTTATTGTAGTAGATTTGACAGTGTACATTCACATGCACACTTTTGTTTCAGCTGCAGAAAAAGACCTGGACATTGTCAAAAAGCTGGCCTACTTACAAGTCCGAGAGTTTGGGATGAATGACAGTGTGGGCCAGATCTCATTCCATTTTGAAGAGGGTGATGAAACAATGCCCAAACCTTACAGTCAGTATATGGAGAACTTAATTGACAGGGTGAGGAAATACTGGAAATTTTACATTTACAATTTATTCATGTTTTACAGAGTTCAAAGTCAAAAGGTAAACATTATTGACATATAAAGCATACTGAGGGGCCCTGTATGACTTGGTCAGTTATCATACTGACTTTGATATAACAATTTTATTTCATATCCTCATGTCCACAGTTAACACAACTAACTTTGTTTCATCAGCTCAGAATATTTTGTTTTATTATTAACAGGAAGTAAGAGCATTGGTATCAAAAGCTAGTTTACAGTCAAAGAAAATCTTGGAAGAAAATATGGATAAAGTACACAAGGTAAAATTAGTTAAATTAATGAATGTACAGTGAAGACAATGTTCTGATTAGTGCTCACAGGGATCTCTCTCTCTCTCTCTCTCTATATATATATAGTTAAGTTTTGGTGATATCATGATTTACTGCCCAGAAAACAATGACAAATTTGCTGCAATATGAATCAATTAAGTACACACATTGTAAGTGAGGAAAGTAGTCCACTTTGGATTATTCAGAAAACAAATTCTGTTTGCAGGTTGCTAAAGAACTTATGGAAAGGGAGACTTTGTCATATGAAGATATTGAGAAGCTCATTGGTCCACCACCCCATGGAAACAAAATGCCAGAGGAATATATGAATTTAAATGTGCCATCGAGTGAAACACCTACCCCTCAAACCATATAAATTTTGACTTATTATCTATTGAATCTTCAATTGTCTTTCATGTGCGAGTGAGGGTGTGAACAAGAGAGCTTTGTAGGTTATTTATATCTGTTTTTAATGTTACAAGTCTGAACTGAAAAATAAAAGTTAAAAAAAATGTAAAAGTATTAGTGTTATAGGATATAGATAAGAATACTTACAATGGAGCTATTCATTTAATACACAATACATTCAACTTTAATCTCAATTAAAAACACATGACAATATATAAATAGTATAGGATATGTGCTTTTTCTCCCAGTTTGGCAATATGAAGAAACTGTGACCCTGTTGATAGAAGTTATGGCAAATTTGTAAGTAAAAAATTGGAAAGGAATTTATCTTATAAATTCATTTTCAAGATTTTATGGCATGTTACTGCATGTGGTTTTTGGCTAATTATCTTTTTATTTCCGGAAACTAATCAATTGTATGAATATAGGAAACTATGGAGTAACAAAAAGAATGGACTTCATTCTTCAGGAAATGATCGAAAGATGTTCTTAATTATACCCAGGCCTCTTCCTGTCTGGATATAAGTAAACAAAAAGCGCTTTTTGTCAATGGTGATTATGGCGGTTGTTTTAATTTTTGGAAGTTAAATAGAATCCCAGGAAACAGCCGATTGAATGAAAAGTTGTCACAAATAGTGAAAATTGTAACATATTTTAAGGGAAAAATAATATTCTATATGCTGTCTACTTTCGCTAGTACTTGTATATTGTTGTAGGTTTATTGTATACTTTACTAGCGTATTGAGCTATCTGGAGTTTGGGGACAAATCGCAAAGAAAGTATAGCTGTATACAATATTTAGCTGAATTTACTGCATTTTTAAAAACATTGTGGCAACCTAATCGGAAACTGGAAATATGTATTGTCAAGGATATTTTAAATTTAACTGAGTGACAAATGAAAAAAAAAAAATAAATAAAACACCATATGGATAACCGTCGTATGGCAATTGTAAACTTTCAAATTTATGGAATTGGATAGAGAATAATGGACGGGAATTTTTCCAAACAACAGAAACTGAGAACTGAGTGTCGTAACACGAAAATAAAACCTATATTTTGTATGTGATAGTCAGAATGTTTGTTTGTGTGCGGTAGGGGCGATGGGGTGACAGTCTTATAGGACTGCTTTCCTCAGATAAGCTGCCGTACTCTTCCTATCCACTTGGATTCATGTTTCCTGTCTAAGTCCACAGTCTTTCTTAGCAATAGGTTACACTGCTGTATAAATTAATGATGAAACTGAAAAGGGGGGGGGGGCGGATCCGTATATGAAACACTTTTGAAAGAAGAGAGAATATTTCCAATCATTAAAAAAGTCCCTCAACACCTTTGATGAATATGACTTTTTTCGGTCTGTCCGTTTTATAATGACCATCCGCCAACATAAAAATCCGTCCAAATTGAATTATAGGTGTGTTCGACATGGAGATAAAGTAAAAATCAAGTCAGCCTTTAAAATTAAAGCTATATATGGCGTATCTGAGCTAAAAAATAAAAATTAGAGATTGAGTGTAGATGAACATTTTGTTATTTGCGTTCAGATTGAATTTTCACCGATTTTGAACTTGAATAACCCCACATTTCTATTGTTAAATTGACTTTAAACTGTGTCTGCTATTTAAATGTGGAGTCGGTAAATAAATCGGTTATTGTTTTAAATTTCTAATATCTATGAAATGCGATTGATCTAAATTGTGTAATTTACAGGAAAGTCCTATCTTTATACAAAGTAATAAAACAAATAGAAAGATCTTTTTAATTTTAGTTAGTCTGAACTTATAAAAAAAAAAAATACGCCATATATGACTTTAAATGAGTTTAGGTCAATTTTAGGTAAAATATAAAACATGCAATGAAGAAATTATGTCTGTATTCATCAACCATGTTTCCTTTTACGACAGGTCTTCATCCTGACAACATTTACATGTATTACAAAAATCAGGCGACGTTATTCATATAAACAGGTACAATGCAATATAGAGTGGAGAACTCTGAACTATTTGAATTATTCAAGTGTGGGTGTGTTCAGAGATATATATTAAATAATACAGTTTTAATTATAATAAGCTAGATTTTAACATAAATCCCCATCTCCTTGAACTTGTTTCTTCTTAAATAATCACAAATAAATAAATTTAAAAAAATAAATAAATAGAACAATTAAAAAGGAGGGTGAAAAAATTATGAAATGTAAAAAAAAAAAATTTAGATATAACGTTGCTTTATAATTTTCGATTTAGATTCTAAATCATTGGTTTGTGTTCAAAACATTCATCGTTTACAAATGTACTTATTAAATAAGAACCTAGCTGTTACAGAAAGAATAAAAAATTGTTTGTTTTTTTTTTTAATTGTGGTAGTCATGCAGATGGAAATTATTATACATAATGAAATGAATCCGTAGTAGGAAAGGAGAAATGCATGAAGAAAACATATGGCTGGACCGGGAATCGAACCCGGGACCCCTGCATTATTAGTCAGGTGCTCTAACCACTGAGCTATCCAGGTTATATCCACGGTCCGTAAATCCCAAACTTCTACAGAATCTAACAACTTTTTAAAATTCTGATCTTTTAAATCAGTATTTGAGTGAGACTGCATCCCGTATTATTCATAGTCTGTTCCTCCTATTATGCATGGTCAAAGACTGACTTCTTTACAATTCTTCTGGAATAATATAGAATTAGATAACTCTCTATTGAACAATTCAATTACCTGATAAACTTAGACGCAGCCCGGGCAAGAAATTTCATATTAATTATCAGATTTATCTAATTAATATTTTGTTACACATCATCTCACTTTATACCTCAGCATGTGCTCTTCATCAACATTTGCCCCCTCCCTTTTCAATGCGCTTTTTTTCTTTTTATATCTGTTGTTTCTTTGCAATCTTTCAGAATTTGCCTTTAGGGCTTATATCGTGTTATAATGATATAATGAGTAATACTTCTGTGTATGATCAATACTTTTACTTCCTTTTTTCTTTCATCGTCTTTTTTTTTTAAGTCTGCTTAATAGATTATATATATAATACCCATCATTGTTCTATATATACATATAGTACACTAGTCTTGTAACCTTGACTCTCTTGAAGCGGACTTGTATTATAGACAATGTCTGATGTCCAGTCAATTTATGTCTTTACCATAATAAAATATTCATTAAATTAATAATATAGGATAACAATAATTCGTCTCTCTCTCTCTCTCTCAATTTTAAGTCGGGAACGAAATCCTTCTATTATATAACCATTCTGCAACGAAATATTGTATATTGAATGAAGTTGATGACGGTCATGTGAGAACACAGCCAATGTTACATTTTGTAATTATGTCTGTATTTTAAACAGTTTAAAGGAATTCTTATTGCCACTAAAGGTCAGAATGTAGCCCTTTCTACTTTAAAGAACTTATTTTACTGAATTAACAACATTCCTTATAGCCTACTTTTGGTTTAATCAGCTGAGAATGGTTTGAATATGAATTTGAGATACGTATAAATTCATAATGCTCTATGTAGCTTTGAAGAACAGACAGAAATTTCAGACAGACAGATATATGTTGATTATTATGTCTATAAATATATCTAATTAGCAAGACCAAATTCAACTGCCGCTTACTTAGTAACTGTCACTCAGAAGGAATAATGAGGTCTAAATATATTGCTGACCTTGGGCTCAATCATTCAATGTAGAAAGTCTCGTGACGGTTGTGTTCATGTCTGTGACGAAAAACAGTGCATACAGATGATACACAACGACCCTTATTATTAAATGTTCAGGAAATGATAAACAATTGTTAAGTTCGAGGATAAAATGTTTACACCTAAGAGATACACTTATGCGATGTAAGTATGAAAAAATTACATTTTTGCACTGAATTTTTAAGAATAACCTAAACCTGGTTCAAGAGAATATGGGATTGTTATTTAAACGGTAAATGTGTTTTGGAAGAGTAACAAATATATACCTTATTTTCTTTACAATACAAAGAAAAAAAATGTACAAATTATTAATTCAAATAGATCGACTCATGACTGTAATAAGATACAACAGATCACATATTTTTCCGAAAGAGGCCAGGATTCATTTATTGTATTTATTAATTGTACCCTCTATATATATATGCCGAATAAACATGACAGATGGCATGAGAGCTGAGAGAGAGAGATAGGGGATAGTTTGAAAAATATTCCTATGGTCAAAATCCTATTTTTTCCGGGAGAAAATTAAATATATGTAAATAAGAATGGGTACATTCTCGTAAGGGCAACGGGTACAATTAATCTTCCATGTGAGCCTAGAGGAGTTAGCGTTTCAAGGGAGTGTGTGTGTTTGTGTGGGGTGGGGGGGGGGGGGGGGGGCTAGAGTCTGATTTGTTAATTCACTAATACTAAAATACGTAGAGTCTTGCCCTAGTTCCCTTCCTGACTTCAAAGTGCTGTTATTCCCCTTTGACTAATACCAGGACACATGTATATATATTTATTAATAATATGCATTTACCATAAAATTTTGATCGACTTCGCTGCAGTGAAAGCTGGTATTTTTGGAGAGGAGTTTCCGTTGATATGTATGTTATATTGTAATGCTTTATTTCAGGCCATGGTGGAATTTAGGAGGAAAAATTGACAGTGGTTTTGTGTATGCGATGGCCAAAAAAACTGAATCACGCGAACCTGTGTTACTGGATGCCGCCGAGGCTTCAGATGACGAGACCAAACCTATATATTCTGATTCTTACCGGGTATGTACATGTAGATATCATTATTTATATATCGTTTTTTTTTAAGCCGGGAAAGGAGAGTAAAGAGTTGAAATTTAGATAATGGTTAAAAGGTATATATGCTACTTAACGTATAAAAAATGCACTGATAGATAAAATGCTTTTATGGAGAGATTACCTATTTTCACGTCTATTTTTGGGGGTTGGGTGTGGGTGTGTGGGGGAAGGGGGTTAAAATAAAAGGAAGGAAGGGAAGGAGCGGGTGGTCCGTCATTTATGTTTTAACATGCTTTTTATATCATCAGGGTCTCTCCTATGCCCCGAATGTTGCTTATATAAGGAAACCGCCAAAGGATTTCCGAGCAGGAGTTCTACTTAGTGCCATTTTCTGTTTTTTACCACTGGGTTTATTTGCGTTATATTACTCATGTAAGGTAAGCATAAACCTTTTTGCTATAACTTAGAACTTTCATATGTTCACAGGAAAGAGCTTAAAATATGTTTCAAAAGACAATCTAGATGGGAAAAAAATATATGCTAGCTTATTGTCTGTTCAAATTATTTTTTAATATAAATAATAAAATATAGTAAATGATCTTTTCAGGTTAATAAATTGTACCAGGTAGGCGATCTATCGGGTTCCAAAAAGGCCTCGGAGAAGACACGTTTTCTAATAAATTTAACCTTACTACTAGGCTCTTTGCTATGGTTTGGTGGAATAGTGGGCGTGATTTTATTTGCCAACAGATTTCACTGATAAATTTTTTTTTACCTTCTCTAGTAAAATATTTTTCACAATTTGCATGAAAACATCAGTCCTCAGAATGTCTTTGGTAGCTAGCATAAATCTCAGATCATATTAGTTACTGTTTGGTTTTTTTAATAACAATATTTATGAATTTATCCCAAGATATATTTCATGCGCGGATCTGGGGGGGGGGGGGTCAGGGGGTCCAGACCCCCCTGGAATTTGCAGTTATTAAAAATATATACTGAAACAAACATAAAATGACTTTGGAACCCCCCCCCCCCCCTGAAAAGGTGGATCCCACCATCACTACCACGAAATAAGTGTTTTTTCACGTTGGGGAAATGCATTTCACATTGTTTTCTTTTTTTTTTTCTTCTTGCCAAGAAATTTTTTCTGGGTTCAATACGTTTGGAAAGGGAATTTAGTTTTTTTTTTCCTTGTCAAGGAATTTTTTGGTTGGAATTTTCTTTTGACCGGGATGGACCCCCCCCCCCCCCCCCCCCGGAAAAAATTCCTGGATCCGCGCCTGTTTTTAAAGCTACTGTTTATATAATCGGACCTGTACTGGTGTTTAAAACCTTTAAAATGCATTGATATTATATATTGTAGTAATGTAAATGTAATGGTATGTCGAATAACAATCGGTGCAACAACCACTCAGCCAGAAACTCAAATCCTGCTAAATACTTGCATTTTATGTTCACAATATATATGTATACAATGTACAGTCAAACCTCGTTATCTCGAACTCAATTGGACCCCGGAAAAACTTAAAGATATCCGAGGATTCGAGATATCCAGGGTGAAATACATAAAAGAATAAGGGGTTTGGACTTCCAAATCACTTTGACATATCCATGGTATTCGAGATATCAGTGTTCGAGATACCGAAGTTCAACTGTAATTACACATTACATATACTAGTATACAATACGTGTACACAATACATTACCTCACAATAAGAATCTTTCTACGCATTTAAAATACCTTATCTACAAAATGTCAGCTGATGTATTTCTATTTACATTATCATTTACTTGTAAATTAATTAATTCATTTTTTTTTTTTAAATTTTTTTATTTCATTTGAATGCACCGACACATTATATTTACATTATCATTTACATCTTGTAAATTAATAAATTCATTTTTTTTTTAAATTTTTTTTATTTCATTTGAATTAAATATACAAATGTACATGTACTTCAAAGACTTTGAATTCCCAGATAACACAGGTGTTTAGCATTGAGTACTATATGTGTATATACATTGATGACATGATCTGTTCATATTATTATACATTTACACATGTGTAAATAATGTTTATTTTTTATTATATTTGTTATTAAAATAAAGAAAAAGAATCTCTTTTTCTGTTCCTTAATTTTTTTTCAGGAAAACCCTCTCTTATATTCTCTACAAGAAATGACATTTCTTATGTTATATTTCCCCTTAAAAACATACAGAAGGGGTGGAATGAGTGTCTACAGATTCGGAAATAAATTTGACATCTTACTTTTTACACAAAGGTTTTACAAACAATAGGCAATAAATCAATATATTTGTAAACATTGTTCAAAGAAATTGAAAGGGGAAAAGTCTAGTTGCTGTTGTAATTCCACAATTAAATTTTCTTGCATTTGATATCAAACATGGCCTAAAATAAATTTTTGATATAGATCTTGAAACAAGCACTCGAATGAAAATGTCTGAAATCTCGCTGCTCATCGAATTCGATCATCTGGGCTCCAAGAATTTCTGTTATTATATAGGCAACCTGCATCATAAACATTTTTTTTAAATTTCTGAATTAAAAATAAAAATCTTAATGCATAAATTTTATCTCTGCATTTCCAATTTCAATTTTACTGAGGTTTATAACAATACCTACCTAGTCAGTACTTAAGACTTTCATTTCACGTGGGGTATGCAAAGGCGCCACAAATACCCATTCTGAGAAAGAAAAGAAATATTTTACTCCTTCATTGTCTCGTACAACTTATCTTGATACATTTAATGAAAAATTTTATCAACTTACTTGTTCGTTGTGATAATTTTTTCAACAACAGCACCCTCTATACCTTCTCTCTTTTTCTTCCGAAAGAACCAAAATGCGAGAACACCCAGGATAAAAGGTTACATGCTAGCAAGAGCGGCAACTGCAAAAGATCGATAAATAATTTATTTTTCAAAAGTCCACTGAATGCATGTTAATTATTACTCCTGCCACTGGCACCAAAATAAGTATTTTCACATGTGTGTAACTTTTTTATTCCGTTGACATAATAATTTCTTCGCATCTTTCCAAATCACGCAACAATGCACTAACCATTTGTGTGAAATTATTACAGAAGCTGAAAAAACCGATGGTAGACCAAACATCTTTAAAATCAAGAGCTGATGCTGAGCATTTCAATTTTGTAATTTTTTTAAACAGTGTTTAACGTCGTGAATCACTACAAAATGTCATCGCACAAATTAATTGTAGCATCCCATTTGGGTCAAAAGCTGTACTTCTTTTCAGACGCACCATGATGCCGATGTTGTTTACCGAATCTGCAGAAGTAATCTATACAAATATATCTCTGCAGTTTTAATAAATCGCTCTGTATTATCATACTTTTGTTGTAAAGTCCTTTGATTTTTAGATATATACGCATGTTCTTTGTAAGATATATATCCTCACGACTTCACGAAAGCTTTCCTAAAAAAATATCTACCTTCACGTCTTTTCCAATGGACGGGTCAGTCTCGCTATAATGAAGGTCGATTAGAAGATTTTGATTATACCTAAAAACTTACATGTCCAATGTAATGTTGTAAATTTAGAATTTACTTGTTTGTCAATACAAAATTTACAACAACCACTGCCTACTCAGTGGTTCAATGCATATAAACCAGCAGTACGTTGTCAATGCAGATTTTTTGAAGTCCGAGTCGGTACTCATTTCCATTTTCGATATTCGGACACTATCTTACATTTCTGAAACTTCTCAGCAAAATTTTATCTGAAACGGATTTTTCGCATTTAACATCGCCTAAAACGTTAACCTTAACGTTGATATAGGAACCCAGAAATGACGGTAAAATATTGAAATTTACTTTCTTTACACATGTCGAAACCGTCGTGACAATGACAAAGGTGGGGGTGGGGTTGATTAAGACAGTTGGCTTTTGTGGAAAGGCCTCTCTAGTTGCATAGAATTGAAGTTTACTTTTTTCCAAAAGTAACACCTGATCAGTCGTGTTGTCAGGAACGTCGTTCACAAGCAAGCGCAAATAAACAGAAAAGGTTGAATACATCGTACAAAGCAACTGAAGCAGTCGATCGGGAAACAATCGGAACGAAAACCTATATAATTCAGTCATCTAATATTGTTCCATCTTACTTGGGTGACGGACAGAATTTGTTTTAAGTATTTACTTGTTTACGCAAGTTGCATACGGCATTTGATAGTAACTTCGCTGCAAATTTTTCTTAAAGTGCCCATATACATTTTCTAAAGTAACCCTGAACATTGGTTCCAGAAAATTACACAGCCTCTGATCACAAGTAATATTTGTGTGAAGTATGAAGTTCCAATTTTTGTCCATTATAAGTTATTGAATGGACATGAATTTAACACTTTTTCTTTGAGTGACTATGAACTTGCCGAAATAACCTTGAGTAAAGGTTATGACATATCCTAAGCTCGAGAGTAATCTTTGTTTGCAATACAGCATCCAATATGCTTCTATTAACTGGACACAAATTGATACTTTTTTCTGCTAATGACCTTGAGTAAAGTTCATGACATACCTTCACGGCTGTGAAGTACTAACTTTCATTGTGTCTCTGTTAGAAAGTTATGGGCCAGACAGTTCTTCTCCTAGTGACCACGAACTTGATCAAATGACCTTGGGTCAAGATCATGACACACCCACAGGTCAAGCAATCTTTGTATTAAGTGTGAGCTTCTGGAGTGTTTCCTCATTACACAATATGGTCAGGACACGAATTATACATTTTTTTTTAAAAAGTGACCTTGAATTTGCATGACATACCTTCAGCTTAATCATAAGCAATCTTTGTATGAGGTATAAACTTCCAATGTTTCTCCATTAAAAAGTTATGGACTGGATTATGATTTTCACTTTTTCTGCCAGTGACCTTGCATTTTCTGGAATGACCTTGGATCAAGATCAGACATTCTTTTAGGCCATAATCAATCTCTGTGACAAGTATGAGCTATCAATATTTCTCCATTACAAAGATTTGGCCAAACATGATTGCACAGACAGACACTGCGTTCCTCTAGAACTCCCTTCCCCTTTCGTTTGCGGTGGTATACACAGCATTGTTTACTACTATGTGTTTATATTTTGCGAGTTTTAACTACGATTACGATTGACAGCGCAAAAACACCGACAATCATAAAATCGGAGGGAAACAAAACCATCCTATTATTAGGTCACAAGGTAATCACAGTAGTTAACACTCAAATCTCGGATAAATATAGAATGCCGGACTATATTGTTCACATCACTGCTTGGCATTCGGGGACATTTGCGTTCGAGATATTAGTGTTCGAGATACCAAAGTTCAACTGTATTTTAATTCGCTATATATTTTTTTTTAATCAAATGTATATATTGAATGAATGTATTAAAGAACACTATAAATGAAAAGCATTTTGTGTCATTATATGAGATATGACGGTTGCCAGCATTACAGGAAAATTCAAGGACGCACATACTGGCGTCACGAAAATTTTTCTACAGTGATGGCTATACCGCCACATCCTCTACGATGACAATAAAAACGCAATTCATTGCTCATAAGAAATTCACTGTTCCTTCTGAGTAAATTTTCTTTTGTCCTTTACCAAACAAAAAAGAATGCAGGCGTAAAAGGCAAGGACAATCCCGCTCTGAGACAAGATACAATTTCTAAAAGATCACAAAAAAATTATATTTCTCAAAAATTATGTTAAGATCATCTTTTACATATCTGATTCCTTCATGTTATTCAATTATTTCAAGATAAATAATTTATCTTCCATTTATGTTTTTTAAGTATGTGAAAGGAAAAAAAAAGAGCCTCATATATGATTCGAACTCAAACCATAGCTCGCGGTAAGGCATATTAAACGCGTTAACCACTTCACTACGGTGTCTTTTCACTGGAGTGTGTCAGCATGGTTTAGATAATTAAATTTGATGAAGAACATCATTATTTTTTCCCAGAAATGTTCGATTTTCATGTAGAATGGGTTCAGACTCCTTTCTTTGAAACATAGATTTTACATTCATTTTCCCATTATTTAAACATTTATGTAGAATGGAAACTTGACCCATTCATATTCAAAAATTATTTCAATGGGTCAAATAGACCCATTTCCCATTAAAATAAATGAATCAAAAGTGTTAAAGATTACATTACTGAAAACATAATTTTTTGAAAAGTCTGTAACTTTTCAATGAAATTTGAAAATCGAGAAATATATTTTGTCTTAGAGCGTGGGATTGTGATCGCCTTGTACGCCCCAATTCTTTACAACTTTCTCGCGTACGATTAGCGATAACGTTGGCAGTCGTGACTTTCTAAATAAGCATTTCCAAAGTAGTTTCATGTGTGCAATTCGATAAATACATCTAATAAGAACCAAATGTGTTAAAACATTTCCATATTTCAATATATTTTTTTAAGTAAATATAACTGCGTTGTCCGGTTTTATAGTATCCGCACACAAAATCAAACACCTGAGACTGTGTTGTTCGAGTCGATATGGTGCGCATTGCTATTTTTTTCTATACATCTTGATCTATTACGAACAAAAATCGAAACGGATCAGCATTTTATCCACTTACCTCGTGTTCATCCTATGTCAGCTCGGATGCCAGTCGTCCATGATGCTCAGGAAACTTGTTTAACTCTTATTTATATTATAACGTTCCTTTTTTAACGTATATTTTGATTTCACTAATCACACAAACAGCACCTTATGGAAATATGTAAAGCACTTATATTTATACTTTTATAATTCATAAATTAAGATTTAAGACAGTGATTGAAATCGTATGTGTGTCAAGTATGATGTTGCAGCTTATAGAATGAAAGTTTTTGGTTATAAATTTATTGCTTTTTTGACGTGTGTACAGGTTTTTCCAATTTTAAATTGCATATCAACCGATGTCTTTGAACCGACTTGATTTAGTGAATTAAGGCTGGCCAAAATTAATTCTACGTTTAACGTCACCTTAAAACTTCAAAACCTATGAGGGAGAAAAAAAATTTAACACAAAAATTTTAACCAAATATTTACTCATTTATATGAATCAAAATACTGTAACTTTTTGTGCATCATGAATGATCATTTTTAGTAAATCTGTCAGTTTAAATGATAGACTTATCCCAAATACATAGGGCATAAATGTTGTCTATTCCTATAATAGTTATTAGTATCTAAAAGTAAAAGCAAACCGGAATAAAAACCTTTGAAAAAAATACCGATTTGTTTGTTTTTTTTTTTGAAGTGCCAATTTTCCAAAACCTACGAGCGCGGGTGACGTTAAACATAAATTAATTATGGACAGTCAAAGGATACCTGTAACAAATCAAAAGCCTGCTTTAGTTCAAACTTTTAATAATGTACATTTTATTTTTTTTAAGGCACATTTGCCGAATTTTTATAATTTTGTGATAAAACTTCTTTCGAATCTCTAAAATGTAACGTTCGTGTTCCGTTCATTTTTATCACGCCAAATTGTATTTTCTCGGAAGATGGTATTCACAAAAGAAATTCACAAAACGCAATAACTCTGCCTTATTTTATTCATACATTAATTTTAAGCCTTAAGACTTTTGCGAACCTTTTTGTTTTCTTTAATTTCAATAATTTTTTTTTTTAAAAGAAAGGGTTTTTACACACCTTTAAGTGCTTAGTGGCAAGTATTAACTTCCCTACAATAATATTATAAATAATTTAATTTTAACAAGCAATTCCTCAAAAGCATTTTCATAAGCTCACACTTCCATTTACATTCTAATATAATAACCACCCTTCATGAGATCCGTCTTCATTTTTTTTAGCAGAACTGTAATATTCGTCTTCCGTCAAAGTTTGCGTTTAATTCAAAGACACTATTCTCAGAATTTTCTATCAAACTTCTGGTGATGCAAATGGATGAAAGATATTCAAATTCATCATTTTTTGACCTTGACTTTCTTTTTGCCCTTGACCACACTTTTCAAAACTTTGTGTTTAGCTCAGCTTCAAAGAATCTATTCAACTTATTTTTAGCATACCTTACATACTGATAACATCTTCATCAAAAAATTTTTCACTTTGACCTTGACCTTTTTCAAAAATGTGTGTTTAGATGCTTTAAAGAAACTTTTCTCGATTTTTTTTTTTTAAATCAAAGTTGAAACCTTATATGCTGATACATGTTGAATAGAGCTATTCAACTTCGTGAACACTTTTTTTTTTACCTTGACCTTTCCTTTCACCCTGACCCCACATTTCAAAAAATTGTGTTTAGCTCAGTTTCAAAGAAGCTATTCGAAGACATTTTTAATAAAACTTCATAAGTTTGTACATATTGGTGAACCCTATTCAACTGCATCGACATTTTTTACCCTTCGACCTTGACTTCAATTTTCTCAAATTTGTGTTTTGCTCAATTTTAAGAAACAAATTAAGATATTTTTTATCAAACTACATATGCTTATACATATTAATGCTTTTGAACTGCATCATATTTTTTTTAATTTTGACTTTCCTTTGTCGTTGACCCTATTTTTCTCAAATTTGCATTTAGCTCATTTCAAACAACGTATTCAAGATATTTTTGCGCAAGCTTATGCACTTAAACAAAATATGGTTAGAATTTATCAACTGTGTCCATTTTTTTTTTTTACCTTGACCTTTCCAATGATCTTAGTCTTTAATATTCTTTGTGTATAAAATTCAGTTTTAGAGAAACGATTCAATATATTTTCAACAAACTTCATACACTAATACAAATGTTACATTCCTAATGAACCCTGAGCGGAACCTTCATGTCCTATGGACATATCTTTTTTTATTCAAACAAGTCCTTCTACAAAATTTTAATTCTGAACCTCGGAATATTTTGTGTTGCAAAGTTGCAAATGAAACTTGCTCGAAGACTGACCACTTTTAATTTTCATTTGCATCACAAGAAACCTGCTTGCGTATCGTGTACTCTGTCAACAGTATTTTTTGCTCATTAAAAGTTATATCGGTATATATATTGTGAAAACTGCCCTTAACTAATCTTGACTTTTGATTTTGAAAGTTACGTAGCGATCATTGGACAATTTCAAATATAGTATATATGTCATTTTACATCGGATCCCTTTTGTATTCATGTTATTAGATACAGGTGTAATGGTTACCCGTATATTGTGTGGTGCATCTTGCCAATGTGTTAAGTCCCGTAGAATATTCGGTACACTCTAATATTTTTCTGCAAATGAAAATATTTAAATGGTTACATGTACATATTTTAATTCAATAATTTTCACGAAGCACAGTATAAAAGTGCAAAGCTTCCTTTGCTAAAACAGAGAATCGCAGGGTGCTACAATTTAAAATGTAGGTCAACTTCTTTCGACTGAGATAAAATACTGAATATGATTTATTTTTCTGTTCTTTAGATTTCTATTTCCTTCGAGTGTACCACTACCAATTTCGGATGCAACATTTACTCTATTGGTTAAACTATGTATACATAATTCTTTGGGGTGAAGCACAAAACAGATTGGTAAGCAAAGCACTGTTTTTTAACAAAATTTCTAATTCAAATTTTTCACATTCAAACACTGACACTCTATCATACATAATTTGTTAATCATAAACCATTTTCAAATTACACAAATACGAAAATGTTTTGCATTTTTTTTTTAAACCTACTTGCTTTTATTTTTTTCAAAACCTGACATAGAATTTTTTTTTCTTTTCGTGGTGAAGTAGTATGCACTATTCCAAAATGCTGCATAAAATTTTGTATTTTTCCAAAAAAGGCCTAATATTCCTGTCAATGAATCTCTAAGAAATCCACAAACTTCTTTTTACCATAAAGGTACACAGATTTTGCTATATTCTAATTTTCTAAATAGGAAAGCCTGTTTTATACCTTTTTATTTCTTTTATTCATTACTTATTTCAGTGTGTAGATGATTAACAGCAAAGCAAACAGCTATGAATGATGATAAAACAGTGTGAAACTGAGCTGTACAAAACAACATTCCAATTTTTCTAAAGAATGGGAATTATGAAAGTGATGAATTAAAATGTTATTCTCTTGGGGTATGATCTAAATGACTTTATTACATGAAAAGTGATGTGTCAGTGAAATATTGGCAGAGGATCAATATCGCCTCATTCCTTGCCCTGGGACCCCGGGTCTGGGGGGTGCAGCTCCAGGTCCACTCCCATACATGAGCCTCTGAGAAGGCTGCATTCCTCCAGGGCCTCCTTGACCTCCAACCTGGCCATGCTGCTGCATGGGAGCACTTCCAGCCATCCCTCCATAACCTCCTAGACCCTCTCTTCTTATGGGCTCGCCCTCTCGACTCATGATGCCTACTCCCGCAGGTTTACTTGCTGGTGGTGAAGATATATTCTTCAACAGATTTGGGCCACTTTGGATAAGGTTATCAAGGGCTTTTTGAACATGTGGATTATCAAAATTGATCAAAGAGGACATTCCAGATTGACCACCTCCCCCTATAGGGCCACCATTTCCCACTCCTAACCCTGGACCTGGTTTTGGGGCTTGAGGTGCACCAGATTCACCTGGACCATTAAGAATACTTAGGATTTTGGCTTGAAGCTCCTGCTGCTGCTGTTGCAGGCTGTTGTCTTCCTTCCTCAGGTCCCCCGCACCATATCCTGTAAAAATAAGATTATTCACACTAGAATCATTGTGAAAAACTACAGAATATTACAAAGTTGATAAAACTTGAAAAAAAAATCTTCGTAAATACAAAGAACAGTCTATAATATATGTTTACCTGCTTCAGGTGGCCTCCTTCCTTCTGTGTCAAGCATTTTATCTCTTCTCTCCCTCAGATACCCAATAACTTTGTCTATTTCCTCTAAGGTTAACTGACGATTGTCAGCTAACAAGTTTAACAGATATGTTATATCAGGTCCTGGGGGCAGAAAAGGGGGAGGAGCTCGGGCAGAAGGGGGAGGGGCGCCTCTCTCGGGTGGAGGCGCAGCCGCCGGTGCGGCTTTTTCTCGAGCTGTTTGCATGTAGGTTTCAAAGCTGCGTCCAACCAATGTTATTGCATCTTCAACCGGCATGTTTCTGTGTTCTAATTGGAAGGAAATAAGATTTTGCAATGAGAGTAACTTGAAAAGATGACCTTTTTAGTTGAAGACATGGACTTATTAGACACAAAATCGTAACTCACCCACTGCAATCAAAACATTTCAGGAATAGAAAAAGTTTCCGATTTGTAAACTAATTGCTTTTAGTATTTTATAAGGAAGGCTACTTTTTTGTTTTGTTTTTTTTAAATTGTTTTATTTTAAATCTTTTTATTGCATCGTAAGATCCCAATAAAATTGTTTCACTTTTTTTTTTTAAGTTGAATTTTTCAGTTTAATTTTTTTTTTCAGTTTTATATTCTCTCCATGTTTTGTTTTATGTTTTATTTCATTTTTATCATTCAAAATATTAGTTATCCATCTCATACAACCATTGAAATCAATTCAATGCAGCCACACACATTTCACTCATCAAACTTCTTTTAACTTTTAAGCTTTAAACTTAAAACGGGTAACGGTTTGATTTGGATTTTTTTTTCTTAAAAAACCTACTAAGTAGTTTGTCAACATGGAAAGCGGTAAACTGTTTCATTTTATGGAAATTGAAATCACACACATCCCTCATCTCTCACTTACTTATATAAAAGTTTATATCAAACTTTACTCTCACATAAATATAATCTGTATCACATTGCTTAATGCCAGCAATCCGGTCGGTTGATCACTGTACCTTTAAAACTCAAAATTTTACGGTTCAGTTTTTTTTTTTGGTTTTTATAAAAACCTATTTAGAGTATATTCTAAAAGCTTTAGCAGCATTTATCAATAAAAGTTTATATAGATTAATAACTGAAGACAAGAAAATGTCGGTAAGAAATGTAGATTTATATCTATTTTACTACTCAGTGTAATCGCCTTCAAGACTCCATGGCAATCCATAATTTATTGAACCTTTGCACGGTAACATAATGCAAGGTTGCACATGATTCAAGATTTGAAGACTAACTACATGTGCACAAAAGTTAAGCAGTAATTGGGAAGGGCTTGAGCCATGCGCCATAGTCACACTGAAGTGAAAAATAGAGCATTAAATCAATCAATGGTCGTGCCAAGGTGCGCATTCAATTTTTTAGCGATATTATTTGGAAATATTTTGTGTACTACTTTCTTGTTTTACTTTCATTTTAAATGCAGTCAATTTTAAAACAAAAAAATCTCATTGGTTTGACAGTTGCGCCATAGTCCCATTGACCTTTTTGGCCTTCCCAATCACTGGTTAAGTTTATCTTTATGGCAAATATGTTGAAAACAATGATTTTTACACCACACATTTTATTTTGTTTGATTTATTGTTGATCAGCAATTGGCACCACAATATCGTTCCATGTTTATTTCGTTATGTATTATCGGATTTTTAATTTTTTTTAAAAATTTTTTAAATTTTTTTTTTTCTATTTCTTTTTTTAAATAATATTGTTCCAATTTAAAACTACAAACTGACTTCAATTTCTCTGTCAATGTACACTTTCAGCAAATATATGTCTGATCATTTGTGATATTTCAATGAAATTTTTGTCTAGTACAGGCCATTAAGGTTTTTTTTTTTTTTTTTTTTTTTTAACAAATCTGCTTGGTATTAAAGAACAGCATCAAATAAAGAGACTTTCTACGATGCTTACATAACAAATGGTCATATATACATACATGTATACAGTAATCAAAATAAAATCCCCCCCCCCAATTTATTCCCTATTTTGACAAATTCAAAACTTACCCTGTGGGGTACCATGCAGGATATTAAGAGTCAAAGACTGGTGGACCTCATTTTGGCTGTTGATGACAATAGCAAACAGATGCCCCCGTTTGGAGGCCTCCTCGATCATCTGGGGTATGGTGCGGTCCTCCGGTATAACAGTCAAGACTGCTGTCATGGACTTAGCAACTAGTTTCCTCTCAATAAATTCTCCATAGCCTCTGTGGAAAGTACACAAATAAATCAGTTATACTTATAACCTATTACAATGCAGTCAAACCTGGTTACAAGGAACATGCTTATAATGAATTCATTCTTATGGTAGTTGTTTCCATTCCCTGTAATTAGGACTGGGTATTGGCTAGATTTTTCGCATTGCGATATATTGCAATATTTTTAACTGTATTGCGATATGTTTTGCAATATTTTCAATGCCAATTAAAATGACATTTTCTTATTTTATTATCTTCCATTTACATGCAGAATGTACATAACTGTGTTAACTGACCACGAAAAAAATATCTAGTTGATTGCATTATAGTTATGCATCAAAATACATGCATTTAGCAGCTTTTGCCTTACTATTTGCTAGGATTGCAAACATTTCTGACAACTTATACTGCATAGTTAATTATAGAAAACCTGAGTCCAAACAGTATATCGGTACTACAAAAACGTATTACAATATATTTCCATTTCTATTCGTTTTCTCTGATATAAGTCTTTGAAAGTTAGTTGAGTTGATTTCTTGATCATTCTACTGAAATGTAAATTTCGCCAAGCAAAAGGTCAGGTGCTAAGAAGGCCTAATATGCATGTAATTCTCTTGCAGCTGACTTTGTGTTTGACGTCAGTGGGTGGGGACTATTGAAATTGACACGTGAGGCCTCATGTAATTTAAATCTATTAGTCTACATTGTTAAAATGTAAATTTACAATTTTAATTCACAATGAAATGGAAATATAAGGAATCACTGTCTAGTTAGTAGAGTATGCCAGGGACATCAACAATAGTTGGAAACGTGGGATAATTTATGCATAACGGGCTTTGCCCGTTATGCAAATTATCCCACGTTTCCAACTATCGTTGATGCCCTGGCATACTCTACTAACTAGACAGTGATTCCTTAAATGATATTTTTTCCTATTGTACCACAACATATTGTAATATCGGTATTATTGTCCAGTCCTACCTGTACTCATAAAATTATTATGAATTTATCGGATATTATGAGTTACAGTCACATGTATGCAATGTTAAATTGTGATTAATATGCAGATTATGGTAGACTGATCACTGTTTTTTGGGGTGGAATTTTTTTAAAGGGGGGGGGGGGGTTACTTATTTTATTTTCAGTAAACCTTGTTTACCTAGATGTTATGTATTCTGAAAAATTGCCTATTATGATGTAAATTTATGGTTCCTTTCATCAAAATTTAATTGATGTTTAGTCCAGAATGCTGTCTTATCTGACCAATTTCTTTGGAACCAGTGGTGTCCAGATCAGACAAGTTTTACCATATAATCTATTTATTTACCTTTTTTCATAGAATCTTTTAAAAGTAATTTAGTTAATAAATGAGTATTTTATTCAAAATTCATTTCATAAAACGTCAACATTCAGTGAAAGTAAACTTCACCCTGGGACAACTCTAACTTCAAAACAAACCTCACTTGAAGAGAGTTATTAATTTATCTTTATGTGCAGATAAAGATTTGGATCTTCTGCAGCATTGCCTGCTGTAAGATAATTGGCTAATTGTATTCGGCGCGTCGGCGCGCCAGCGCATCCATCTCAACCCGATATCACAAAAGTATTTTCTCCCTGCATTAAAACACTCAAATGACATCGATTTTCTTTATGATTTAAGCATTATTGGTTATATTCAAGTCGACAGCCCGAGCCCGATTGTATTTTTTTGTTGGGTGGATCCAGAAATTTTTCCCTAGGAGGTGTTGGCTCAAATCGCAAGGGGAAGAGGTCCGAGGCAAAGCTTTAGTAATTTTACTATGTCAGTTCAAATAAATTTGAATTTTCCAGGGATCCGGATCCCATTTGATCCATGCATGCCTTACCACAATTTGTGCTAGAGTAATCCGAAATATACCCCAATTTTTTGAGTTGGCCTATACTTTCGATTTCTCTCTCTCTCTCTCTCTCTCTCTCTCTCTCTCTCTCTCTCTCCAAACATTAACTATATACATGTATAGCATTTAAAAATATTTAGTGCTTTGGTTTTTATAAATTTTCTTTATGTATAACAAAAATTTACCGGTATTACGTAATGACCCTAGACTCTAGAGTTTAACCCCCTTTTTAGAGACTTGATTATCATGGCAATAAGCTGCAAAACATTGGTATCAGTGTTTGACAAATATTCCTTGTTACGTATTAAAATATTACTACTACTAAAAATTAGTTTGTTCTTTATTTGAGCAGGGGGAGTAACTTTAGTTACAGATACATAAAGTCCTGCCTCCCCATATTGTAGTCTTTTAAACCACTTATCTCATTACAAATCCAATCATATAAAATACATCTACAATGGTTCCATCAACATTCCTTAAACATTAATTTTTGTTTTGTTTTTGTTTTTTTTGTTTTTTGTTTTTTTGTTTTGTTTTGTTTTGTTTTTTTTTTGTTTGTTTTGCAGAGTGAAAATTAAGATAGAATTTGATGGTCATTAAAGTAAGAAGCATATCAAAAAGGTTTATGATGACCTGTGTTTACGAAATACTGAATCATTCGCTGATTGCACAAAAATTTATGCCAATGAAAATTGATAAAACTAGTGTATTAATTAGTGGCCATGAATAAAAGAAACAACAGGCAGTTAAATAATGGTATCAGGTTCGTTCGCCCTATCTACCTGTTCGCATGAGTCCGTTCGCGCAGGGTCCGTTCGCCATTATTCTTGTTCGCCCTATATCTCGTTCGCCCTATTATATATACAGTATATAGTAAATATCAACATTTATTATTAATTTTATTAAATATTTTACTTGGTGTTTTTTTCAAATGTTGCTACAGTATTTTTTTTTATTAACCGTAATCTTAATGAAGTAATTCAAATTTGATATTTATGCTCTTTACATGCTTAATTGATTTAATTATACTTAATTATACTTAATAATGTCACTGTAATTTAGGGGATCATACAATCTGCGTTATGTTCAATTAAAGGACTGAGATGTTAATTTCTGTTGGTCTGCTGGGTTTTTGATTAGTACAGGTATAAATTACCGGTATAGTTGACCACATGCATTCGTCTGTTGTCTCCCGTGTGCAATTTATGTACCAATGTACATATAATTTATTTAAAAAATCCATTGGTTAATTATTCAATTTCTGCAATATAAATAAGGCGAACGGACCCTGTGCGAACAAGTGATGTTGAAGCTTCAAAAACAAAATTCCATCTATAAAACTTTCTTTTTAGCCGAGCGCATTGCTCGTAGAGCAATAGCCGGTTTATGTTACGGTGTTCAACCGGAAATACCGCTTCCTCACCGCCAAATTAAATATGAGTAAGAATATAGTACGTATGCTCAACCACCTTTGAAGCAATACAAACACTTAATTAAACAAATTTAATTTAACTAAGAAATTCTCTTAAAAAAAAAAAAAAAAAAAAAAAAAAAAAAATGATAATATACTTTCTCCCCTTTTCTTCAATAAATTATTTGTTTAAAAGATGCGATAGGTAATTTCATCAAGTCTGCCAGCTTCACATTCTATAGATAAAGGTTGTGTTACCAGGCTAATGCGGGGAGCATGTGACCCGATGCACACCTTTATGCAAAACTCCCCGCTGAGGACCCGTCTGTGTATATTTGACCTTGCTGCATCAATGTAAATTCAAACTGCATTTTATTTTATTTTATTTTTTAAACATTTTTTATTTATACTATATGCCATAAATATATTTTTGTGTTACATATTCTTCCAGTGTCTTGTTGTTATTCATCTGTAATTACAATGTATGTTTCATGTAAAACGGACTTGTTCACTTCTCTGTAAATGAGCCCGGCTCTCTGTACTTCTAAGTACTTTGATTATTTATGATATCGAGCCCGATGCTAACAATATTGTATAAGCGATAATTTATTTTATAAACAAAATCTGTTGCGCGAGCGCGCCGACGCGCCGAATACAATTAGCCAGATAATTAATCTCAAGGGACACTTTAGTTATCAAACTTTTCTGATAAAAGATTTCTGAAGTAACATTAGGGCTGTGTATTGAGCAAAATATTTCGATACGATACGATATTTTATAAAGCGATATGCGATATATTGGATGATTTATTAAGTCTTTCAAAAATGTCTTGTAAATGACATTTAATGCATAAATTTGATAAAAACTGGGTGAGTTTAACATAACATGTATTTTGTAATAGTTATTTAAAATGTGCTATCTCCTTAATGTTTATTTCATTATTGACCAGTTTTAATTCAAGATGGTTAAAAATAATCTTTGGTAACTGAAATTCCCAACTTTTTCACAGAATTATAAGGAAAATTGCCTGTCCGATACGTATTGGAAGTTATTTTTTCGATACGATACATTCCTGAATATCAATACGTATTGAATATTCGATATATTGATACAGCCCTAAGTAACATTACATATCTCTTTACCCATTCATTCTTTCTAAATGAGATTTGAAGCTAGATTGCCCATACCAAGCCCCCCATCCAGATATTAAACAGAATTCAATTTAAAATATGTCTTACTGCCTGCTAATACAAAAAGCAAATTTAAATATGTGTTTGTGAAACACTGATGCCCCCCTCCCCCCTCCCTGGCAGCTCATAGCCAAGGTTAAAGTTTTTTCAAAGTAGGTGAAATTCCTACTTCAAGAACAGTCAAAAATGCTGAACCCAAAGAAAGGTATTGTCACAAGGAATACAGCTAAAGCACCAAACATTCTGAAGTTATGGCCAAGAACAAAGTTTTTCAAAAGTAGGTGAGACTCACAAGTCAAAAAGTTGGTACTGAAAGAAAGGTCTTGTTACAAGATATAGCTGGATTACACGTGAAACTTGAAAACCGTCGCATCAATCTTTCTGAAGTTACATGTATTATCAAAGTTAAAGATTTTCATAAGAAGGTGAAACTCCCAGCTCAAAGTCATGAGGCAGAGTTGTCCAAATTTTTAAATCATTGTCAGACGCTTGCTTTTAAGTCAAAAGTTCTGTTGGACCAGTCAAAGTTTTGTCAGATCAGATACATGTACATTACTTTGCACAGAAAGGAAAATAAATAAATGCACCAAATTCCCCTTTATTTTGTCCTTTAAAATGCCTTTTGACTTTATTATGATCTCAAGTTTTCTTTTCTTAAGACAGAAAGTCTTTAATCAGAAACATAAATGACATGATTTTAATATAATGTCTCTGCTTTTACAAATTTGATTGACCATCGTCACCACATGGCCATCTCAGCTTTTTTTGAGACCTTCATCTGCGCACCCTGATCTCAATCTTTTAAAATTTGTATCATACCTAATTTTTCAAACAGTCATTTGGACAGAGTTATCAGTTCAGACAATTTTTCACTGACCTTGTTGACAGGACCAACAGTTTTCGACAACTCTGTATAAGGTAAAAATGTTTGTACTTAAAAAACCATTGAATACACATGAAATGTAAGAGCCCTAGCACCAACCATTCAGAAGTTATGGTTAGTTTGTCAAACATAGTTAAAACTCCAATGTTAAAGTAATGACATTCAAAATCAATGGTACTCAAAGAAAGGTCTTATTACATTGAATACGTGTGAAATATGAAGGCACTACCACCAACTGTTCAAAAGATATGACCAAGGTTAAAACTTTTGCAGGCAAAAAGAGAGACCAAAGATTATATCCGAATCTTCTCTATTATGGGGGCATAAAAATAGATTTGTGGACAGACAGGGTGATTAATTACAGAGCACCTGCAAATCCTTTTTTGGCCCTTAATATACTCCTACAGCAATCTAACTATTTTCTCTAAATCTTAAAGAAATTTTTCCACATCTTTGATGTAATAGCTTAAAGAAAACATTGGTTATTCATCAGCAAATCAGTTCCCTTACTTCATTTTGTTATTAAGCAGGACAACTTCTACATCTGCAGGGGGTGGAGGTTTTCTGGGGGCAGGTGCAGCATCGTAGTAGTCCCTGTAGTATGGATCTCTGTAAGGGTCTCCATAAGGTTCCCGTCTGTATCTGGAATGTGAACAGTACTTGCTAATTGGTAATAAAAGTTAAACATCTACATGTATCAATCTCAAGTTCATGAACATACATGTATATAAAGATACAGTGTTCCATCAAAGATACTATTTAGAAGAGAGCATATTTCCAAAATTAGATACATAAAATTTAAAATCTAATAACCTTCAATCCAATTTAAGAAACACTGGTTTTTCATTCATTCTTTAATTTTATTGTCAAGTTATGTTACTGCACATGTAGAGCATATATCCATTACTTTGTTCAATGCTTGCACATGACATTAATACATACATGTTTCAACATTGCATGGTCAACTCGGCAGATGGTCACAAAAAAAAATCCTAAAAATAAACTGTCTCCAGACAAAATAGTAGACTAAAAGCCTGTCTGTTCTGGCTTATTTTCTTCAAATGCATATCATCTCATGAGTTAAGCATGGTGTAGTGTTAGCTAAGACTTATGAGGACTTGTCTGTCTTGAAACATGTTTTAAATACTAAGTATTTAACAAACCTGTATGGATCATCTCTGTATCTATCAAAATATGGGTCATCTGGAGGTGGTCGTCTGTATGGATCAGAGTAGTATGGATCATCTCTTCTAAAAAAGTTAAAATTAATTGGAATAATATGGTTAGCAAATGGGAAAATCTAAAATACATCAAATATTATTCAGAGTATTACATATTCAGTAGCTTACAATATTTCTTATTTATTCTACTTACACAGACTTGGAAGCATTACACAAAATTCAATACTTTTGATAGAGGTGTTTCCCATAAAAAAAAAAAAAAAAAAGCAAACAGTATTGAAATGTTCCCTTAGCAACACTTCAGCTCATGCTTTAAACTAAGTTTTTACCTGGATGGAAGCTGTTATACCTTAATCAAGTTTTTGCCTGGGTGGGGGCTGTTATGCCTTAACTAACTTTTTACTTGGGTGGGGGCAGTTATGCCTTAACTAAGTTTTTACCTGGGTAGGATCCTTATGCCTTCAGCGTTTTTTTTTTTCCTTATATAACTGGTACCAATAAACGGTACCATTCCCAATGCCAAAAAACTTTAATTTTTCCCAATTTTGAGACTAAAAATTCCCAAATTAACTGCCAAAAAAGACTACGATGACATCATATTTCTTTTTATATGAAACGTACAAGTTGACTAATTGTTTCACTTCCGCTTGAATCGAAAGTAGAGAATAGTCGTAATATATGGCTGGACCTGTGGTGTAGACAGTATAGTGTCATATATTTTGTACAAATTGAAAGCATGAAAATGCGAAAACAAGGGATATTGATATGAAAAAACAATAAATACTTCTTGTTTATTCTTTAAAACATGGAGTAATAGGTAATGAGGTTGGAATAAACGCAAAATACGTTTCATTTGTTTAAATGACAAAAAATACTCCCTTGTTCTACTTCCGATGCTCTTTTTCCCAATTGAACCGGTACCGGACCTTTCCCAATAGGTAGAAAAAAATCGCTGGCCTTAATTATGTCTTAACTAAGTTTTTACCTGGATAGGGGCCGATATGTCTTTTCAAAGTTTTTACCTGGGTGGGACCGTTATGCCTTAACTAGGTTTTTACCTGGTAGGGGGGAGTATGCCTTAACTTTTTTTTTTACTTGGGTGGGGGCAGTTATGCCTTAACTAAGATTTTACCTGGGTGGGGGCAGTGCTGGGTCTCTGTAGGGATCTCTATATCTGTCCTCATAAGGGTCGCCACGAAGTGGTGAACGTTCCCGTCCCTCCAATGGAGCTCCTGGGGGTGGACGTCTCCCTCCTGCTGGTGGGGGATACCTGTTAAATTTCAAAGAACAACAGTGATGTGCACTATTTGGTTTACAAGTATTCAATTTTAAGGTTCATTAATAGATATATGAAAAAAGTGAAAATAAATAACAGGTCCCACATTTTTACTGCATTGATAACTCAAATAAAGGTAAATATTTCACATCCTCATTGCACATTACTTAATTACAGAACCTACATACTTTTGTTGAAGCTACAACTAAGACTATAAAAATTCGGACAGGAAAATTGAACAAAATGTGATAAAGGAAAAAGAAAATTCAAACATGCACTAAAACACTACATTCCTGGCAAAATCAAAATATGCATTTTTAAACACCACATCCTCAGAGATGGCAAACCTACTCAGTGTGTGATATACCCTAAACGTCATAGGGATGTTTTTTTTTTAAAATAACATGATAAATCATCTAAATATATCATTTTTTAAGGTATATCATGCTTTCTAGCATTTTTGACAATACTACACTTAAATATTGAAACTAGGAGGGTCTGAAATGTAAACCATTTTTTAAAAGTATTTTGGGAATTTAAATACTGTCATGAGATTTTTAGCAGTAAATATTGCCTGATTTTTGCACAAAATTGGCAAACAGTAAAAAGAAAAGAAAGAAAAACAACTTTGAATTACAAACAACATACACAAATGTTGCATTAAGTGAATTTCTAAAGGGCAACCAATTTTTTTTCAATTTGAGGGAATAAAGGATGCAAAGTTGTATACCTCATTAAAGGGTTTTTATCACATATTTAATTTTTTTTAAAAATGAAACACAATTATATACTTGAAACAAATAATTATCGTTTAATTATGAAATAACTTTGAAAACAGTCATAATTAGGTGATAAAATGCCCGTAATACAGAGTTCTCGAAGTAAAAATCTCCACTAATTAGATAGGGGTCACGTGGTACTGAAACATCATAGGTGTCAATGGTCAATTAGAACTCGTAAAGCTTATGTAAGAAAAATGTATCAAATAGATTTAATGTTAAATAATATACACTACACAAAAAGATTGGTGGAAATTTTGACATCGACAATATTCTTTTAGTTATAGATGGTCAATCTTATGTATGAACGTCTAGCAGAGAGAAATAACCAAGAAAATATGTCAACAATAGGAGAGGACACCAAAGACGAAGCCGTTGACAGGTTGGGACTTCCGACTAAATAGAACGAATAACTTAAGTTGGACTTCGTAAATATTTATAAATATGAGAATGTTAAAGTCAATTTCTTCATTATTTTAATAACCTGTATATATATATTCTATCTGTTCCAGTGAATATCATGTACTAGAAATGACATTTCTTCAACACTGTTCAATGGCGCCATATGCCATTACGAAGTTCACAACATTCCTACTTGCATGTACTAGATTCTGTGCGACTTCAAAAATGCATGTTGGGTATTTTTTTACCATTTTAAAAAGGTACCATGTTCTTATACGGGCATAAACGATTGTTCTGAATGGAGAAAAAGGCCTCACATTTGCAGAAAAAAGGGTCCCCTTTCACTTCTCGACCAAGTCCAGGAAATGTGAAAAAAAGTCTTCCTAAAACCTTTCTTGTGCACACTTGTGCATCCTAAAGCCACAAATTATACCTCACTAGCTGTCAATCATCCAATTATCACTTATTAATTTACTAACAGGTTTAATAGACACACAAATGAGCCGTTTTGTATACACAATAAGTACTTGATTTTGACCAGGATTGAACCTATGACGTCAGAGCAATGGCGCATAACATTGGCGATCAAAATATGCATACTGAGAAAGTCAAACTTTGAATCACTGAAACATCAACAATATTAAATTTTTAGCTAAGATTTTTAAATATATGATTTTAAAAACATGTAAACTTTGTCATATCAAAAAATTTTGAGACGTGATAAAAACCCTTTAATGTTAAGATTATATTCCACCATGCAAACCTCTGCACCCCTCCACACTTTCATTACAATGTCTACTCCCCTATTTCCCTAAGCCCTGCATTTTGAATGGAGACAAATATCTTGAATCAAAACGTGTCACAAATTCAAACAGGACTTTGAATCAAGATGGCGACATGCCACAGGGAAATTCTATGTCATAAGAATAAAAATACTTGGTTGAATTAACATCAGGAAGAGACAACCAAAAAGATCTCCAAACTTCAGCCTCTACAATAGTGTGGTAGTACATTGAATTCAAAGTCTCAAACTGCAAACAAAGTTTTTTCAACTGAAAATGCATGCAAACAGATCTGGTGAGATTTTGCCATCTCTGAGGTCAGTAAGGCACACCTGTCTTCAGCTGGTGGCCCAGGGGGAAGCCCTTCTCTACTGCCTGGTTTGGGGGCAAATCTTGCAAAACAAACATTTTTCTATTTTCAGACTTTATGCTCTAGTTACATTTGCATTAAAAACAGATAATTTCAGTAGTTACAGGGAAAATATTTTTTCTTAAAAATCACTAACAACTATCCATTTTGAGACATTATATTTTAATGTTACAGTTTAAATTTCAGTGTTAGAAGAATTACCTGTCTGCGTATGGTCCTGGTGAAGACCCACGAGGACCAGGCCGTGGGGGTGGTTTACCTCCTCCTCTTCTGCCTTCCAGGGCCATTTTAACGTCTACAACATGACATAAATGTATTAATAGCAAGTCTCCAATGAGACTGTAGCTCTACTGGTTTCAATTCTTGCTTTTATTAGTTTAACATAAAATTTACAGGATTAAACATGTTCAATAACATGACACTTTCTAGTTGTATAAATTTTTATTCAAATCAAACAGATGATTAGGATATTGGAAGAATTTGCAGAATGATAGCATCACGAATGATACATCTTGAAGCAGTCTTCTTGTGTGTTTAGACTATTTTGATTTATTTTGATTTCAGTCTCACATTTACAAAAAGAATGTTTTGTGGAAAAGTGAGACCAAGATCAAAAGCGAGCCGAGATTGAGATCAAAAGTGAGCTCATTTAATTTTTTCTTTTAAAGATCTTCCATCAGTGCTGCTAAAAATTGCTCTTACTTGGAGTTTACTCTTCCACCTTAAATATAATTTTCTAATACTACTTACCAAGTTTAAAACCCTTTAGGAGGCCTCCGTCTTCGTTCTTTACTGCTTCTAATCCTTCCTCTTCACTGGAAAACTGCACAAAACCAAAGCCTCGTTCGTGTGTGGAAATGCCTACAAAATACATATAAAATCACAATCTGATATCAAGTCATACTTCACTGATAAATTTTGGATGTAACATAATCAGATAATTAATTAATAGAATACTCAGATAAGCCTTTAGAATTATACAAAAACTAATGAATTTAAAACTGAAGGAAAAAAAAAAGATTGCAATTTATTTTGATGACGTGTTTTAGTATTACACACGTTACAGTATTGGTAACCATATTAATAACTTTCTTTTTCAAACAAAAGTGATTTTTCAAAAATTTACAAGCATGTAGAAATCATATCACAGCACAGATTCTAGGTTCCTTGTTTAAGGTTCCTGAAATTCATTATTCTTACCAAGGTTTGAAAACACTACCGTCTAACAACGCGTTGAATTCGTTTGCACTGCCAAGGTTACGAAAACTCAAACAGCAACAAGCAAATTCAAAAAACTTGACGAAACTTTCGCGAAAAACAAAGTCACGAGAGATATAATGTCTTCTACCAAAAACTGATACCCTTTTTTCATTGCTACTAAAGCTATAATAAGAATAATCAGTTAATTCTGCAATAAATATCATTTGTTTTATTATGATAAGGTTCAATAGAAACTGACAAGGATTTTGGTTTATACATGTATTCATGTGTATCTCCAACATGCATATTATTTTACTAGTCCAATTTTAAAATACATGAAAGGCATAAAGACTTTGAAACTTGAAGACTAACAAAAAAAAGTATATAGTTATACATGTATATGCATGCAAACATTGTTTCTTTTATTACTTAAATGGATTTTTCACTAAATTCATGATGAAGAAAAACAATAAGTTTGAGTATTTTTAAAAGAATTTTAAACATGAAATAGAAATTAAACATACTAGTTAAATGTAACAAAGGTGTAAAAAGTTTTTAAATAATTGTAGAGACTGTGTGCATTTTTAGTTCCTAACTTGCATATTCATTATAACTCATGAAACGCATACCTAGAATCTTTCCATATTTGGAAAACATAACTTCCAGTTCTTCCTTAGTAATCTTATCGTAGGGTAAATTCCCGATAAAAACTCTCGCTTTCATGAGTCCTACATCATGAATATTTGTTGAACCATGTATTCCAGGCGACTTTTCCCTCTGTTCTGAGCGAGATCTGCTGCGACTTTTGCCACGGCTTCTACTTCTGCTGCGAGATCGTCTTCTTGATGTTGAGCGTCGAGAGCTGCTCCTAGGCCTGTAATGCCTCCTTTGAGAGCTTCTTGATCTTGACCGTGACCTTGACCTTCGCCGTCGTAGAATAACTTTTAGCGGGCTTCTCCGTCTGATTCTGGGATAAGCTCGAATGGGACTGCGACTTCGACTTCTATCTCTGTCTTTTGGTATGACTCTACCAAATCTATCCAGTCGTATAGGACTCTTTGAGCGCGATCGGGAGAGGGATCTAGACCTGGAGCGACTGCTACTCCCCATGATTTGAAATTATTTACTGCAAAAATACTTCAAACTGAAACCATAATTTAGCAAAGAAGATCCTGAAAAATAAAAATGACTTCGGTAATTATCATTTTCAATATATTTAATACACATTTAATGACATCACACAAGTCTATGAGCTGTAACAAATTGCTAATGCTTTACCTTTTCACTTTGCATGATGGACCTCAGAGCAATCAAACTCATGATTCAAAATAAAACAACGCGAATTCTCTCTCGCACTCATTTCACACAATTTGACACAAAAATGCATCTGTGAAACACAAAGCCTCTGGTTCAAGTCCTTTCTGACCTTGACTCATCTATAAATCTCTTACTAAAACTGTGCAATTACATGCTTCTATAACCTTTCCAAAGTAAAGGTATTTATAACCAGAGTAAAAACTGTGGACAAAGAAACAGACAGACTCTTCACCTCTAACTTGGGGGGGGGGGGGGGCAAACATATGTAAAGTACTGAAAAGTTCATTAAACTGATCATGTACTGTTTTCAAACAAAAACAAAAAAAGACCTTAAATTATATCCATACAAAACATCAATTTTTTTCACGATGTAATTTCATTAATCTATGCAATAACAATGGTGAGGGAATTTTTTTTTTCTCAGAGACCAGTGATATTTTTGATACAATCCATCTCTCTCTCTCTTTATTTTGCATCTCTTATCTCAATCCCAATCATTCAGGGTAGCAAAATTTTTTTGGTAGTTAAATAACCCAATAATTGAATTTGGGGGGAAGAATAAATATTCACAAAGGATTAATGAGCAAACAACATCATGAGCTGAGTTGAGCTGATACAATGGCCAATGACAGTGTCAACAAAAAGTAAGTGATTCAACATTTTCTTGACTATGCCCCTTCCTCGTTTCAACCCCAAAGGGAAAAAAAGCAAAAATACATTTAGAAACTTTTGAGTTTTATATACCAATAAAAGTAACTGCCAGTTATAAATTTGAAAAAAGGTGTTCTCATTCTGTATTGATATATTTGCTTCCTGTCCTTGACACTGGGCCTAAAGAACACTTTGAGATGAAACCATTCCTAGATTTTTTTCTCTTTTTTTCTATGTTATTGGTTTTGGGGTAATGAAAATTTTAATAAACATACTGAAATTCCACAAAAACAAAGATCTGCAAATTTTCAGAATTCTCTACTGGGATCTGCATCTTCATTTTTAAGTTTTGTACCAAAGATTTGGATTTTAAAAACTAGTAGTTTTTTTACTTTATAATTTTGTTACAAATAAAATTTTCAAATGATCATGACAAATATTATAATTATTCTAATAATGTTGTGTTTTTGTGCTGTTCAGTTGGATTATGTGTGTTTTTCTCGGATAGAAACGTGCTAATCTACAGAGGATAGAAGGGATTCATTCAATCATATTTAAATCTAGATCTCACCCAACATCGAAAGGGAAAATGTAGATATTGATTAAAATCAAGTGTGAATCAAGATACCCCCCTAGAATCCAAGATGGCTAGTGGCAAACATAAATATGTTTTTTAAATCTGCTAATTTCAGCAATTTTTTATTTTCATTTGAATAAGTGTATTATGACAGACATAGGAAAACACATAATGCACAAAATAACACCATCATGAACCAAGGATAAAAATATATGGACACTTAACATAAAAAAAAAATTGAAGTAGTCTCATTATTCATCTGAAATGTGTATTTTAGAGGCTCCTAAGGGATAATTTAAGCATCATACTTTAGGCGAAAGCATATTTAAAAGATCTGAGGTGATAAGTTGTTAAAATACCGGGAAGTAATTCGAAAATCAAAAGTTGAAGTGAGGAAGGGGTCCAATATGGCGTCCTCCGTGTTGTTTTAAGTATTTGGTGTGTTATTTTCTTTTACATACTGAGAGCACGATAAACTCAAAAATTAAACCTGTGGAACCCATTTTGCCCATCTTGCCAATGGCAAAATGGAAAATGCATCAGTTATACTTAGCTATCATGCTATAGTGGGTTACCAAATATTCTTCTGCTTGCTCAATTCTGACATTTTCTCAATACAGAGGAACAAAAAATAATCCGGGTATTCCCAAATGTAAAACTACCGAAAAAAAAACATATAATATGTACATAACACAGATCTATGAAAATGGCCGACTGTTATCTTGGAACGCATGTCTCGTGTCTGCTTCAGATTTGCGTTTCGTCAACGTTTCATGCAACCTACAAATAATTTACTTTCGAACATAAATGCGCATACCTAGTAGGCCTAATAAAGTCTAAATTCTCTTCTTTCTGTTTCTTCTAATTCGGCAGTGATCATGTGCGGTCTTTCTCCATTTTGTAGCCTCGATCTTACTATTGTAACATTTTACTAAAACGAATATTTATTGGTCGGCCACTAAGAAATACAGCCAATCACACCCGAGTTCACTGAAATATCGCAAAAGCCGGATCCAGATGAAAAGAAACATACAAATACACTGTTCAGATGGTAAATATTGTTTTTTTTTTTAAAATATCTGATGTTTATAGCAACATTTTAATTAATATGTTAGAAACGTCTAGTTATTGTTATAGATAATGTATTATTCAAAGACAACATGATCGAAAACTATGAAACATGTTTAATCTATGAATCTTTAAAAAAAAATGTAAACAAACTACTACTACCTTAATTGCAAAGATCAAAGAGATTCCGTGGCCATTATTCTCCAGTAAATCACAAATGTCATCAACAAATTATCAATAAATTTTAATCGGATTCCTCTAATTTTGACTGTGTTCACTAGGAAAAGGAAAGAGTTTAGATATCTTTTGATTGTGATGCAAACTGGTGGAAAAAATCTACTTTGGATTCAGATTTCATCGCTCTTTTTCTAATGCTTGAGTTACAAATGAACGAGGAGTAGCATTCGATTGTGACATCAAAAGACACTTCTGCTGATGCTCAAATCTAGCATCTGCATTTCTCTATATGGAAGTTTATATGTTTGCTATAGCAGAATAGAAATAATTCCCTTGTCATTGGAATATATACATGTACCCCTCAGTCTCATGATTTCAGGCTTGGTTTTTAATTTGCCAACAAATCTCTCTACTATTGAGGTATATTCTCCAACAAATCCGACAATGCGAGAATTATTGTTGTTATTATTATTGTCTAGTTATTATTATTATTTAGTTATTATGCCTCCATCATGAATATGGCTGGGGCAAATAGTGTTTGTCACGTCTGTCTTCCATCCTTCTGTCTTTCCACACACTTTTTGTTTAGCTCAGAGTGAGTGAGTTTCAAAGAAACTGTTCAAGATATTTTTATCAAACTTCATATGCTGATAGATATTGAAAAGAGCTATTCGACTGCATCAACATTTTTTTTACCTTGACCTTCCCTTTGACCTTGACCTCACTTTTTTTAATAAGTTGTGTTTAGCTCAGTTTTAAAGACACTATTCAAAATATTTTTTTTTTATCAAAACTTATATGCTGGTACAAACTGATTAGAGTTATTCAACTGCATCGACATTTTTTTTTCACCTATGAAGTTAATTAATACCTGTTTCCAAAATGTTTCATATTTCATATGAATTTTAATAAAATTATCTTGAACATGTTGAATAGTTTCTTTGAAACTTAGCTAAATACAAATTATAGAAAAATGAAGTCAGGGTCAAAGGAAAGATCTCAACATATTTTTAGCATGACCTTTCTTTGACCTTGACCTTTTCAAAAATTTGTGTTTAGGTCAGTTTCAAAGAAAGTATTCAAGATATTTTTATCAAACTTATATGCTGAATCATATTGGTGAGAGCTGTTCAACTTCATCAACATCAACTTTGACATTAACCTTTCCTTTGACAAATTTTCTTTAATTTGTTTTTAGCAAACTTTCAAAGAAACGATCTAAGATATTTTTATCAAACTTCATGTGGTAATATACATTTGTGAGAGCCATTCAATTCACCAATATTTTTAGCTCACCTCAACGAAGTTATGGGGAACTTATGTAATACCCTCAGCGTGGCTTTGGTGTTGGTGTTGGCGTCCCAGGCTAAAGTTTTTGGAGCAGATTTCTTTTCAAGTACATGTACTTCTATACCCAATATTAATCAGAGATGCATAAACGATGCTACAGTTCTATTATGTTTCTCTATACCAGTCAAGGTTTCAGATGCAGCAATTTCAGCTAATTAAGAATAACCAGATTAATGTTTTTGGAGCAGGTTAAAGTTTTTGGAGCAGGTCTCATTTTCAAGTATTAATTGTAAGCCCTATGTTAGCCAAACTTGCATGGATGATACACATCTAAGGATGCACGCTAGCTAGCTTTGGATGCTGGATCTTACCTACATTTACAGGATGAGTTACCAGGTTAAAGTTTTTGGAGCATGTTCATTCTAAATTAACTTTAAGCCTTATGTTGACCAAACTTGAATGGATTATTCATCAAAGGTCTAGGATGCACACTACATGGCTTTGCTTGGGATGCTGGATCAGACCTACATTTTCCAGATGAGTGACCAGCTTAAAGTTTTTGAAGCAGGTTTATTTTTAAATAACTATAAGCATAATATTGACCAAACTTGCATGGATGATACATCTAAGGATGCACATTACAGGACTTGCTCCAGATACTAGATCAGACCTACATTTTCCAGATGAGTGACTAGGTTAAAGTTTTGGAGCAGGTTCATTATAAATTAACTATTAGCCCTATGTTGACCAAACTTCCATGGATGATGCATATATGGATGCATACTACTGTTTCAGATGCTGGATCAGACCTAAATTTTCTGGATGAGCATGATGAGTGATCCAGTTTAAAATTTTTTCAGCAGGTTCATTTTAAAGTAACTATTAGCCCTATGTTGACCAAACTTGCATGGATAATACATCTAAGGATGCACACTGCCAGAGTTGCTTCAGATGCTGAATCTGACCTACATTTTCCAGATGAGTGACCAGCTTAAAGTTTTTGGAGCAGACTCATTCCAGTGTAACTTCAAGCCCTACATAGACCAAACTTCCATCGATAATGCATCAAGGGATGAAGACTCTCAAACTTGCTTCAGATGCTGAATTTGAATTGCATTTTCTGGATAAGTGACTAGTTTAAAGTTTTTAGATTAAGTCCATTCCCAAGTAACTGCAAGCCCTAGCTGTTTAACAAAATTGCATTTTGCATCTAGGGAAGCACACTTCCAGATTATTATTTTACCTTGGACTTTGCCTTACTTAAAGAAAATTTTCGTTGAGGTGAGCTCTGTAATATTTGACAACCTATGTTTTTGACCTTGACCTTTCCTTTGACCTTGACTGTACTTTTCTCATATTTGTTTTTGGCTCAGTTTTAGGAAACAAATCAAGACATTTTTATCAAACTTTGTTTGCTGATACCTTTTGGTAAGTGTTATTGAACTACATCAAAACCTTTTTGACCTTGACCTTTCCTTTGACCTTGACCTCCCTTTTCTAAAATTTGCATTTAGATCAGTTTCAAAGAAACTTCAAGATATTATTATGTAAGCTCATGACTGATACATATTTAGTGAGAATTCATCAACTGGGTCATATTTTTTTTCCTTAACCTTCCCAATGACCTTTCACTTTTCTATTTATTATATATAAAACTCAGTTTTAAAGAAACCAATCAAGATATTTTCATCAAACTTCATACAGACTTCATACACTAATACAAATTTTCATGTTACATTGCTAATGAACCCTGGACGGGGCATACATGTCTTATGGACATATTTCTAGTTGTTTGTTTTTTTTTCAAACTGGGAGCAATTCCCCATGAACAAAATAGTTGTAACATGTGTGATTAGGCAAATTAAATTAATTTATAGTTTCTCAGGCACCTCTGCATCTGGTCAAACACTGCCACATTTATAAATTTTATTGACGTATGGAGAAGGGAAATAACTCAATTTTCCATTATTCCAAGTTGAGAAAAAACGTTTTTATTTGATACACAATAAATTTTTGCTAAAAAGATACTTTATGAATTAACATAATTGATATAAAACTGTTTGGAATAACATTATCAAAAGTTTAGTATTTGTTAATATTAATATAATAGTATATAAAACTAGAACCAGTTGATATCATGATATCGTTTTCTTGACTGACATGAGAAAAGACCTGCCTGCCGCATTAAATTTTGAAATTTTTGGCCTTAGAAACTTAGGTTTTTTTGGGTTTTTTTGGCCTTACAAATATTTTCAGTACTGTTTTATTATTATTGGGCTTTTCCCAATATATTTTGTTTTGTTTTGTTTTTTTTAGAGTTGAAGGCACTTCAAAAAAGAATTGAAGACATAAAGAGGCGATTGCAACCATCAGCAAATACATGTCAACCTTGTATACCTCCAAAGAGGGAAACTTTGCGTAAGAATAAATCACACTCCTTCATGAATGATATATTTATTAGCTCACCTGAGCCGAGGGCTCAAGTGAGCTTTTCTGATCACATTTTGACTGTAGTCCGTCTGTCTAGCTGTCTGTCTGTCTAACTGTCCGTCTGTAAACTTTTCACATTTTCGACTTCTCCAGAACCACTGGGCCAATTTCAACCAAACTTGCCACAAAGTATCCTTGGGTAAAGGGGATTCAAGTTTGTTCAAATGAAGGATTATGCCTTCTTCCAAGGGGAGATAATCATGAATTCATGAAAAATTAATGGCATCATTAAAAAATCTTCTTCTCAAGAACCATTTTGCTTGAAAATATGAAACTAATGTGGAAGCATCCTCAGGTAGTGTAGATTCAAGTTTGTTCAAATCATGACCCCCGGGGGTTGGGTGGGGCCACAATGGGCGATCAAAGTTTTACATAGGAATATATAAGAAAATTTTTGGAAATCTTCTCAAGAACAGCAAAGCCATGATTAGTCATATTTATATGGAAGCATCCTCAGATAGTGTACATTCAAGTTTGTTCAAATCATGACTCCCGGGGGTAGGGTGGGGCCACAATGGGCGATCAAAGTTTTACATAGGAATACATAGGAAAAGTCTTTAAAAATCTTTTTCTCAAGAACAGCAAAGTCATGATTGGTCATATTTATATGGTAGCATCTTCAGGTAGTGTAGATTCAAATTTGTTCAAATCATGACCCCTAGGGGTTGGATGGGGCCACAATGGGTGATCAAAATTTTACATAGGAATATGTAGGAAAAATATTTAAAAATATATTTCTCAAGAACAGCAAAGCCATGGTTGGTCATATTTATATGGAAGCATTCTTAGATTGTGTAGATTCAAGTTTGTTCAAATCATGACCCCCAAGGGTAGGGTGGGACCACAATGGGCGATCAGAGTTTTACATAGGAATACATAGTTAAAATCTTTAAATCGTCTTCCCAAGAACAGCAAAGCCATGATTGGTCATATTTAAATGGAAGCATCCTAAGGTAATGTAGATTCAAATTTGTTCAATTCATGACCCCCCAGGAGAATTGAGGGGCCATAATAGGGGATCATAATATCAATAAAAATTTTCTTCTTAAGAACACCAAAGCCATTATTTGTCATATTAATTCAAAAGCATCCCTATGAAGTATAGATTCAAGCTGGTTCAAATCAACCCCCCTCCCCCCCCCCCCCCCCCCCCCCCGTACCACTTCTATATTTAAACTTTTCAACCTTTCAAGACTGAACGGATTTCTGCTTTTTCCTAGCCATAGTGCTCAGGTGAGCGATGTGGCCCCTGGGCCTCTTGTTAAATATAAGATCTCCTCAGATGCTTAGGTCACCTATTGCTGTATGTTTTTGTCCATAGTTGTGTGTAGTCAATCATGCATTTTTTATCACATTCAGCTTCTTCGCTTAAACATCTGAACAAATAGTATAAGCAGCACCTATGGTAAAAGGGGAACTTAGACTTAAGTGAAATGAAACTAATTTGCAGACAACAGCAGTTTGACAATGTAATGTTGAACAGCATTTTTAGGTCACCTGAGCTGAAAGCTCAAGTGAGTTTTTCTGATCTTATTTTGTCTGTAGTCTGTCTGTCCGTCAGTCCGTCTGTCTGTCTGTAAACTTTTCACATTTTCAACTTCTTCTCCAGAACCACTTGGGCAATTTCAATCAAATTTGCCACAAAGCATTCTTGGGTGAAGGGGATTCAAGTTTGTTAAATGAAGGGCATTGCCCTCATTCGAGGGGAGATAATTCAGAAATAGAGATAATTTGGTGGCATGATTCAAAAATCTTCTCCTCAAGAACCACTCAGCCAAAAAAGTTGAAACTTCCAGGATATTTTCTTTACATAGTTTAGATTCGAATCTGTTCAAATGATGATCCCTGGGGGTAGGGTGGGACCACAATGGGGGATCAAATTTTTTTCATAGGAATATATAGGAAAATATCTTTAACTAGAAATATGTCCATAGGACATGAATGCCCCACCGAGGGTATATTAGTAATGCAACATGAAAATTTGTATTATTGCATGAAATTTGATGAGAATATCTTGAACAGTTTCTTTAAAATTGAAATTGAAATCTAAAAAGTTGGATATAGATGATAAATTCTCACCAAATTATGTATAAGAGCATAAACTTACATAAATATATCTTAGATGGTTTCTTTAAAATTAAGCAAAATGCAAATCTAAGAAAAGTGAGGTCAAGGTCACAGGAAAGTTCAAGGTCAAATGTTTTTGATGCAATTGAATACTTCTCACAAATACGTATCAGCATATTTAAGTTTGATAAAAATGTTTTGAATGGTTTATTTAAAACTGAGCTAAACACTAATTTAAGAAAAGTGAGGTCAAGGTCAAAGGAAAGGTCAAGGTAAAAAAATATTGATGCAGTTGAATACTGTACAGCAGGAAATTAACTCGCAGAGTTAATATTCGCTATATTCGCGGAAATAAAAATTCCGCGAATTCAACATACAGTGAATAATTCTCCAAAAATTGATAAGGATAAATTGAAATATTACCGATGTCTGTGATTAGATTCGTTAACTTTATTTCTTTTTCCTTGCAAACATAAAAGCAGTAATTAATATAGCGGAGATGTAGACTGTCTTCCTAATTAGGCGAGTGTACGGATCGATTTATTTACTAAGACGTACTGAGTTGTTTTTTTTTTTTAAACTTAATTGATAAATAAACATCTATAACTAACATTTAATTCTGCCACCCAGTAGAGGTGCGATGTAATTATCTGTAAAACATGTAGGCCTATTGTTAGATTTCACCCGTGCGTATCACTCAGTCCTATTATCTTTAATCTAAGCACTTACGTAGTAAAGACAACACTGTTACACATTAATTCAATTTTATTAACAGTTTAACATTTTGATTACCGGTACTGACAACTTATTTAGATTCAGGGAGATTTGAATATACTGCAGTAAACACTACTCTGTACTCTACTCAAAACATACCTACATGTATGAACGAACACCAGCCAAAGGGCCTTTTTTTACATGAATGTATTGGATACGACTTGAAATCACTTGAATAAATCACTCGAGTATAGATACGTATTTCAAAAATATTTAATAAAAAGAAAGAAAGAAAACACGAGAAAGAAAGAAAATTTATCTGAATACGTAATATTGTAAATCGTACAACATTTTGTCTTCTAATCGGGATCAGTTCTATTTAATTGGGTTCAGAATCGACATAATACGCAAGGAAAATACTTTCAGTGTGGAAATTTTTTTTGTATAATTTTTCCTTTCACGAATTCAAACGACCGTGATTTGCTGCAAGTTGAACAAATCGCGATCTTTTCTGACCACGATTTTAACCTGCTGTACAGTAACTTACATCAGTATGTATCAGCATATGAAGTTAGATACTAATTTAAGAAAAGTGAGGTCAGGGTCAAAGGAATGGTCAAGGTCAAAAAATGTTGATGCAGCTGAATAGCTTCTATCAGTATGTATCAACATATGAAGTTTGATTACACTATCTTGAATGGTATCTTTAAAACTGAGCTAAACACTAATTTAAGAAAAGTGAGATCAAGGTCAAAGGAATGGTCAAGGTAAAGAAATGTTGATGCAGTTGAATAGCTTACATCAGTATGTATTAACATATGAAGTTTGATAACACTATCTTGAATGGTATCTTTAAAACTGAGCTAAACACTAATTTAAGAAAAGTGGATCAAGGTCAAAGGAAAGGTCAAGGTCAAAAAATGTTGATACAGTTGAATAGCTTACATCAGTATGTATCAACATATGAAGATTGATTAAACTACCTTGAATGGTATCTTTAAAACTGAGCTAAACACTAATTTAAGAAAAGTGAGGTCAAGGTCAAAGGAAAGGTCAAGGTCAAAAAAATGTTGATGCAGTTGCATAGCTCTCATCAATATCTATCAGCATATGAAGTTTGATAAAAGATCTTGGATAGTTTCTTTGAAACTGAGCTTTGAACAGAGCTAAATGCAAAGCGTGATGGAAAGACAGACGAAAGGATGGAAGGACGGAAGACGGACATGACAAACACTATATGCCCCGGCCATATTCATGGCGGGGCATAAAAATCTTCTTCTCAAGAACAGAAAAGCCATGTTTAGTCATATTGATATGGAAGCATCCTCAGGTAGTGTAGATTCAAGTTTGTTCAAATGATGAACCCTGGGGGAAGGGTGGGGCCACAATAGGGGATCAAATTTTTACAAACAAATGTACAGGAAAAAATCTTCTGCTAAAGAACAGCAAAGCCATTTGTTATATTCATATGGAAGCATCCTCAGGTAGTTTAAAATTCAAGCGCCCCCCCACCCCCCACCCCCACCCCCTGTAAACTTTTCAATACTGAACTGATTTGTGCTTTTTCCAAGCCAATGTGCTCAGGTGAGCAATGTGGCCCATGGACCTCTTGTTATTTTGGACCATGTGACTTTTAATCAAAATCATTTCAGCTCAATATACTTATTTTTCAATTCGGCAAAGGATGTTTCTAAAATTAAAAATTATTTTGTAAAGGACTGTCCTGTTTAGTAAGCCAGCCCCGTAAATTGAGCACACATGTCAAAATGTTTAGGCCTCTCCATCTTAGCTGCAATAATGTAGCCCTCTCTGATATTTTTTGTTCTGATGTTTTCTATTTTCAAATCTGATGTTTTCTGTTTTCTCTCAAAAAAAAAAAAAATAAAAAAAATATAATCAGAGCCATTGATCATACTGATGAAATATCATTTGATAAAAACTTCAGGTACCCGTGAATCAAGAAACATGTCAGCAGAGCAGACCGAGGGTAAATATTGTTTCAGAAATAGAAAATAATGTTGATTATGTCAATACATGTATTCTTTTATGTTTTCCAGCTTCTTTTTCATTCTGCAATAACATCGATAAACACACAACTTTTTATTTTTAGAAAATATCCTCATTCAGGCCAACAGGAAGCAATTTCAATTTTGGGGGTGGGTGGAGGGGGACACTACCATATTTTTTCAGCTGGGCTGGAGGGTAGGGGGCACTAACCAAAGAAAAATTCCTTGACAAGCCAAAAAAAAGCCAGGGGTGGAGGTGGGGGTGGTGTGGTGTGGGATGTTCATGTCATTAGTTGTAATTATTGAGGTAATATTAGTATACTATATATCAGCTCCCCACCTGCACCCCTCCCCCCTTCTGGAGAATATTCCTTTCATAGTTCAAACAAACTGAATTGTCACAATGAAATCGATTTCCAAGGAATGAAATGATGGAAATGATACTTTATCTGTTTAACAAAACAGTTAACGAGTATCGTTATGGGACTAAACAAGATTCTAGATCATTTGCAATTCATTACTAAGGCTTTTGTACAAGAAATTAGTAAGATCACCAGGAAAATTCTAGAGTCTTGCTGTAATGTCTCAATGATTAACATAGATATGTACATATGTAAGAGCATGCTTAAAAATTTAAGAGAGAATAAATCATTTAAAATATATGGAAATTTTCATAATTTTGAAATTACTTTAAAGCTTTCTCTTCAAATTTACATGTAGATCATATGAAAGATTGAACATGTTCAATAAAAGATTTTTTTCCATAAAAAGTATCAACAGGATATGGAATTATCTGACATATATATACTTGTTTATTTAATATGTACTGTATCACAAACAGTGGAGTCTTAGTCTGGTATATTTCTTTCTGTTTTATCATAGATTTGAAGGCATTTGAAAGAAGACTAACTGAAGTAATTGACAAACTACAACCTACAGCAAGGCTTTGGAGAAGTAAAACTTTTACATTAAATCTCACTGACAAGTTGATGCATGAAGATACATGTATTTTAGACAGGTTGAAATAGCTAATGCAGATAATTTTATAGTTCTATTTATTGGCCTTATGTACTGAAAACACTGTTGAATATTTATAACCCAAGCAGATTTGTCCTCTGTGATTTTACAGCACCATATTTCTTTTGATTTATTATATGTGTATAGAAATATACAGAATATCCACAGACTTTTGTCAGTATTTTCATCTTTTATGATGTTAGTTGATCATATTTATCTCATATCAGAATAAAGAAAATCGAAAGAATGCTAAAATTTATCAAAGTAGAATTTTTTTCGTGGCCTTGTATTTCTTACAATTCCTACATCATACATGTTTTTTTTTTCAGTGGTACTCATCGCAATTCCTACATCATACATGTTTTTTTTTTCAGTGGTACTCATTGTTATCTCTGTGTGTACAGCTGTAGGAGCCTGGACCTGGCTCTGGGACTCCCAAACAAAACAGGTACTTATAATTACTGTAAACAGGCAATGTTTAGTTAAACATTAAACACTATCCTCCCAAACAAAACAGGTACTTATAATTACTGTAAACAGGCAATGTTTAGTTAAACATTAAACACTATCCTCCCAAACAAAACAGGTACTTATAATTACTGTAAACAGGCAATGTTTAGTTAAACATTAAACACTATCCTCCCAAACAAAACAGGTACTTATAATTACTGTAAATACTATCTTCCAATACTAAATAGGTAATGTATAGTTAAACATTAAACACTATCCTCTCAAGCAATACAGGTACTGTACAGGGGTAGACAAATAGAATTTTTCAGAACTTGCCCTTGGACAGGTTACCATCGTAAAATTACTTGTCCTGCCAAAAAATATGCTTGTCCCACCTCTTTCTTAAATAAGACGAAATTAAAGCAGTATCATTAATATTTTGGACTAATCTAGACCCCAAATCACTTAACTCTCCCAAGGAGCATTTCTAATTCTAAGAAGATTTCCTATAAGTTTGTGCGTTGTGCATTGATTATTATAAAACTTAACATTTTAATGTTAATGTATGTACTTATACATATCACTGTATTATCTAAATGAAAACAAAAATAATATGAAATTATGAAAAACAATTATGACAAACACTCATGAATGTTGATTGAGGGTTCGACTTCATGACTGTTTGTATGTTCGCCAGCCAACAACACCAATAGTATTTTAAAAGCAACATGTGTTTGTATCGTGTGTATTCACGGAATGAATTTTACATTTGGACAATGAAATGGTCTAAAATCCTCTTCAACTTTTTTGACATGATGACGTTGATATCATACCTGCTATGTTTTACGTGTTGTGAAAAGTTTAACAACACATGAATTGGCTAATTCTAGAGGAGTTCCGACTGAGTATTCTATGTAGTGGTCAACTGCATCGAAAATGGATAGTCTTGTGTGGTTCTTTGTATTTAAACAGTGATGAAACTTTTGAGTATGTGTTTTTTTTTTAACTGGAAAAGCACTTGTCTGCGGGCAGGTACCACTAATCTAATAACTTTCCCGCCAAACAAAATTGGTTGTCCTGGGCGTCGGACAATGCTATTTGTCAAGCCCTGCTGTATATTAAAAACTATCCTCCTCCCAAACAAAACAGATACTATATAATTAAGCACAATCCTCCGAAACAAAATGACACTATCCTCCTTAACTAAATGGACACTGTATAAGAAACAGTAAAATAAGAAACTGTATATTAAAAGCTATCCTCCTCCCAAACAAAACAGGGACTGTATTATTGGTTACATAGTTTTGTATTGATAGGGTACGGGATGATACCTGGTCAGTAAAGGCAAAGCCTCGCCAGGTATGAAATTTATAACCAGGTATCATCCCGTACCCTGTCACTACAAAACTATGTAAGAAATTTTCCCCACCGATAAAATATTTATTGTCTTTGTTTTGTAAAATTGTTTTTCTCACGATATATGTTTCGTACAATGCCTATTATAATGTCACATTGTGTTATGTGACGTTGTTTACAACTGTTTTGTGCTGTAATAATGTACTGACAGTTTTGAAGACTTTCAATAAAGGGAGAAAAAATTTCCATCTCATTATTACATTAGTTAACTGTTATTCATGTATTGTCAACAGACACTCAGCAAACCTTGTGAACTCGAGTTGTTCGAACATTACAAAAGAACGATAATTCCATATCAACCATATATTGATTTTCAAGCAACTAGGTATAAGTATTACACCCCCTTCACGTGACAGACTTCAACCAATCGTAAGCCAGGATTTCATAGAAAAATCAACAGCGGTGGAGTAAAATGAAAAACTATAATTCCAAACAAATCAATAACTGTAAAAGTACTTTTTTCCTCGGGGTCATAATTCCGTGGAATCACAATATCAGTTTAATCCACTGGTAAAAAATTACGTGGATTCTTTACATGTCAAAAAAATTATAATCCCCTACATTTTAAATATGAGAGAGAAATTACGAATTTTTGCTCAAATGCACCTCTCCTGTTTTCAAAGAACATCATCTTTGTGAGTACAATGATCAAACGACTCGGAACAACATACGTATGGGGTACGTTCCCCCAAAGCTGCACTTCAGATCTTCTAGAAATGACGTATTTAAAATAAAGAATGTATTAAAAATGAATTTTTCTGAGTGTTACACAGATCAATTTCAAATGAGTTGATATAGACTACCAGGTATTCTTACATACTAAAAGGTACATGCGCTGCATTGTTTTAGCCTATCCTCAAAACCTAAAAAGTACTGTATTTTTATACCCATTCCATCCAAATAAAATAGATTTTGTATCTGTGAAATAAACGAGAACAGTGTTGTTTTACCTAATCCTATGAAACTAACTGTACAGTATTATGTTACATCCAATTTATTCCTATTCAGGCACTTTTTTTATTATTTATTTGCCTTTGCCTTCAGACAAATTCGGTTGGTTGGATAAAAAAGTTATTATGAAACCGTGAACATTTCCACCGGTAATATCAATAAACTGTCTATGTAATTTAACCGAACTATTAAACAGGCAAAGTATTCTTATATATTTTTAATCGTTTCAAACTGAAGTACCTGTAGTGTATGATACCCATTCCTTCCAAACAGAGCAGATACTATTTTGTTCTATCCCTATCCTCACAAACTAAACAGGTACTGTATTGTATCAAACTAAATGGATACTGTTTTGTTATATCCTATCCTATCAAACTGAGCAGGTACTGTTGTGTTCTATCCTAGCCTATCAAATTAGATTGGTACTGTATTGTTACATGTATATCCTATCCTATCAAATTAAGCAGATAATGAATTGTCATATCCTATCCCCATAAACAAGTCAAAGTAACCAAAAATGCTTAATGTACAACATTATAATGTGTGCTTCATAATTCATATGCTTTTACTATAGATTGCAGCTAAGAATTCCCAAGATTCCTTGTTGATGGCAGTACTGTATACATGTTAGATAATATTTTTACAATTGCAGATCTCACTTACTCAGTCCTTGATGAATCATCCATTTTTCACAATCAGCTGTTTTTTCCTCATTCTTCTGTTTCTTTGTGGAATCCATAAAAGAGTTGTTGCACCCTCAATGTATCCTTTTTATAGTATAAATGAAGGTGCTTTAATATTTGTGTTATGTTTCATACAACACTAAAACATTGATTTTATTGCTAATTTGCATTCAATGTAGTATCTGATTTGAATAAAACTTGGAACATTTAACTACTACATTAAAAAACATACTTGGGTGTATCTATTTAATTTTCAGTCTTTCAAAATATCACAGGTTGAAACTTGAAAGTGTTGGTCTCTTTGACTCAGGAGAAAGCAAGGGTATTGATAACATGCAGCTACCTACAGAATAGCCAAATTCTTGCTAAATTAAATTTAGTTCAATATTCTATTGAGGTTGAAAATGCTTGTATATAAAGTACATCTGTAAATGACGAAAAAAGTACTTAACCATGCTTAGTATTGGATCCAGGTGTCGGCAAGTTTTAACAGACTTCAATATGTCATGTGATGAGGTAAGAAACTCATTTTTTTTTTCTTTTATGTTGTTATTTGAATTTTTATTCTGTTTGAAAAATATCTATAGACTGTGCATCATAATTCATTCACCCTTCACTCACCTTATAATTAACGTCATCTTACCATATTAAATATTAAAGAAGTGAAAAAAAAGTTCCTTTATAAACAGGAAGTAGTTTAAATTAGAGTACTGGTTCTGTATATGTAAGGCATAACTGTCTAGTTTTTTGGTTTTATGGTGATTGTGATCAAACAGTCTGCTCACATGATAATTTAAGATAAAATTAGCATGTGAGGAGACTGTTTGATAATCATCATAAAACCAAACAAAAACAAACTATTCCTTTTATTTACATTTTTACCTGATCCTTGATTCATTAAAAAAAAACAAGATGTGTTTGTGAAACACTGATGCTCATGTAAAGCAGTTCAAGGCCATTGAAGGTTAAAGTTTTTCAAATGTAGGTCAAACTCCAAGGTCATTTGGTTAGGAGTTAAAAATGTTGAAACACAAAGGTTTTGTCACAAGGAATACACATATGAAATATAATAGCCCTAGTAAAACCATTCAGAAAATATGGCCAAGGTTATAGGGAAGGAAAAAGTCTTGTCACAAGGAATGCATAAGTGAAATATAAAACCCTTAGCAGCAACTGTTCAAGGGTTATAGAGAAGGTGAAAGTATTTTCAAATGTTTGTCAAACTCCAATGTCAAAAATGTTGGTACCCAAGGAAAGGTCTTGTCACAAGGAATATACATGTGATACAGTCAAGCCTCCTTATCTCGAACTCAATGAGACAGAGAAAAAACTTCGAGATATCCAAGGATTCGAGATATCGAGGGTAAAAAGTAAAAAATTCACCTTGACATATCCATGGTATTCGAGATATCCATGTTCGAGATACCGAAGTTCAACTGTATATGAAAGTCCTAGAAGCCACCATTCAAAAGTTATGGCCAAGGTTGAAGTTTTTCAAAAGATGGTCAAACTCAAAGGTCAAAGTTGAAAGGTCAAACATGTTGGTACCCACAGAAAAGTCTAGACACATGGAATACACATATGAAATATAAAAGCCCTGGCTCCAACCAATCGATAGTTATGGCTAAGGTTAAAGTTTTGTAAATTTTTGCAAAAGTAGATAAAACTTCAAGGTCAAGAAGTCAAATAAGTTTGTACCTAAAGAAAGGTCTTGTTAAAAAGGATACACATGTGAAATATAAAGGCACTAGCACCAATCATTCAAAAGTTATGGGCAAGGTTTAAATTTTTGCAGACAAACAGATGAACAGATTACAGACAGACAGACAGCTAGACTGACAGGCAGACTAAAACCTATATACCTCCAAATCTTTGATTACAGGGGCATAAAAAATGAGATAATTCAAAAATTAGAACTCTAAGTCTGCAAACCCCACCAAGTATCACTACACCAACACACAGTGAGAAGGCAGTTCTGTTGCATGATTCTTTTTTTTTAAAGACATCTATGTTCCAATGATGAGCAGATGGCTTTATGAAGATATCTAGCTATTTCCTTACATGTAGTTTCATCCTGGACAAAGACATTTGAAAATGTAAATATTGTTAGATATTTTGTAAAATTCAGATTTCATGGTTCATGACTTTTCTTTGCAGACGGGGAAGTTAATTCTAAAACCACGACACATATAGCATCTGCACGTGACTAAATATGTCTCACACTCGTTGTGCATACAGCAACCTACCATTCTGTTCTGCAGATTTATCTACAGAGCAAGCAAACAAAACAATACATTTGATGCCAAGTGATGATACCAAACAGCAGTCAGACTTTGGAATATCATCCTGTTGTGACATCATAAAGTGCTAAATATACACAGACATTGCTTTTATCTGAACTAGTTCATAAATTATACCAATTTGTTGTTACTTATCATGTGTTCAAAAACAGAATTTTGATGGGTATGTGTTTATATATAAAATTATTGTTGAAAGAATGAGGGTGAATTTGATTTGATTTTGGTGCACTTGAAAAGTGAAAAATTCATTGATCCATTCAAGATATTTTAGCATTTCTATTGATGTATCAGGTTCCTATGATATAGCAAAAAAAAAATATTTTCCCAGTATTATGTTTTGATATGCTAAAATGTGCCTTGAAATATGACTAGATGAGTCATTTGGTACCATCTGTTCTTTTCTATGTGTCCCCAGGCCTGTAGGGAGCAATTTTACTTTTGGTTTGATCTTTGCATGGAGCATTCAATCAAGTTGTTTGTCAGCTTGATTTTACATACTGATCTATTTAAGATTTTAAAATAAAATCAAATTTTGATTCTGTTGCACTGAGAGCAAAAGCCATTTTTTCCTACCCACTAAAACTTTAATACATTTGCATTTAACTATTTCTTACTTTATTGAAGTGTTCAACCCTATGCTATCCTATCTGTTAAAATAAGCAGACTTGAATATTGCAATTTTTTGACAAGTTATTTCAATTTCATGTTACATTTTCCTATGTGGATAACTTTCGTAATGTCTGTCCAGCTGTGGTCAGCCGACCAAATTGTCTGCTTGACTGAACATTCAAATTATGAATGATTTTTGCAGATTACATGCAATAAAAGCCCTTTGTCTTAGTTGATAGTTGTTCCTTTTTTCTCCTTAACTGATATTTCAAATGTATGGCTACTTCAGTGACACTGCAGTTTATATGGAGGAGAAGCTTTGTATGTAGTGATACACTTATTTTTTAATATTAGAATTCTGTTCTTTTCTTTGCATCCCAAGGCCTGTAGGAAGCAATTTCATTGTTTTTTTCGGGGAGGGGGACCAAACATTTTCAGTTTGGGTGGGTACTACCAAGGAATTTTCCTTGACAAGCAAAAACAAAAAAAAGATTTAAGATTTGTTTGTGAAATACTGATGCCCCCATATGTCAGCTTCTTCAAAAAGTAAGAAACTCCAAGGTCATGTGGTAAAAAAAAATTGGAACCAAAAAACGGTCTTGTCACAGGGAAGCCACAAGTGCATATATATTGAGAGCCTAAGCACCAACTGTTCAAAAGTTATGGCCAAGGTTAAATTTCTGCAAAACTCCACAGTCAAGGTTAGAAATGTTAGAATCCAAAGAAAAGTCTTGCCACAAGGAATAAACATGTGAAATACGAAAGCTGTAGCACCAACCGTTCAAAATTTATGGCCAAAGTTAAAGTTTTCCAAAAGTATACTGTAGGTCAAAATCCAAGGTCAAGGTTATTTGGTCTAAAGTGTTTTTACCCAAGAAAAAACAAAGAATACGCATGTGAAATATGAAAGCCCTAGCAAAAATCATTCAAAAGTTATGACCAAGGTTAACGTTTTACAAAAGAAGGACAAATGTACGTTAAACTCTAATGTCATGAGATCAGAAATATTGGTATCAAAAGAAAGGTCTTGATACAAGGAATAGACTTGTGAAATATGAAAGCTGTAGCACCAACCGTTCAAAAGTATGGCCAAGGTTAAGTTTTTGCGGACAAACAAACAAACCGACGGACAGACCAAAGACTATATGCCCAGAATCTTCGATTACGGGGGCATGAACAAAAAATGTCATATACCTAATTATAGGTCATACTTAATTATTAAAGGGGCACAACCATAAAGCAGCATTGTTTTCTATAGTACAGGGGAGTATACTATGTATGCGATGGGAGGGGGGGGGGATTCCTACGGCCATCGTCCCTTTGAAGAATAACAATTATTAGAATGCCTTTCCAATTTAAGGTAGTAGTAGCTAGGAAATAGGAATTCACTGCTCCTTGCCGTTCTTTCAGAATGTTGCTTTTTTGATTGTTGTCAATCAAAACAGTATTGGCGGGGTAGTCATAACCATATTATTTAATAAGATTTTAAAAGGGTACTACCATTGAGCAACCCAGGCTGATATCCAAGGTCTATTATGCCAAATCTTCCACAACCCTCCCTTCTTAAACAGTCTTCGACCTTGAAGACAAGTTCATAGGCCTTGTAGTTGTAAGGACTTACTAATTTACGCGTAACCTGAACAAGGCCGATGAACTTCTGTCTTCAAGGTCGAAGAATCTTTAAGGAGGGAGGAATGTAAACTGGGCTATATGGATCGTGGATATCGTCGAATACCCATGATTGGACTCGCTTCTCTTGCATCCTGCTAACCTAGCTGGATTTTCAACAATGGTCATTACGTGATATAGCACTTGATTATGGATACAGGGTTTCCAGGTTCGATTCCCGGTCCAACCATATATTTTCTTTATTCATCCCTCCATTCCTGTTACAGCTAGTGTCTTAATCGTAAAAAATGTAGAATTTTATCAGTTGGATCTATATAATTTGTTACGTGATCTTGAAACCCCACCCTTCTTCTGTTTATATATTGAGGGTTAATCTTCAGTGGAACACGTCTGATATCACAGCTCTTTTGGGCAATTAAAGTCATATCCCATCATCTACTTCAAGCTACATCATGTGGGTGACGTCAAATGGTTATTGGTTTCAAGTTCAAGAAACATGAACCCAAGAGACAACATACAAAATATAATATTTGCATCTTCCGTGCATATTCATTTATAATCTGAAATTAAGCAGCTTTGATACCACGAATATTGCAATCAAATTATACTGTCCTTGAGACCTGGATCGAAGTATATTTTATACATGAACATCAACACATGTTCAAGGTGATGATCAATATATCCCATGTTCTTGGAGATGCACGACAACAATGCCACTTGCATATGAATTATTGCTTAATTAATGTTGTCCCGATGAACAAGATGTGATAAAATGGCGCTCCATGGCTGTTTTTAATTAATAGCCAACTGTTTTGCGTCAGATGATTTACTTTGGCTGCATTTATATATCGGGGGCTCACATTATCCGGGAATGACCTTTCATCCAAGGTTGCGTTTTTTGATAGGCTTTCTCTCCATATTGCAAATCAAAATAATCTAACATACCGATAAACACGTGTTACCTTGGCAATGTTGTACCTAAGCATATATTGGTGGTAATGTGCTCATGCAAACCTGAAACTACTGCTAGAACAACAAACATGTTATTTTTATCTGGTCGTGTTACTGTGTAGGGCTGTAACTAGGGTCTCATTTGTACGGGTATGAGGAGGAGCCGTCTCGAGGGGTTACCAAGATAATTTATGATTCAGAGGAAGTCTTATTTTCGGCAGGTCGTGGGGGTGAGGGGGGGAGGCTGTCTAAAGTGAAATGAAAATTAATTTCCATAATTCTGTCGAGTGAAGAAGCTTGGTGCTGGACGATATCACATCTAGTGACTATAACGATATGACCAATTGTTTGTTAATAAATACCGGTGTATAATATTAGATTAACTTCTAAATTAACATACACATAGCACAAAATTGGTATAATCAATTGGAAGTCCAATAAAATATACTAGCAGATTCAAATTCGTAGTTATTGCGTGAGTGCATTGTAAAATATATTACGGATATTTTTATAGCAGCACAGTTACACATCACACAAGCATACCACTTTTCTTTGGTTTAATCTTGCAGTACTCGGAGGAAGCATAGAGAAGTTTGCACTCGCAAACTTATAACATGCAGCACCACAGCACCAAGATGAAGAATTATTACGTGTTATCTTTATGTTATCTTCATTTCTTCGTCAAGAAGAGTATTTTCTTGTTGTTAATGCGAATGAATATACATAGTACATCGGTTGCTTAGCGCTGGATTATATTGGCTTGAACAGGAGAACACTAAACACGAGCTCGCACCTTTTACTGTTATCCATTTTTAGGCAGTGTCTTCCTTCACAACAAGAATCCGTCAGCAGACGAGTTCATTTTGCTCAAAGGGGTATTTCTCACGAGCATTTTTGTCCCTTTACTTAGACATAATCCTTGTCGCTTGTTTTGTCGTTCATGAAAATTTCAGTATTAATGCTTTATTTAATTTGCACTATAAATTGCTCTCATGATTTAAATCCAGATTTTCATTTCCAAAAATATTTATCTGATACCCCTGGAAATCATAATAGATACGTCCTCTAAAACGCATCTTCTGCCACTCGTTTCTGCTCTGTGTAGAATAGGGTCGGCTCCTCTGCTCCTTCATGCTGTTTTGAAATTGAGGATTTTTCTACCTTTCGTCTGATAAACCGACTTGTAAGTATTCAAATTTTTATTACTACTTAACAAATCATATATACTGTAAAGATTAACCATAATTAATCTTCTTGACTGCTCCTTCTACATTGAAATGTAATTCTGATTATTACATGCAGCTGCTTTTCATGAAATTTAAGACATGAGTACAAATTCCTACATTCAGCAATTTACATGTATGTACTATCAAGTCATCTCATCCCAGCTGAGGTGACAACAAGTTTCCTCACAAACGAAGCAGCTAAGCTATCATCCCCTAAATCATCTATTTTATCTCTCATCAACGTCAGACAGCATCTCAGTACTTCTGTCATGACAGTGAAATACTATTCGCTCTCCCGTCTTCGTTGTCCAACCCACGTGCGTCAAACCCGGATCGCAAAGGATAAAACTTGGTGTAAGGGTTTGAAGAATTCTGGAGTTGACTAAAGCATCAGGAACGCTGGCCACCTTATAAAGTCGGGGAACTTACTTCTTAGTACTACTAGTATCCTGTGGTGGGGGTCGTCTGCTCAAGAATTATCTCCCCTTTTCGCCTGCTTTCCAGCAACTTGACTTATCATTCATTAATCGTGTTCATTCATTTTGGACTTATTTAATTTGATTTAAACCAGGAACATACAGAAAAATGTTGCTCATTATGCCAGGCGGAGATTCCTACTTGGTATGAATTTAGCTGCTGATTATCTTTTTTTTGCAGAAGAATAATGCAAGGTTAACTTCAGGAGGATTTTACTTCACTGAACAAAATGTGATGGGAAGAAAAATTCGCTAATAAGCCTTGCATTGTTCTTGATTTTGTGCTTGCATGTGTTTTCAAGACTTTGTTTTAATGTTGTATGGCAGGCTCGGGCTAACTAAGGCGAGCTATCCGGTATGGCAAGGAAAAGAGCTATGACTCCGGCTTTCATCGGCGGGGTGAGTTTTCACAAGAAGTAGAGATATGCTCTAGTTTGTGATTTATGCACTTGATAGACCTTGTGCAAAATATTTGGTAGAGTTCTCGCCAACAGTTCAAACAATGTTTAATTACATAAAAGCTCAAATTCCTAAGAGAAAGGGGTTCAAATATGTTTATTTCAACAAGAAAAGTCCATCAGTTGTTCAAAGAATTAATAAGATCGGTACCCAATAGTAGTATTTAATAACCACAATTTATTAGCATTATTATTGTCTTAAATAATAAACTATTTTTTTTAAATAAATGTCATTTTTAAAAATGTAGATATATTTGCTGCATGAAACGAGCGCTTGGAATGCCTACAGAAACGCATTGGCAAGCATTCTTAAACGGAAATAATCTGCTTTGAACGCATTATTTATAGATTTATCTGTTTTGTAATATATTCCGTAAGTACCGGTATCTGTAATAATAAATCGACAGGGCACCCCTCTAAGAATGAAGTGATATATGATCTTGATCGCGCGCGCACTCACGTGCATTACATCTGGATTAGTTAACACAGCACGAACGAGATTATATTCGAGATGTCGATCTCTGATTTACCATGACGCTTCTTTTTCTTAACGTAAATAATTATATAAGAATATCTTCATGGAGTTAAAGAGATAAGCCTGGGCGTATGATACTTGCAATAGTTTCTTTAAACAGATAGGTTTACTATGTCATATTTTAGGAGTTTAATTACTGTAAAGCACTTTTACTAAGCACTATAACTACGCAATGTGAAAAATTATAACATCTTTTCTAGAAGAAATTCTTGGATTCGAAAAAGAGTCTTTTAAAAAGGATCATGTTTGCAGGAAAAAGAGGATGGGTTAAATTGACTAGATTATTATTTAACTGTTTGAAAACATATTAAGAGGTAGAGAATATTTCTGTTGTGTGTCAGTGTTAATATGTTGCCCAGTGACTGAGTAGCGAAATATGCTTAGCTGTTATATTTGTTTCGTTTCTTGCATGGAAAAACATCTCTCTACTTGTACCATTGCCAGAACGGCTCGAGTTGCAGTTTGCGGTCTAAAATAGAAATTACAAACAATGTTATACAAATACTTCGCCGTGGCTGAACTTTTGTTTTCGCGTCGAGTTATGCTTACTATGCGGAAGCTATATTTGATTCATATCTACATCGTTTAAGTAATATACTTAATTACTGGCATTCTATTCTGCAGACATTGATAAAGATGTAGCAAAAGTGTGATTACTGCAAATAAAATAATGATCATTGAGAAACTGTTTATAATGTTTTCTTATTGGAACTTAAATATATGTAGACAGCTAGGGAATTGATGTCATTTATATCGAGAATAAAAAAAAATACAACAATGCTCAATCTAATTTGAAAATATTATCAAGTATGATGAAATTACATGGCTCCGATCGATCCTTTTTAAAGTTTTTAATGTTAATCACACAATATATTAATAAAATGTCGAAATTGGAGACATAACTTATTTGTTTGAAACTATTTACAGAGCTCCCGTAGTTACTCTAGAAGGGGCTACAGCGTACCCAGATTTTACGATGACACATATATCCCCCGTTACGTTCCCCACAGACAGTTTCTGGGTAAGGTTACTTGTGAATAATGAATTAATGTTTCAAATTAACTGAAAAAAATGTTTGAAAAACCAGTAGAAATAGCATGAAATGCTGGTTGGTTTTTCAACTAATCAGACTTTTCTATTTATTTTGCCTTCTATCTGTAGATACCACCGGGGAAGAGAACGCAATCCGCAAAAGTGTCAATCGTGAACTGATGCTGACTAGTAACTTCGTGGATGACGCCTACGATTTAGCCTCTAGCTCTCACAGACGGGACGAGGAGATCCTTAAACACGCTTCTCAAGCCATTGTGAGTACTTTTTTTTTAACTTGTTCCCTAATCACGTGACCTCTCCCTTTGGCAAACTTCTAACGAGCTCACATTTCAAAAATTGTCTGTGATTAAGACATTTTAAATGTTGAATATAAATGCATGTATTTTACCATTGCTGTAAGAAAGAAATTGTACATCGTATTTCTGTGTGTCACGTAAATTTCGGAATTTTTTTTACTAGAAATTAACATGACAAGAACACAAAATAAGATTTCAAAAATCTTCCTCGTAAATTTAATGTGAAAAAGAACATATTAATGTAATTCACCTATTTTGAATGTGAATTTCTTGTGGAACTCCTTTCAGGAAAATTTTACGTTAGTCACATTTGATATTTGTATGAAAACAAGATTGGAACATAAATAAGGAATGCCAAAGAAGTCAATATTGTTTTCTGAAAGAGACAAGCTATATATGTACTTGATTGACATGTATATACATGTAAATTTATAAGACATCTACTTTTATGACAAATTTGCTATATGGTAAGTATTATTTCTTGTTGCATGAAGATAAATTGATACACGAGAAATAAAAGAAATTCAAAATTTGATAGAAAAATTGGTAAATCTTAGCAGTTTCACAGTTAATTTAATAATGAACCAGATGTAAATAATTGTGGGGAAAAAATTGTTGTATATCGCAAGACTTAAAGGATTTCTGAATGTTACTAAAAAACCAAAATGATCTACTAAATTTCAAACGTTTTCTGCAATATTTTGATTAACATCAATTACTTGTATTATAAACCCCACATATTAAACGGTGTGTTCCCGTTTTGCACACATTTGATAATTAGGTATAGAACAATCATTTTAAACATCATTGTAAACAACAATTTACAAGGACCATAACCCCACGATTCTGTTTCATAAAATTCTTAACATTTTGACTTCCTTAACCATCTAATATTCATACAAACTTCCTATTATTCATACTCCCCTCTATGTTTTATTACATATATTTTTAAATTATATCAGCGTAATCTCCCATGCAATGCATCTGGCCCTTTTTTAATTAATACAGGTGTTATAAGATATTTTTATTTTGCAAATGTTTTCCATTTCGTATATACACTTCTTTGTGAACTATTTAATAATTTTCTTTCTTGACATTGAAGAGTAAACTTGACGTCACATTGAAAAGACTATTAGGGTATCGAAAAACGAATTTTTATTTATTAAATAAATAAAACAAAACAAAAGCAAAAAAAAAAAAAACAAAACAAAAACAAAAACACACACACACACAAACAAAACAAAACAAACAAATGAAAAAATCCTCCTTTTGATGATGAAGCAGATTGAATTGTGTGTATTTATTGCAGGTCTTTGTGAGTTGCTCGTTCTTGATTGTTATAATTTTTTTAATCATCCAACTTAAAGCTTTGACTTCAGACTCTGGCGCCATGAATAATATCAGACTTCTCATTGGTTCACAAAACTGTATTTAATAAACCAATAGACATGCATTGAAAAGAAGCACAAATTTTGTTTGCCAATGAGGAAAAAAAAAACGATACTGAAAAGATATCATAAATCATGACGCTTTTTCGAGCAAGTTCAAGCTGCCTAGCTGATCACCTTTTTGAAAGCTTGGTTTGTTTTTAGGAAATTCTACCTTTCTCTCTAGCACTGTAGTTTATTTTATAAAAGTTTTTGTTAAAGGGTGTCTGACTTTGATTTGTTCTTGGACCCAGTTTAAACCATTCCTTGTTCACAGTTTGGTTTCAGAGATCCTTCTTTTTGCCCTAGCACACGAAATATTATACAACAATAGCTCAATAATTAAGCTCTTGTTTACGTAAGTGTATCAAGCTATGAATATATACTATATATACAAATTAACCACGAGTATGAAAAATATCTGTGTTGTAAATATTATCAAATATAAATGCATATCTGTGTAATTAATCAGCTTGATGATGTTACAAAAGTCACTCAATGCGCTTGATACACGTAATAAACAAGAGAAACGGTCACGAATTTTGCTTTGATGTTGAAGATAAAACAATAAAATATAATGATATCACATGTTCATGCAGCCCACGTCATCAACAGAAAATGAACCTCTGCCCACAACATATATGAAGGCTTCCGCTCCACCCAAACCCTTTAGGCGTTTTCAAACAGCAGATTCTTACAGAGGGGCCCTGCCACAGGATTCTAAATACAAGAGGGGTATATCTATGCCCCCTTCGATTCGATCACTTAAAAAGAGGGGACCCTCTTCTCCACACGAGTGGTCATCACAAGCTATGCGCGCGTTAGCATGCGCACGTAACATCCGGGAATCCGTGAGGCAGGAAACTGGAGGCTCTTTAACGTCTTCCCCTGTGATATCGCCATACCAAAGCCCGAGAGCGTCTCCAGAAAGGGAGTTTGGTGACGATGGCAGAGGGAGGAGTAGAAAACCAAAGCCTCGGCTTGGAAAGCATTTCTCTAAATTGTTAGAACTAAGAAGGAGATCGCCAAGTGTTCAAAATTATGGAAGTGGTATAGATTCTGAAGTAGCTTCTGATGATGTGAGTGACTATGACTACCAATATAGGTATGAAGATGAGGATGATGAAACCGAAACACCTAGAGAATGCTTCTACATTGTGCGAAATCGATCTCCTAGTCCTGAGGAGGAATATGTACCCTTTGCCCCCAGACGCCGTGTAACGTACGATGATGACGATGATGAAGGAGATGGATATCGATCAAAGATACCAGATCTTTCTTCAGACTTCTCCATCACGCCCTATACCGCTCCCAAATCGACGGAAGTTCAAAGATCCGCTGTGAGTAATGATCTTCTGTTCCACAAAACTGTTGCAGAAACGGCAGCAAGAGCCAGAAAATTATTAGCAGAAACCGACCTCGACGAGTATGAAACCGCTAGTCTTGTCTTAAGTGTTGAAGGAGAATATAAAGATCCTGAACATGGAGATTTAGGATTCCAGTATATTTCAAGACCACTACCTTTGAAGGGACCAATGTTGGCCACAGGTCCAGGTACTTATGCTGTGGCCGTTGGCACAGACACGGCCTTTGATAAATATTTTAAGGATATGCGATCCTTTAGAGAGGAAATCAGAGCGAGACTTGATTGTGGATACAGAGCTCTTAATGATGCTACAAGAAGTTATCGAAGATTACCTAGCTCTTATAGCTCCTACAAAGCTCTTCCATTCACTGAATCACATTCACGTTCATATCAGAAGTCCTACCCCTCTGTAAGTTACAGAAAACGCCTAGAGGATGGGTCTGAAGACCAACTTGTCATTTATCCAATGAGTCAAAGATCTAGAGGAGCATCCCCAGTCTCGACGATCAGGGACGTGTCACCGGACAGGTCTCAAACAGTGGCAGTTTATGAAAGTGGAGGAGAAGAGATGAGGATTTCCACTCTTGATAAAATCAAAATCAAGGTAAATCACGTGTGAAACGGTTTCGATGATGTTCCTCTTCCTTGCATCCTGGAAATCCTATCTGAGATAGATAATCCAAGCACGACCTGAATAATTTTTATCCCATATTTTTGGATGTATAGACGATTCTTTTTGTCGGCATCAATAGCTCCAAGCCCATTAACATTTACATATCTTGTTATTCGACATGCAAGTATGACTAACTGAAAAAATTAATACTCTACTACTAGAGGTATTATGGGTATTGCAATGTTCTTTGTTTATGATATTTGTAGTGATTGTAGGCGTGACTTTACATATGTACTCAATGACTATTGGTTCTTCCTCTTTTAGCCCTTGCAAGCGTTGCTTCGGCTTGTTTAAATCGTGACGGTGGGTTGCTTGAATAAGTGTGCTTGACAAGAGATAGTACAGAAAGTACCCATGAGAATGAACATCGGAATTTACTGATCACGTGGCTTTTTTGGGGAAAGTATGATAGATAACTCAACGGTTGACTGGGTCCGGAATTCATCATTTGTCATGTATCCTCAATTTTGTATAACTCTAATAATCGAAATTCTCTTTCAGCAGTCTAAAACGTTACAAATTTCCCTCTATGAATACAGGTGGACTCTGAAATTTTTCACAACCCAAGGATAGCAGTTGCCTCCAGACGTGCACGGTCTCAGCCACCACAGCCCCTGCAGGTGACACCAGTTCTCCGTGCTAGGGCATCTGTTCCACCACGAGGCGCCTCGCCTCCTCCTCGTTCCTATGTTAGAAGGGCAAACAGAGAGGTAGTAGTCGTAGTCAGACCTAGAAGTGCTTCAGTTGCTGCTGAAGTCGATTTCCGCAAGCCGGTCACGGCTGGATGGCGCTATTCACGTGCCTATTATAATCCTTACGCCTATCCCTGGTACAGATATCTTCCGCGTCGCAATTTCTACGTGGACACACCGGGAGGTGTAGACACAAGATCCCATTATATGTATGGTACATCCCTGGCATTCCCATTGTATTCTAGGCTGTATACTCCATACTTATACCGAAACGATTATGATTATGCACTGCCACTGAGCAGCGAAAAATACGCAAAGGCACGTTTACGAGTACTTGCATCACCACTGCCATACAAAAAAAAGTTTGCCCGAAAGGTGACGCCATTTTATCCATCTTCTCATTCCATCTTTTCTTATTGTTGAAGTTGTGAGTTTAAAGTTTTTGGTGTTCCTGTAAACGTTTTATATTCGTGATTTTGACAAACATTGTTTCCAATTATAAGAACTTTCAAAGCACCCAGAACTTTAGATTTCGCATCTTCAAAAGCAAAACACCGCGAATATAAACCGTTTACAGTGGTTTGGTGTTGATGCAAGGAATTTGATTGGACGATGGACTTGACCATTGTGCCCGCTTAAGTGACAGCTCTAACTCATTTTTCATGAAATCGTAGAACCCATTCAGCCGTGGCTGCTAGCTTGTGAATATTTCTAAAATTATTGTATGTTTGGCAGCAAAGTACATTTTATGTATTTTTTTGATACTTTTAATGAATTGTGCTTCAATGCGAAGACATATTTTTAAATCATTCATGTTTATTCTCATGGGAAGGACTGCGCGTGCGCGCTGCTAAGTTGTGCTTATGATTGCAAACCCACTGACGATGTTCCCTTTTTCAGGCATTTGATTATGAGCTCGCATGTATGTACAGGCGTTTTGCAGCATGAAGAAATGATTGGTCGAATGACCGTTCAGATCGTTTTGGGTATGGCATGTATATATTTTTTTTCTGCATGGCTTTAATTATTGTCTCTTTTTATGTTACAAGAAAAGTGAACAGTTAGTTATATAACAACCTTGTCGTCAACAACCAACCACAATTACCAAAAAGAATTTGTCAAAATGAGAATTTTAAGGAAGATTGAAACATCAATCTATTACCAAGAAATTACTTCACGGTTTATTCAACTGGGGGAAACAATTTGGTAATAAATCTATCAAAATTTTGGACGGGGTTACCAATCAGTTTAATTCCATTTCACCAATCATGTAAGTCATATTCAAGTTTTCACAATCCATTTTTTAAGAATTCAAACTAATTCAAATGGCGAACGAGATACATAAATGGTTTCATTACCTTCATTTCTCATAAACCAATAGTTCGGCGACTGACTTCGTTCCGTCTTGAGCTCGTGCTCAATTCGAAATACTCCTTTGTACAAGATTTGACTGTTCATGTTTCTTTAACTGAAAACTCGGTTTTCTCTCAAGTGATGCACTATGTTGTCTTTCTTCTCAATAAGTAATGGTAGCAAATACTAATGAAAAATGTCGATTATTTCCAAAGTAATTTGTTCAAGAAGCTAAAATTTGACTTTTTTTAATGGTCAGATGTTGCACAAGCCAAACAAAAATTAAAACTCTGATTCCAGTTTTTAAAAAATCCTTATTTAACAAATGTGCAACATATGGCGATTACTCGTCTAATTTCCCCTTCTTGATTATTTTGCTTGTTACGGACAGGCGGCTCTTGTTGGAAGCAAGGTAGACGTCGTTCTCCCTAATAATAGGAGACCCAGGTCAAAATACGCTGCCGCTGTCATCAGGGAAATTAACTTAAAGAAACATTGGGGAGAAGAGGTAACTATTTATAGTCCTAGTCTTTCACAGCAATTTAACATCTCTAATATCAGAGTAGTTGGAATTCTAGTCCTTCAGTATCTTTTATCGTTTTTTAGAGTTAGGGTTATGTTACTTTTTTTAATTCAGTGCTGTACATCACTTGTTACATTAGTGGCTTAATTTGCCATGTCACAACTTTTTAAAAAAATGTTGTTCATTATACGCGCCATCGATGATCTTCATTCTTCAGATCAACTCGGCCTCATTCCTCGAGAGTAAATTTATAAAACTTTTCAAACATTGACTGAAGAAAACAAGTTAACAAGACTTAAATAAGTGATCTACAGTACCTAATTTAGTGTCGAACAGTTAGGTAGTGTACCTGCATGTATAAAAATCGATGTTTCAGGGTCACACTGAGCCAGCAGATATGCCTACGAGTCATCTGCACGCTTCACCAAAGCCGGTTGTGAGTATAATGTTCGCATTGCTAGTGCTTTATCGAACAAAAAGAAAGCAGCACGTCTAGTATTAACCGAGTATAATTCAGAAGTATTGCGAACCCGCGTTCAAGATTGCCAAACGGGGATTTTTAAAATAATAATTTATCTAAAACATTTTACCTGTAAGGGTTGATTGTGCTGGTTTCTTTTTTTCTTTGCAAAACTTTAATATTTAGGCTGCGCTGCGCTGAGTATATAGTGGACGAAAGCACAGAAACAAAATGTTGTACATGTGCTAAGATTGTGATCCAAAGAGACAAGAGATTTTCTCTTTCGATATAGAAGTGAACAGTAAGTTGTTGAAACATCAACATCGTTCTGTTCACAAAACACTGCTTCTTTGCCAAAAACAAACAGTCCTTTCCATTCATAGCATGCCTTCATCATTCAAACAACTAACCAATCATGCTGCATGGTGTATCTGCATGGAAGATTGAATTTAAATGACACCTTATTAGAACTCTCCTGGTTTACCCACAATATTTCAGTATCTATCAAGGGGCTCGTACTTCGACGATTACGAGGACATCGTGAAAAAACCTAAGAGTGATATTCTCTCATGGAAGGTTTGTACAACTGTAGTATTAATTCTAGACGCTCACTGTGTCTGTCTCTGCTTTTCAGTGTAAGCTTACTTGCCTTTGCCATCTTCTTAGTTTTTGATCAAGAATTGTTCGTCGTTCGTTATTATTTATTATAGTTAAATGTAAAATAATGTGACCCCCTCCCACCCCCTGTGGGACCCTAACTTTAGCTGAGTGTGTTAAAATTGAGGAGTCCTATTGGGCGTTTTATTCTATTATACTAGTGCATAGGGCCTTTCTATCTCTTAAATCCGACTGACAAACTGGGGGACTATAAAAATATACCCCCCGTTTGTCAGTCGGATTAAAAGAGATAGGCGAACAAGGCGTGCCTATAGCTTCAGATGTATAAAATTCATATTCAATTTTGTGAAGTTAGTATTTAGAGTAAACTTCTAATTTTTGAAGTTTATGAAATTATAACAAACAAAACTGCTGTGGTAAATTTTCTCTGCAGAAACCATTCTATTATTTAAAAAAAAATAATGTGGTATTCTTGGGGTTCGAACCCAAGCAATTAAAATCGTAAGTATCATTTTTCTTTGAGACCAACACGTTTACCACTACGCTACACAGCTCCTGACAAGTAATGGCATTTAAATTATGTTTGTGATATGACTCTTGACTAAATGGACGAAATATTTCTCGGAAAGATACAGTTGTTTATTAGTGTGAAAGTTTATTTAAAAGGTATTGTGGGTCTTTGCTCTGTGTTTTTGTTAATTAATAAATGTATATTTTTACGCATACTTTGAGGATAATTTTTCGAAAAAATTAAGCGAAGACCCCTTACATAGAAAATTGTGTTAAAGTATAAGAAAATGATCATTTTTGCTGTCTTTGGTGAAAGTATACTATTTCATAGACAAATAAATTCAACCTTTGTGAGATTTTTGCAAATTGTAGAGATTTTTCATAAAGTATATGGTAATGTTATGAATTATAAAAGAAAATGTTGTTATAATTGAGATTTTAATTTTTCACCTTCTTAAATTTTGTCGCATCGAAGGAATTTTGCTCGCCTTGTTCGCCCATCTTCTTTAAGCTATCTAACAGCCAGTGTACTAGTGCATTAAGTGATGCTGATGCGTTCCATCATTACAACAATTAAATGTTTGAAGCTGTAAGCATTGGTATCTAATTAAATGGTTTCCTGTAGCTTCGTTTCTATTTATATATACAGCAAGTTATTCACATTAAAAACACAAGTGTTTCTTGTTTCCCTTGTTTTACTGGGAATCGTTAGTCATTGCATGGCCATATCTATGTAAATTTTTAAAAACGATTTTAGCACCAACATTTAGCCTAAAGGTCATTTAGGATTTGCAAGCGATATGTGCAGTATATTTGCCCAATGTTACTGAAGATTTAAGTTTCACAGTATTGTGCAGTTTATATTGTCTTGAACCACTGAGCGAATGTGCTATGTAAATTTTAGCTGCTCTGTCTTATATTTCTCGTGTCATTCTATGTTTTATAATTTTTATTTAAATTTTCTTTGTCATAAAAATTCTGCTTAATAAAAGAAGACTAAGCAGAAACAAAGTTGTTTTTTTTTTTTTTTTTGCCTTTTATTTGCTTTTGCTTTGCTGTTTGTAATCAAACAAAAAAGAACGCGGATTAAAAAAAAAAAAAATTCTCATTCATTTATTGAAACATGCCAAAAGAAACGAATTAAAATTCAAACTATTTTGTGTTGCTTGTAGCACCGTCTCGAGTCACGCATAGCGCCAAAAGACCTTCTTTTTACACCCAGGGTTTATGCTAATGTTCGATCCCAGTTACGGGACGTCCAAGAAAAAATGGACCGTCACCGGCAATTAATGGACCGCTATTTAGAAGCAGACTCTATTACTACTGACAGGGATGTCAAGACTAAGGTCTTGGCAATGTATAGTGAAATGGAAGAAAGAGACCCATTGTAAGTTCTCGAAATGTCTCGTGAGACAATTGGCGTTTAGGAATTTGGTGTATGCCTAAACATCAGTTCGCGAAATACTGGCTCTGCATATGTAATTTTTTTTCCCCATCCAAATTCTCATATTTTTTCTCCTCTATAAAAGAACACTTTTTTCATCTTTGTTAGTCATTTTAAATCTAAATTATGCTGAAACAGCACTTAAACTGTCCAGTTAATGCTTGTCACTATTTCGCAGACATGGTGTATGTATAATAAATGTAGCTACATGTAATAGGATACGTCTACAACAAGTACATATTGGGAACACTGAAATCGCATGGTGTGGTCTAATATCTAACCCAAAATTCATTTTGATTACTGGTAGTTTATGATTTTCATAGAAACATATTCAGGCTTCCGTTCCGTTTTCTCTTCCTCTCCTTATCCGATTAACCGGGTGTAGATCTTAGTCGTTTCCCCAAACCCTTAAAAAATCCACAAACTGACACACTCATTTAAATTCAATCTTTTTTGTTTAGTTCTTTCCTACTTCACTCATTTCTTTGTCTCATCTGTGCTTAATACATAAATTGCATGGTATTTCAGCATGTGTAATAACCTTTCACAATATATTCAGATCGCACAAAAGATTTTAAATATATCATTCTTATAAGTAGTATTTTAACATTATCTTAGTATAGATTGATTTTATTTCAAGTTTACATAGTTTTTAATAGATATTGGGAAAAAATCAAACTTAATATCCTTTAACAGAAATATTAATAGTTATTCCTACTTTGTATCAGTTATTTCTACTTTGTATCTATTGAGAAAAAGATTTTTTTTTAAAGTAATGTTAGAAATGAACAAAATATTTTTCTTCTTGATTACTGAAAGAAGCTTAATGTATGAAACATGCTTGTTGTTTTTTCATCTTCCATCCGCTTCTTGGCTCTTTCAAAAACACAAAAAATAAATCAAATTGGATCGCAGTGAGAGCATAGGATGGCACAAGACTATAGGAATGGCTTTATGACCTTCCACTAACCATTTGTTCCTTTCTCTTTCTTGAATTTAAAGTTTTTACAGGGGAATATTATCTACCGCTACTACTAGAAACTCGGCCCCAATCACGGAAAGCAGTTCAATACCATCGGTACGAGCTCGCACTCCTGCTCCTAGCACTTTTCGCTCTGTCCGTGTGCCTGTAAGTGACTTCGGGCTGCAAATCAGCTTCTAGTGCTGTAAATGTAGATAGTTTAATAACCTGTCAACAAGTAAAAAATTCAGTTTTCTTCTTGTTATTTAAGTATTTTCCCCTCCTTCTGGAAAAAAAAAATTCTATATATTTTTTCTTTCCTCTTAAGTATTGTTGTATTTATATTAATGACGTCACTATTTTTCATTATTTTGTTTCCCTCTTTCTGGAAAAAAAGAAAATTCTATATTTTTTCTTTCGTCGTTGGTATTGTATTATATTAATGACGTCACTAGTTTTCATTATTTTGTTAACTTTAAACTCTGTTGATAATTTTGATGACTATTTAGAAATATTGTTAGAATATTTCAGACCTCTGATATATATGTAAGTTCTGTAGCATTAACCTTTCAATCCACCTCAAACTAATTTATCAGAAATATAAATTCAATACAGGAAGTAGAGTAAGGTTGCTTAAGTTTGTGCTTTCGTTCATTGTGTATAATGCGCAGCTGTCTTCATAGATCATGCATTTGACATGACATCATATTTATCATTCAACCCAATTAAATCACAAAAAGAAAAAACCAAGAAAAACAAGGTATACCATACATATTGATGATGGCCACTTATCTTCAGACGAAGTCGAAGGACGATGACTACAAACCAATGTCAGATGTGCGCAGACGCGTAAGGCGAGTAATATGCAAGAATAGGAAGGACCCTCGCTACTTCAAATAATGTCCTATTTCAGGAATTTAAGGTGCCCGTGGAAGTAGGTTACACTGTAATCAAACTAGTAGTGTTAGATCTTAGACTAGCACTAATCCACCACCTTTAGAAGGGGATAACACAACAAATGGAGTTTTATAGAGAGCAACATTAAAGGTTAAAACCAATCTTGCTCTAACATCGAGATTATCTTCTCTTTCTTTTAGGATGATGAATTGTCCAGTATTATAATCGAATCGAGTGAAACTTCCATTAACGCTACAAAAGAAAGTGAAAATTCCGTAAACACTACAAAAGAAAGTGAAAATTCCGTAAACGCTACAAAAGAGAGTGAAAATTCCGTAAACACTACAAAAGAATGTGAAAATTCCGTAAACACTACAAAAGAATGTGAAAATTCCGTAAACACTACAAACGAAACTTGACCTATTTAGGTATTTTCTTTCACTTTTGGGTACATTTACTCCTAGCGACCCCTGTCCTGTAGATTTGTTGTGTTATCCTCTTCTGGTATGTATTTCAGTATTCCAAATATCCACCACAAAACCGTCAAACCATTCTTAACCATCCCCTAGTTTGTTCGACAAATCTTTTATTGACTTTTAACCAGAGTCAACAAGCCTCTTCCAAATCAAATACCCCCCAAAAATAAACAACCCAGCCTCTCTAGAACTCCTGGATATTTTGAAACCGATATTCACCGTTTTAATCCCTTCAGAAAGAATAAATTCAATTTTTTTTGAACATCCATATTATTCCCACAGGGGCTGGTAACATACTATGCATGTTTTACATCATCACTTTACTACATGTGCAAAAAGGGTTCCCTTTTGCGTTTTTATATATATATATATATATATATATATATATATATATATATATATATATATATATATATATATATATATATATATATATATAGTGATCACGTAAAATCAAGCATAGTATGTTAACGGCCCTTATGATTATTCCTTTCTTTTCGGACTGAATGAACAACCCCCCTCTACTACACACCAATATATATACCGTCATAAATGTTTATTCTAGCCTCCACCACATTAATAGTTATTTTTCATTACAATGCACTATCATAGCACACTTTCCTGTATTTGTACTCGTACCATTTCTACTTTTTGTGTCACTTCCAGGTAAGAAAATCAATACTTCACCTCCTGCATGCTCGGATTTTAATGTGTTTGCTACTTAGGAAATGAATAACCGCTGAGAATGTTGAGCTGATAATAAACATAATCTGAAATGCTTCTATTTAACAAAACTGTTGTCAGAAACATAAACTTTAATCAAGAGAACAGATCGCTTAGTTTATATCTTTGGCTCAGCACATCAGCATTTAGTTGTTTCAAATGCCCTTTCTATGCTATTACTAGTAATTTGTTGGATGAGTTTCAATCAATATTTAATGTACATTAAAATAATGATTAAAGTGAAAGAATTCTAAAATTTGATACTTTTTTAAGTAAAAAATATCACTATATTTACAATTTTGATCGCGTTAAACATTTGTTATAACATTTTCTTTTCGTTTTTTTTTCAAGGCACACAGCATCTTAATTTGAGCAGAGGACATCGACCTGAATTCTTACCATCAACCGGCATATAAAAGACTATTTATACATAACCTTATTATGGACAGATGTAAAATATTTCTGCTTTCTAGTGATACAACTGTAAATAAATAATTTATATTGCTTGAAATCTATGTTTCTAGAAAGATTTTTCATTGGTTTTTGAACAAGGCAACATTTGTGATATACATTGTAGGTAGAGTTTTAGATACAACAAAGGAAAATAGTTGTTTATGTTAGGTTTCGTTTGGACCTCCATACATCCTTTTTCGTTTCGCTAGTTTTTGATGAAAAATTTGATAGCGAGAATTTCCGAGAACCTGTTAAGTTGCAAACGAGATTTTGTATAGAGGTAGTTATGTAAATGGGGTATATGTTTTCCTGCTTACCGTGCGGTTTGTTTTTTTAAAAATTTAGAAAATTGTAATTTATTTAAACGGTGTCAAGACATTTGTTGTTACCATGGCATTGATGCTACATTAAAAGTGTAAAAGTTTTGTGCTAGTTATTCTTGGAGATAAATATACTTTTTACGTTCAGAACTCCTACTAGTAACTACATGTTGCAGCGCTGATGCAGAATTTGGAAGAAGAAAGATGTCAAACATAAAAATATTTAAATTGACGTGTGACACATCAAATCATTTTTATTGGGAAAGGTACACTGAAGAGATTCTATAAAAGTAAAGTTAAAATTTATTCTTGTTGGTATGAAGTGTAATACATAATGTTTCGATATTGGAAGACATTCAATACACTTTAAATAAAAATTTTTGCGGTAAAATTCGAATACAAAGGAAAATTCAACATCCTATTCAAACTTGGAAATAATTGTATTTATTTTTATTTAATTATTTACTTTTTTTGTCATAACAACAAGACACATTTTTTCTTTTTTCTTTTTTTTCAATTTTTAATGCAAAACGTTCTGCTTGAATTATTATAGTTTTCAACGGACTTTCGAGCGATGAAATCAGTTTTTGGAATGTTATACAGTGATAAGATATATACGTGTATATAATTTCTTTTTAGCCATAGATAATGTGTATAATTTTAAAATTGCAAAACTTAAAACATCAGACCTCACAGAAAAAAGATAAAAATGCAACTTTAAGTAGCAACCCCGAAAATCATAGTCACATATGGGTCATGTAAATTTTGAATTTATCGCGTGGCATTAAAATAAATTGTATTTCGACCCGGTTAAAATTTACAACATGACATATGGAAGCAAAAACAAAAAAAATGTGTTTGTGATACACTGATGCCCCCGTATGGTAACTTATAGTGAAGGTTAAACTTTCTGAAATGCACATCAAATATGTTGGTACCCAAAGTATAGTTTTTTCTTGAGGAATATACCTGTGAAATATGAAAGCCCTGGCTAGCAGCAACCATTGAAAAGATATGGAAAAAGTTTTTAAAAAATCAAAAGGAAGTAAAACATCAAGGTCAAATGGTCAAAATTAATGGTGCCCAAGAAAAGGTCTCACAAGAAAAAGACGTGAAATATGAAAGCCCAAACTCCAACCGTTCAAAAGGTATGGCCAAGGTTAAAGTTTTTCAAAAGTAGGTCCAATTCCAAGGTTAAGGTGAAAGGGTCAAAGTTGTTGGTATCCAAAGTAAGGTCTTGTCACAAGGATTACATATGTGAAGTACGAAAGTCTTGGCACCAACTATTCAAAAGTCATGGCCAAGGTTAAAGTTTTCCAAAAGTACGTCAAACTCCAAGGTCAAGGTCAATGGGCTATAATTGTTGGTATCCAAAGGAAGGTTTTGTCACAAGACATACACATGTGAAGTATGAAAGCCCTAGCACCAACTGTTCAAAAGTTATGGCCAAGATAAAAGTTTTCCAAAAGTAGGTCAAACTCTAAGGTCAAGGTCAAAGGGTCAAAGTTCTTGGTATTGAAAGGAAGATATTGTCACAAGAATTACACATGTGAAGTACGAAAGCCCTAGCACCAACCGTTCAAAAGTTATGGCCAATGTTTAAGTTTTTCAAAAGTAGGTCAGAGTCCTGGCTCAAGGTCAAAGTTGTTGGTATACAAAGGAAGGTTTTGTCACAAGAAATACACATGTAAAGTATGAAAGCCCTAGCTCTTACCGTTCAAAAGTTAAGGCCAAGGTTAAAGTTTTTCAAAAGTAGGTCAAACTCCAAGGTCAAAAGGTCAAAGTTGTTGGTATACAAAGAAAGACCTTGTCACAAGAAATACACATGTGAAGTATGAAAGCCCTAGCGCCAATTGTACAAAAGTTATGGCCAATGTTAAAGTTGATTTAAGTTTTGCAAAACTAGGTCAAACTCCAAGGTCAAGGTCAAATATGATGGAACCCAAGAAAGGCCTTGTCACAAGGTATACACATGTGAAATATGAAAGTCATAGCTCCAACCAATCAAAAGTTATTGGAAATGTTAAAGTTTTTGCGGACAAACAGATAAACAGACAAAAAGACAGACAGACGGACGGAGAGGGCAAAAACTACATACCCCCGAATCTTCGATTACGGGGGCATAAAAAAACTGAGCATGATAAGGACATTATAGAATAACCTCAAGGTATAGATAGAATTAAAAATAGATATCACACGACCAAAGAGCATGGTTTCCAGGAAGTTCCCCATATCATGACAGTGTCATGCATGTTTCTTTACTGACATGCTTGTAGGTTTCACGTATACTGTACCTCAACATACGCGTCGAAATTAATGACAATTTCTCGAGAAATGAGTTTTTGACTAACCTAAACCTAAATTTTCATGAAAATCTTGGAAAAGTTTACCCAAATACAAATTTAATCGTTCATTGCATAAATGTAAAAGATAAATATGAAAAGATACATGTAGGTACATTAAAATATTTATTATTTGAGGTATCATATAAGGTTTCACACCTAGAGGTGACATTTTTAGCCCTGTTTCTTTGGAATGGTGTTTCCAAGTTATATCAAGCAATGTAGAAAAAAAATATGGAGTATGATATTATTTGGTTACAGAAGGCAAAGTGACGTTAAAAAGAGCGTTTCTAAATCATATTATTCTTTTGAGGAATTTCTATATCGGTGACGGACATTACTGGTGAAAATTTGTCAAATTGTATACTATAAAATGATGTGCGAAAGAGAGAGATGATTAGCGTCGCACTCAAGTGGTTGGATGTCAAGATTTCACCTCATGACAATTCACAAAAAAAGCAATCACTGAGAACATATGACTGATAATCACTTAAACTTAAAAACGCCAAAGTCCGATGGTCTCGCCAAAGTCCGATGGTCTGCCCAAAACCCCGATGGTTTGATGTTAGTACGGACGCCAAAGTCCGATGGTCAAGCCAAAGTCCGATGGCTCGTTTCCTATGAGACGCACTGCGCTAAAGTGCGATGGTCTGACACGCCAAAGTCCGATGGTGCGGAGAAACAATCAACGTTTATGACGTCACAATATTCCGACGTCAATCCTTGACGCCGTTAATTGTCCAGCATTCAAAAACCATTATTTCTGAATTCGTCCTCGCGTACAATTTTATTGATTTTGCTTATTGCTTGCACCTTTCAGAGATATTAAGATTAGTCCTCGCACACCACTCCAGTGATTAGGATTAGTCCTTGCTTCGCGCCAACCCGAGAGATTTAGGGTAAGTCCTCGCACACTAGTCGAGTGATTAGGGTTAGTCTCGCACCCACTAAAGATATCTAGGTTATAGTTGTTACATACTTTTCGAGCGATTAGGGTTAGTTTCGCACCTATCCGAGAGTTTAGGGTTAGTTTTCGCATAATGATATTTATTTATACTTAAGGTAGGTCGAGGGTTTATTCCTAAAAAATTCTAAGAGAAAACATATCCTGAAAATTTGATATAATGTTCCTTAGAATTTATAGCATTTTACCTGTAATTTTTATTAAATTTGTCTACGTAGTTTTAATGCTGTATTTCTGTAAACTCGGTATAGTTTTTAGTACTATTTTTACGCTTTACTATTGAAATATATAGAAAAATGACGTTTTTAAGCCAATTTTGCGGAAAGAGTTTCTTTAAAAAAGTTTGGATAACTTTTTAAAGACGTAGACGAATTAATCAGGAATTTCAAAATACCCAGATGAGGTAAAATTAAAACTATTGAGATAAAAAAATCAATATGTCTTCTCGCTAGATTTTTTGCTAAATAATTTCAAAGTTTGCTTTTATATTGCCAAAATGTTGCGTTTATGGTGTTATTTATGACTACAACGTCATGTGTTGAACGTAATCACGTTTACATACGAGTATACGTATCTTTACATTTGGAATATGCAAGATCTAAAAGGTGACATGGTTGCAAAATGTAATTTTATTCATCATTTCACTTATTGTGGAAACATGTTAGGATGACCAGCAACTCATCTTCACTATAGTACTGTGAAATTCATATTCTGCCAACAAAGTCGGAATGAACGGTATATTCCCAATACTGAGAAAAATGGGGGGGGGGGGGGGTTACCGGCAATGTTCTTTCTATATTAGTCGCAAGCTGGTATATAGTCCTAACTTAAATTTCAATTCTCTCAATCAAATTTCCATACGCAAAATGTAAAACACTTGCATTTAGTTTATACACAGAGAGCTTTTCTTGTATAGAAAAAAATGTACTTGACACTTGTAAATTGTATGAAGTTTGTTTAAATTTATTTTTAATTGCATTTCACAATTTGTTAGCCTGCATATACATAGCGACTACACGAGATTCAAATACAAAAAAAAATAATAATAATAATAATAATGATTAAATTAAGAATAATAAATAACAGGAAAATACATGTACATGTACCGTAATTAAATTTCATCCGTTTTTTAGTGTTGAGGATTGATTCCATCCTGAAATGTTTCGCCCCGACAAACATGGTGTAATACGCACTTAATCACATCAGAATTCAGACTGTCATTTACTAATAGGTCCGATCTTGGTTCATACATGTACGAGGTTTACGTACAATAGCATGCTCTTTGAATTAATCTACTTGATTCGTACCTGTAGACTATTTATGAAGTTATTTTCAGAGAATTATACGGGAAACGACGCAACGTCGCCTTTATGACGTAACTGACGTCATAATCAAATGTGCACAAAACAAACCTTCGAATCGTCAAAATTGTGTACCAATATTGATGACAAAAGCAAACCCGCGACCTACCTTAAAAGACCTTGGCATGGCGCGGCATTGCAGTTTGGCGCAGTACTACTATGACGTCATAAACGTTAATTTTTTCAGCACCATCTGACTTTGGCGCAATCTAATTAAAATTAGACTTGTAATTTTCGCTCCTCTACGATACGCTTCAACACTTGTATTGAAGCGTATCGTAGAGGAGCGAAAATTACAAGTCTAATTTTAATTAGATTGACTTTGGCGTGTCAAACCATCGGGGTTTGGCGCAGACAATCGGACTTTGGCGTGACTGCAAGTCCAGGGTATATATTGCAAGATCTGACTTCATCAATATATGAACTAGTGCTAATTGTAACGGGAACCGTTACAGATGTTCCCCAAACGCTCCCCAGTTCCCTTATGGTGCCCCATTTCCTACAAGCTGCATTAAATTAGGCAATACCTTTGTTTTCTAAACCCTCCAGTTAATTTACAAAGTATTTATTTGAGGAACATAATAAGAATTGATAACACAGTCACTTACAGTATGTGATATAAATTTTAAAAAAAAATCCTTAGGAAAAATGCTTAGATATGACATTGCTTAAATAACTTGAAACATACTTAATGTTTGTTAGGTAAAAAATTAAGATTGAAATTATCAAATTAAATTAAAGAAATTAAAGAAAGTACGCGATCACAAACAAAATGTAGACAAAACTTTAAGATTTATACATAAAAGTTAAGCGATTGTCATATGATTTTATTTTTTTAAGAAATATAAAAATTTAGGGGACTCCAAAAAGTTCATGTCTGTTATATATCTTAGTGTATATTTTTAAAGGTTAGTTACATTTCGACAGTAAATAAATTTACAGTAAATTCATCATCAGGGTGAAAGTATTTTAAATCAGCTGAAAAAGGTTATAAAAAGTGTAATGGTTTGGGCCATGGATATCGGCCTGGGTAGCTCAGTCGGTAAAGCCCCTAACTAGTGATGCAGGGGTCCTGGGTTCGATTCTCAGTCCAGCCATACATTTTCTCCTTTCCTGTTATAGATTTTGGTGCCGTGACCAGGATTTCTGAATAGAAACCATGACTTCGCTAATTTCAGGTTCTGATAGCGTAGGAAGAGCTACATCAACCCCTAGAGTTGATAGGTTAAGTTCTAGTCAAGGTGCTAGATGTAAGCTTATGACAAGAGTCAGTCAGCCTTCTTTGTCCTCACCTGTGAGTGAGATTGAGATGCATGAGAGTGATTTAGATACATGGCCGTAGGAACCGGGGGACGGGGGCCTGATGACCTTTTTTTTTTGCTTGTCAAGGAATTTTGGTAGTTGATAGTGCCCCCCCCTCCCAACTGAAAATGTATGGTTGTGCCCCCTCAAAGTGAAATTGCTTCCTACGGGCCTGCATACTAGCATGAGTTTACAGATTTCAGATTTAGAACAAGTGCTGCAGGACCTCACTACTGTACAGATTATGAGAGATGTAAGCGTGAGTTGGATAAAACTCTTATAGACAAACAACTCATGTGTCATTTGCTGAAGGTAATGATAGGGAAATGAGAGAAAGTCAGAATAAAATTTGCACAGAATGACAGAAGTGAGAATCCGAGTAGGTCACAGACAAACATGTCTTCATTGCCCAGTAACCCTGTAAATCTTAGTACACCTAAGAAAAAGAACCAGACAAGTTTGATGGTAGAAATGTAGCATGGCAGGATTACTTAGTTCATTTTGAACAAGTGTCTGACTGGAATAATTGATCATATGAAGAGAAGTCTCAGCAATTAGTTATGTCATTAAGGAGGGAGGAATGTAATGGTTTGGGCCGTGGATATCGGCCTGGGTAGCTCAGTTGGTAGAGTACCTGACTAGTGATGCAGGGGTCCCAGGTTCGATTCCTACGGAAGCCGGTTGGTGCCAGGTAGAAAAAATATTTTATCTGGCGGCCGCCAGATAACTTTCTGGCGGCCGCCAGATAAATAACTGGCGGCCGCCAGAAAGTTATCTGGCGGCCGCCAAATAATTTTCTGGCGGCCGCCAGAACTTATCTGGCGGCCGCCAAATAATTATCTGGCGGCCGCCAGATAACTTTCTGGCGGCCGCCAGATAACTTATCTGGCGGCCGCCAGATCTTTTTATCTGGCGGCCGCCAGAAAATCATTTGGCGGCCGCCAGATAAGTTTCTGGCGGCCGCCAGTTATTTATCTGGCGGCCGCCAGATAAAATATTTTTCTACCTGGCACCTACCGGCTTCCGTAGATTCCCGGTCCAGCCATACATTTTCTCCTTTCCTGTTATAGATTTGGTGCCAATGACCACCCCTGGACTTGCAGATGAAAGTCCTGCCAGGGGGTAATAAGAACTTGGGTTGTGTCTTCGAGGGCAAAGACAATTTTAAAGAGGGAGAAATGTAATGGTTTGGGCCATTGATATCGGCCCTGGTAGCTCAGTCGGTAGAGCACCTGACTAGTGATGCAGGGGTCCCGGGTTCGATTCTCGGTTCAGCCATACATTTTCTCCTTTCCTGTTATATAACAGAAATGTTTTGTCTGTAATCATGATTTCTGGCCAAAGTTGGTGTTTGTCCTGTAAGCCCAGTGTAGCTATATGAACAGTGTAACCACTGGACATATTACAGATTTACTTCGGTTGAAGTTTCCAGACATCGTGATCATTTTAATCATCACTTTCAAATGTAACTCAAATACTCATTCATCTGTCTAGTCTTGTCCCATGATCCCTTGTTCTTCGCAGGCACGTAGTATCGTTTTTGAAAGTGGAGTGGGAAGGCCTACCAGGGAAAAAAAATCTGGATCATCGGAAAACTTTGACACGCAAAAAAAAAAAAAAAAAAAAAAAAAAAAAAAAAAATCCTGTTTCGTGTGTGTATAAGTTCCAACTTTTTCACAACCAAATTTCCTTCATGCAATACTACAAAGCCCTGATTTTGAATTTTGACTATGCTGCAACAAAAAGGAGGGGGCAACCACCCTTTCAATGAACATTTTCTCTAGTAAAAGCTTATGTTTGGAAAAAAGTGGTGCCCCCCCCCCATACTATGTGCCTGCTTCATTATTGGGGACCCCAAAGTGCAAGGGATCATGGGACAAGACTCATTTAAATTGTCCTTCTATTTGGCCTTCATATAAAAACTTCCTAGAAGTGAATCCAAATGAAACACACTTATTGTGCATTTCACATTGCTTTTGATTTGGTATTTGTTAAACACTTTATGTGTATCACCGACTTTGGTTAAGAACACTTTCATAAGCTGTGCTTGCCTAATTTTTAACAAGTTTCATTTGTTATATGTCCTTTAAGTTAGCTTTTCACATGAGGTATAAAATTAAATCAAACATACTTTTGTGGCTCACCTGTGGAATGTCCTATCTTGGCATAATTTTCAGTGTTTACATTTGTGTTTTAGTCCTTTCAGTTTAAAAATTCAAAAATTTTAACTTGCCAATTTTCTTTCCTTTACTTTTGTAATTTTTTACCATTGTACTCAATTTTGAATGAGTAATGTCAATGACTGTAGAAAAGTAACATATATGTACTTCGGTTTTAACCTCAGAACACACTTACTTGATGATCTACACAAGAGTTTTAACCAAACAGGTGTTCTTGAAGTAATCAAAGTACACATTTTGAAAAATTAAAAAAAAAAACAACCCCAAAACAAAAAAAAAGTTAAGCATTTTTTATTCCAATTATACCATTAGTTTTCAAAATTGTACTCAATAAATTAAGTACACAAGAAACAACATGGAACTTAACATTTAATGACTCCAGCACCCCTTCCTTCTCCATATCTTTAACAGTTCCTCTTCTGTCAAATCCGAAACATTTAAAACTGTCCGTAGATGAATCAGTCTCATTTTGTATATAGGACAATTTGACAAGGAAATTGTGAGTTTCATTCATTGTTGTTTCAGACACATTTCTGTATAGTATTCTGGTAACAGTTAAAAAAGCTCTTTCTAGTATCTCAGCCATCTGCATATCCTTATTGTGAATTTTATTTCTGCTGATCTTCACCAAAAATGCTCGGCAGAGAAGTTCAAAACTTGCTCCTCCAGGTAATGTAAAAGAAGTACAATTTTCACTGTCTTCTGTGGTCTTCAGTAAACATGGAGGATTAAGGGACAAATACACAGCTTTAATGGCTTTATGAATGACTGTATATAGCTGTGCACACAATCCGTCAGTCGGTGCTGTCAACAGAAGAGTTTTCGTAAATGGAGCAAGTTGCTCGCCACTTGGTATCACTTGAACACAGAGTCTACCATTCATGATTACTCTCTTACAAGACGAAGCTAGAAATATTTCCTTTTCCATAAATTTCGTAATGGGAAATTCTGAAATCATACTTTTTTGGCACATCTGACTAAGGAATTCAACGTCTTCTTCCTCCACATAATGTATCACAGAAATTTTCTGGGAACTGAGAACTTGTAGACAATACTTGGGTATTCCCATTGAACTAATCACCAGAGTTATATCCTGTTCATTACACAGGGATGCAAACTTTTCCGCTCGTTCTCTTTGATATTTCATAAAATTCCCCAAACTGTCATTGGTGGACAGATAAATAGATTCTCCATCCTCAGAGTTTATATGTCCTTCGATTGAGCACATCAGAACAACAAATTTCACACAATCCATAGAACACATTTCAAAATTAGTAACAAAATCTCTTTGAATAATGTATGAATCTACTGTTGCAGAATCAGATATAGATGAACCAATGTTTTTAATTGCCAGCTGACTGAAGTTTTGTGTCATTATTGATATCTGCTCCAGAAAGAGGCTAGGGGACAGGTCAAAGTTCAATGATGACATCACAACTCTTGTCAAACTTTCTACCACCCTTGCAGAATAGTGTGGGGAAATGACACCTCTTAACACACCCTCAATGCTTTCACAAAATGCTTTTTTATCACTGCTTAAATTGCATGTCCTTGAATGTTTTAATACATGCTGCTGAAGTCTAGGAAAAAGGTGTTGATTAAAGTGAGTTATGCCCCTTATCAATTCACCTCTTTCTCTCTCAGAATACCTCAAGTCTATCTGCTGTAACATATCTGTTAACATTATGATGAAAACTTTACTTCCATCTCCTGTGTACTGAGTCATCTGGTTAACAGCATCCACAACTAACCTTCCCACTGGATGACCAATATGCAATGCATTAAAAATTGTTGCACCATTGTTTGACATTAAGACTTGTCCAGTGGAGGTACACATCAATGTCTGTAGACCCTGTGGCCCAAAGCCCCGAGATACTAATGATTCTAAGGCCTTACATATCTGAAGAGACTTTGAAAAGTCTAACAACTTGGACTCCATTCTGAAAAAAAAATGTGCAATTTGAGAAAATGTATAATAGATAAAAAATTAGAAAAGAATAATTTCCAGCACAAACAAAAAAATGTTTCTTACAATGAACGCAATAATAGAGCATGGGCACAACGTATACTGTACACTATGTCAAACCTTGACAGAGATACATGTATCTAAAAGTCCAAGACGTCAATGTCTCAAATTCTTAAAAGTCTAGATCAAATCATTAAAGCTTTTATTCAAGATACCAGAGTTCATTTTAGGAAATTTAATAGATTCCTGACTCTATCCCTGCTTTAATATTTTGACATATGTGAGGGGGAGTCATAGTGATGTCATACTAAAAATATGGAATTTCCCACAACCAGCTGGTGTCACCACTTGACTGACCTCTTGCAGCATAATTTGAAATGGCCAACTTTGAAACTTGGTAAACTTTTCACAGGAAGATATTAGCATGTTGCACAGATGAAGCACCATGGCCATAATCTCAAAAAATCATCCACTTTGTTCAAATGGAACTAAAATTCTTCTGACTCTTACTCCTGCTTTCATATTTTGACAGTGCTTAATTAGTACAACATACAAATAATTGAACACACTAAATGCGATTTAACTTCCTGCAACAATTAAATCTACTGAGCCTTGAAGGTTCAGCACTTTGAATTCCAATTTTCGAGGTCAGGAACATGTTAACACCAGCTGGCTGTGGGGAATTCTGGGTTTTCAGTATGGTTTCCCTTCAGACTGTCCCCCCCCCCCATCAAATGGCAGTAAAAGTCCATGTTAAATTATCTCAGATTATATCTTGGGGTATAAACCGTACAAAAGAAGTCCCTCCAGAAACTTCTCGCCAACAACTTTTAGTACATTTGTCCACAACCATTTTCATAAAACAGATCCCAAAGGGTTTTGACACAATCTGAGCAAAAATCGGTATAAGTACAATACCTTTAAAAACTTCTATACTAAAAAAAAGTCAACATTTCAAATGTTTTACTGAACATGTTGAACCGTCATAAAAAAATCGATCTTTGACAGCAGAGTGAGATTTGGACCTGTCGATGAGATATTGGACTGCTCACATCACACTGTGGGCGGGATCAGCTAAATCTTGGTTGCATTGACAGTAACAGAATTGACCTGATTTTTAGTGCAAATAAAGGAAATTTACATCACGGAAGCCAGCACAAGATACATGCGTGTCAAAAACTAAAATATAACACAACATTTATTGACTGTGTTCTCGGGCTAAATGCTCTTTGTTGACCCCTCGAATCAAACTGTTTGCCTTCGGCCTAAGGCAAACAGTTTGGTTCTTGGGTCCAACAAAATGCATGTTGCCCTTGAATCCAGTCAATAAATGTATATTATTATACTTTCATGTTAAATACTAAAATCTGATTGGTTTAGACGCATTTAACAATCCGTAATATTACCCTCAGCGTTAGCAACACAGTTGACAACGGGTAACATTACGAAAATGTCACATGCGTTCAAATCATGCGCGTACGGTTCACCGTAGAATTCTCAAAACGTCAGTTGTGCGTTTGAAAGAAGCCAAATAAATGATGTCAATAAAAGCTTGCGTCCGACGTAACTTGAAAACAACAAACGACAGACGAAACATCCTTGCGAGTGCAAACTTTAGATGATAAAGGACTTTTTGAGTAGCAAACAAACAATAAAGAGGTTGGTAAATCTTTTCCGAAGATTTCTTACTGAGAAAAATAGAAGCGGTGAGTTTGAAAGCTTTCTAACAGTTTGAAAGCTTTCTAAGCGTGAACTTAACGACGATCTCCAAATTTTTTTTTTATGACATCCGAAATCAATAAGACATTCAGTAAAATAAAATAAATAGTGCACGTTTTTTGAGGGTAACAGTTGAAATTGACACCCCTCGGAAAACCATTGTCAACCTCCTCTGACGCGTCGGTTGACAATGGTTTTCCTTGGGGTGTGAATTTCAACTGTTACCCTCAAAAACGTGCACTATTTATATAATATATGCCGGTTTCTGCTCAGATTATGTCAAAACCCTGTGGTAGATCCTGCATACTTGACTCATGTCAACCCTAGTTACCCTTTTAAGCCTTAGGGGCTAGTGATTTCACTTACCCTGTAACCTGCAGACGGAAGAGTCTGAGCATGTGTCAGGAGTTAGGTAAGCAATGAATAAAGATTATAGGGGATAACTATAAATGTACTAAACTAAATTTACTCTCATAGTTCGTTATAATTTAGTCTAGTCACTCAACCGAACTACAATCGTCTTTACCGCAAAAGCTCTTGTTGCTACGCCTCCCTGTTCCTCGATCCTGATTAAATATCGGGTTCGGCCTGCACAATATATCAGTGGAAGTCTTTTGCAAATTTTCAGGAATTTGGCGGGTAGATGCAAAATCGTAAATAATCAGAATATAGAAGAAATGTACACCAAAGATGAAAGGGAAATAGAAAGTATGTATAGGTCACAATTATGTATTTCACCTGGGGCTAGCACATTAAATCTAACATCATGTATTCGTGTAATACTATGTGTTCTTCACCAGGTTGGGCACACCCCACCAAATGGTCATTTATCCCCCGTTTGGTGGACAATCTCCCATATCGGAGACGACTTTTACTGACGAAATGGTGGACTTTTTTATTCTATTCCAAATTTTATTAAAATAAAGCAAAAGCGCATTTGCATAGGCATTGGGGAATTTTAGTGAATATATTCCTCGCACAATTAACATAGTTCAATCGATTTTCCATGTGCAATTTCTCCATAACTTCGTAAAAACGATACCCATAGTTGTCGTAACAGCCGAACTTCTTGATCAATCGATCAAAAAAAATTTGATTGTGTCTAGTACGATAAAAATTCTATTTTATCCAGTGGTTTAACTCTTGATAAGTTAACTTTCAATCGCTCTTATGATCGACGTCAATATTTATTTGCATAAAATCCCGTTAAACACGAGCTCCTCATTACTTTACTGGTATGGTGGGCACTTATTGCTGTAAAGTTTAATTTTTCTAGACTTGAACGTAATATCTGTTGTTATTTTTCTTTTAGGATGAAGTTGCATATTCCATGCGAAGTTTTGTGGTTTAATATGTATATTACTGATGAATTTAATATATTTGATAAATAATTTCCAATAAAAGATTTACAAAGTGTCTTTTGCAATTATTCTTGTTTCGTTCCAAGTACATCGTTTTAAAACAATAATTATATCATAATCTAACTTCATTTACTATTTTATAGAGAACAAAACTATTGCGTACAAAATAAAACGAAATAAAGACGAAAACTTATTTTTCTTTTGATTTCCTAATTGAAAATTGACACAAATGTGCCTCTGTAGTAAAATCCGACTTTTGACCAGGTTAAAAAAAGATCATCGTTTTTTATTGGTTTGCATTATTTGACTGGTTGCCCAGATAATCGAAATAGAAAGTAAAGAACATGATTGACAGGTGCAGCATCGTTGGAGAAGGAGGGAATTTTCTTTTTGAGTAAAAACGGAGAAACGTTGCACTTGTTTACGTATGTGACGTTTTTTGTCAAATTTTTGAACGACTCTTCGCAAAAAATTGCACGTTGAATTTCCGATTTTTTTCACTGAGAACACCGATAAATATCTATATTTTATTCCACATGGTTTAAAATTATGCACCATTCCACGCCATTCTATGGAATTGAACACAACCATTTTTCTCTCCCAAATGGTCAGTAAAATTCGTCTCCGATATGGGAGATTGTCCACCAAACGGGGGATAAATGACCATTTGGTGGGGTGTGCCCAACCTGTTCACAGGCGTTTGTTTCAGTCAGTACGCTAGTTTTCCACTATACAATAACACGTGTTATTGTATAGTAGACGATGAGCGTAATGTATGAGACAAACGCCTGTGGTGTTCTTCCACGGGTATGCTTCAGATAAGTCGATATGTTGAAAGATTTAGCAGCAAAGTAGTTGTTTACTACATAGAACCGCATTTTGACATCTCATTCTTTTTACTACCTTTATATTTTTAAGTGCAGGCCCCACATCAAATATAAGAGGGGGGAAAGAGTTGGAGAAATTTCAGTCAACAATTTGACCAGGTCAAGGAAAATTGTTGTTTTGGACCATGCATTTACAGCAACTATTAATCCTATTTAATTATCATGATTATGATCATAAATAAAAATGCATGGTCTATTTGAAAATATTATGGTGATACATGTAGATGCTCCCCATAGCAACTTAATCAAAGAATAAAAGTATCTTTCATACTATGTTTTTATGACAAGGCATGTGCCTGAGCATGTGTCTGATGTTGGATAACACCAATGAGCTCTTACTGGCTATCATCAAATAATCTCGTTTGCAACCAAGCTTATTCAAACACTGGACTCTGTAGTTCATAGTTGTAAGATAAAATCAGCAATCATACCAACTCTGATCTCTTTCATTTGCTGTTTTGAACATTGCTGCATCACCTTGTCTGCTCAGCTAGAAGTATACAAATATGGACCGGTTTCATAGTAAATCGTCAGCAATAATTAATAAAGTCTCTCATTATTTATCATAATTTCTATTGTATACTTGTTTTTTATTATCTCTGGAATGTATAACCTGCTCCAACATGTCTTTAATATTTCACTTATTGTAGAACTAAGAAGAGACAAAGTTAAAGCTGATAAAAAGGGAAATCTGAAAGAGGTTGCCTCTCTTGCAAATTATCTAGGAGAGTTACTTGCTAAAAATGGTAAGTATTAATTTAATCCAATCTAAAGGAGAATGTCTAATGTATGTATAACTTTCTATTGAATATTCAGTTCCTCCTGTATGCCACACCAGACAGATGAAAGAATATCATATCAGTTGGTTGAGATTTGTGCTAATGAAGGTTTTGAAATGGATTTGCATATACAGTCAAACCTCATTATCTCAAACTCAATAGGACTGAGAAAAAAGCTTAAATTTTCAAGATGTCAAAGAGTTTGAGATAGTGAAGTTAAAAACACATTAAAGAAAAAAATTTGGAACTTCCAATTCACTTCCACATATCCAAAGCATTCAGGATATATATCTACTTTTGAGATATTGAAGTTCAACTATTTACATTAGGCATGGCCAACCTTTTGTCTCGGAAATGAATAATCCAAAAAGTAATTTAATACTTTGATAAGTTATCATCCAAAATAAAAAAAAAGTGATGCTTGACTGTGAAAACGGTGCTTTAAAAAGTTTTTAAAAAATTAAATTGTGTATTTTTTTATTTTCCAAAATTTACATTAAAACACAGGAATGAGTCAGTTATACCACATAAATTCACTGTGATGTTGCAAAGCCTTCGAATTTTTTTTTTAACTCTCTTTAGTTGACATTGTTAGCACATACGGGTATTTTCAATGTAAATATTTATGACTCAGTGTAAGGACTAATGCCTTGAATTTGCTGTTAAAGCTCTTCCCATCTTTTATTAAAAATCAATTCCCTGCTTTTTTTTTTTTAGGATTGTTTGAAGAAGCAAAGTCAGAACATGAACAAGAACTTGCGATCAGTGATGCCCTGAATGACAGCATTGGTGCTGCAGTCGCTTGTAGGAAGATAGGAGAAAATTACTGTGATCTACAAAACTACGAAAAAGCTCTACACTTTCAGCAACGGCATCTAAATCTTGCTAAGAAATGTGAGAATTTGATTGAGGAACAGAGGGCGTGGGCAACCATTGGTAACACACATACTATATACATGTAGATGAACATTTAATAGTACAGAAAAAAGATTGGTGCCTGTAATTTTCAAGAGGCCTTAACTGTTCGAAATTTTAGATGTGATTTGAAATTTTTTGTGTATTTAAATTTACAAATTAAGATTGTATTATTACGATGAAAATATAATGAGTTGGAAAATGGAGTAGAATACATATAAATGTTTAAAAAAAGTGAAAGTTGTTTGATAAAATTACTGAAAAGTGTCTATAGATAACATTGACAAAATTGTTAACATTGCATGGCATTTCACTTTTTGTTTTTATTTTTTGTAATTGCAGGGAGAACTTACTTTATCCAAAGTGAAAACATGAATAATAAGGAAGCTTGCAATTCAGTCCTACAAAAGGCTCTGGATGCCTTCCAGAAAAGTTTACAAGTCTGTGAGGAGTTGAAGAAGAAAGGAGATGTGAAGGAAGTGGAATATTTTGAGATGAAGGCCAGATTGTATCTTAATATAGGTAACCTTAATATTCCCAAAGTTAATCTTTTTTAAAAAAACAGTTGAACTTTGGGATCTGGAACATCAATATCTCAAATACCTTGGATATCCAAAAGCTTTTGAAGCGAGTTGGAAGTCCCAACGTTTACTTTATGTATATTAACTTAGTATCTCGAGGTTTTTTCTTGCTCTCGTTGTGTTTGATATAAAGAGGATTTTGTATATTTTGGAAATAATACAGAAGGCATGCACTCAGCTGTGTTCCATGTGTAATAATCTTGTTTGTCTCAAATACAGAGAGTCAATATATAATTTTACATGAATTATGTGAAGCACATCTTTTAGGTACACTACATGTTTTAAAAACACAGTGTGTCAATATGAATATATAATAGTAAGTAATGTATATATCTTTACTTTTGTTTTAGGACTTGTACATGATGGCCTAGGAGACACAAAAAAATGTGCAGATAATCTGAAGAGGGCAATCACATTGGCAGAGTAATGCATGAAAATACATATGTCTGCATTTCTTTCACAATATAATCACAAGAATAATGAAGGAACAAAAGAATAATGCATCTTTATTTATATAATGCTACAGATAAATTCAAATTCAGTTATTTATCCATTATTTGATGTATAAATTGAGTGATATTTTGTTCTTTAGACGTCATCACTTCCACAGTGATCTGTACAGATGTCAGACATGCTTGGCTGCAATGTACCAGCGTAATGGGAATCTCAGTCATGCTTTGAGATTTCTGGAAGCTGCTCAAAAAATTGCAGGCAAACTGAAGGATAGGCAACTAGAATGTGAAACCCTGACAACCAAGGCATTGGTATGTTTTTAGCTCTACTGGTCAGAGACCAGAAGAGCTTATGCGATAGTAAGGTGTCCGTCGTCCGTCCGTCTGTCTGTCTGTCTGTCTGTCTGTCCGTCTGTCTGTAAACAATTTTTCAAAACGCTACTCCTCCTACAGTTTTGGTCCGATTTCAATATAACTCAGCACACAAGTAGACTACACTAAGATACATAATTTAGTGCATCGGTTTTTGATTTCGATGGACGGTGTTGCCATGGTTACTAAAACTAGAAATTTCTGTGAAATTCCTTTAAAACGCTACTCCTCCTACAGTTTTGGTCCGATTTCAATATAACTTGGCACACAAGTAGACTACACTAAGATACATAATTTAGTGCATCGGTTTTTGATTTCGATGGACGGTGTTGCCATGGTTACTAAAAATAGAAATTTCTGTGATATTCCTTTAAAACGCTACTCCTCCTACAGTTTTGGTCCGATTTCAATATAACTCGGCATACAAGTGGACTACACTAAGATACATAATTTAGTGCATCGGTTTTTGATTTCGATGGACGGTGTTGCCATGGTTACTAAAACTAGAAATTTCTGTGAAATTCCTTTAAAACGCTACTCCTCCTACAGTTTTGGTCCAATTTCAATATAACTTGGCACACAAGTAGACTACACTAAGATACATAATTTAGTGCATCGGTTTTTGATTTCGATGGACGGTGTTGCCATGGTTACTAAAAATAGAAATTTCTGTGAAATTCCTTTAAAACGCTACTCCTCCTACAGTTTTGGTCCGATTTCAATATAACTCGGCACACAAGTAGACTACACTAAGATACATAATTTAGTGCATCGGTTTTTGATTTCGATGGATGGTGTTGCCATGGTTACTAAAACTAGAAATTTCTGTGAAATTCCTTTAAAACGCTACTCCTCCTACAGTTTTGGTCCGATTTCAATATAACTTGGCACACAAGTAGACTACACTAAGATACATAATTTAGTGCATCGGTTTTTGATTTCGATGGACGGTGTTGCCATGGTTACTAAAAATAGAAATTTCTGTGAAATTCCTTTAAAACGCTACTCCTCCTACAGTTTTGGTCCGATTTCAATATAACTCGGCACACAAGTAGACTACACTAAGATACATAATTTAGTGCATCGGTTTTTGATTTCGATGGACGGTATTGCCATGGTTACTAAAACTAGAAATTTCTGTGAAATTCCTTTAAAACGCTACTCCTCCTACAGTTTTGGTCCAATTTCAATATAACTTGGCACACAAGTAGGTTACACTAAGATACATAATTTAGTGCATCGGTTTTTGATTTCGATGGACGGTGTTGCCATGGTTACTAAAAATAGAAATTTCTGTGAAATTTCTTTAAAACGCTACTCCTCCTACAGTTTTGGTCCGATTTCAATATAACTCAGCACACAAGTAGACTACACTAAGATACATAATTTAGTGCATTGGTTTTTGATTTCGATGGACGGTGTTTCCATGGTTACTAAAAATAGAAATTTCTGTGAAATTCCTTTAAAACGCTACTCCTGCTACAGTTTTAGTCTGCTTCTAATATAATTAGGCATACAAGAAGACTATACTAAGATACATAATTTATTGCATTGGTTTTTGAATTTGATGAACAGTGTTGCCATGGTTACTTAAAATAGAAATTTCTGTGAAATTCCTTTAAAATGTTACTCCTCCTACAATTTTGGTCTGATTTCAATCTAATTTGGCACACAGTTAGAATACACTACGATACATAATATGTATTTCTGTTTTTTTTTATTTGGGTGAATGGTGTTGTCATGGTTACTAGAAATAGAAATTTCCATGAAATACTTTCAAAACGCTACTACTCCTAGTTTTCATTTGATTTCAATATAACTTGTCACAAAAGTAGACTACATTAAGATACATAATTCTATTTATTGTTGCATGTTGCAATGTTTCAAATCCAAGTGCTACTTTTCTTTTGTTATACAAACAGACCAGTAGAGCTACAGTCTCATCAGAGACTTCTGGTTGATTTTGTTGAATGATGTTGCCATGGTTACTTAAATCAAAATTTCAGTAAAATTGTTTTAAAAGGCTACTCCTCCTACAGTTTTAGTCTGATATAATAATAAATCTTGCCAAAAAGAGACTAAACCAAGGATCATTATTATACCCCCCGCAAACGAAGTTTAGGGGGGGTATATTGGAATCAGCATGTCCGTCTGTCTGTCCGTCTGTCTGTAGACGAGATTTTGTCCGAACCATTTCTTGGAAACTGTTGCAAGGATTTGTCTGAAAATTTGTACACTTATTATTCACCATATGAAGGTGTGCACCTGGTATTTTCATTATGATTGGATAATTATTTTGCATTTTACAGGTGTTTTTTTCATTTTTATTATGTGGTTTTGTCTGGATCTGTTCCCAGAGACTATTGCATAGATTTGTATGAAAATTTGTACACTTATTATTTACCATATGAAGATGTGCAACTGGTATTTTCAACATTATTTGATAATTTTTCTGCATTTTACAGGTGTTTTTTTTTTTTATTATTGACTAAGTAATTTTGGGTTCATGTCTAAGGTTTGAGACATAGAATCTAAAACATCTGTACAAAAATGTGAATTACAGCTTAAAACTACTCATTAGAGCTAAAAAAAACACAAAGTATTAAAAACAGTTTTTACATTACACAGCAGATAGTGTAAATCCATTTGTCCCTTGGGAGTAATGAGTGGACATGCATCCAGTTAAAGATTAATTAATGAGTTCAGTGTGGGAAGCTGTTAGGGCATATCTGATCAAGCAGGTCTTATCTATATCTCAGGGGAATTGGGCAGAAAGAAATAAAGATCTCTGTTGTCTAAGTCTCTTAATTGTAATTTATGTCTGTCAAAATACATAGTTACTAAAACCAGCCTTTTATTTTTAAAATGAGTTTGATATAAAGGTATTAAAATCAATTTGATTTTCTATAATTAATTATGATATTTTTTTTTCAACAATCAATTTGCTGTGTGTCACATGTCTCACAAAGATGGCAGATAGTTGCAAACTATTTTTTCAATGTAATAAAAAACACTGTAATTATTAGTGTTGATGTTTTATTAGGCTGCACCTTAGTTTCATTCATTTAATAAAGTGCCCCACCACAGCATGATACGCCCATCAAATATTGTTAAATTATCATAAACAGTTTAGATTCAATTGTTTGAATGACATCTTAGCGAGACAAGGCAGTCTGCAATTTGTTGTAAAGATATAAAAATTCAAATAAAAAATGTACAATAAATAATTAGTTTAAATTATATTATACAATATCATATAAGTTTTAATTATTATATACAATATCAAATTAGTTTTAATTACATCAAATTTATCTTGAAAGTAAGACTAGCCAACAAGAACAATTCAATACAACACAAGCAATTAATTAAGAGACTGATTCCTTTTGCCCATTTCCCAAGAGATGTAGATAACACCTGCTTGATCAGAGATGCTCTGCCAGTTATCTCCTCACACTAAACTCATTAATTTATCTCTAATTTGACATGCAATTTTCTGCTATCAAAATTTTCCTTGACCAGTGCCTGATCATTACACCCATGGGAGAGGTGGAATTTTTGTTGTTACAGATTGCTGTAAAGAACATAATGAAAAAAATAAGACTAGTATTTTCTTGATTTAACACTTTTTTAATAAAGATACTGCAATACTCTGACATCTTTTGGGATTGTGTAATTTAAAAGTTAAAAGACATAGTTTTTTGATTCTAAGTCTAATGGTTTTCTAGTTATAATTTTTCCATATTTGGCCATAGCGTCTTTATTAAAGGTCAGAACGACATGGTTTTAATGTGCGACACACCTTCTACCCTAGATGTATCAGCTGACAAAGTTTGATAATTCTAGGCATAATAGTATTAAAGTTATGAGCCGGACATGAAAAAACTTACGAACGGACAAACATGAACGCTATAACATAGTACATCCCGTCGTAAGACGGACGTATAAAAATATATGAGTAATTAAATTTTCACTGTAAATGTTTAAGGAAATTGTGAACACCTCTCACATCTAGAAAACATTAGTGATTTGGTACTTTCTCTGAAAAACCCAGCGGGGGGGTATTTGTCCCTTTTGGACAGTTCTAGTTCTATTTATTGCTGTTGCAAAGTTTCAAGTCCAAGTGCTTCTTTTATCTTCCTTTATAAATACAACCAGTAGAGCTACAGTCTCATCAGAGACTTCTGGTTATCTTTATGGCTGGTCTGTGAAAAGTGAGGACAAACTCTGAAGAATATATTTTGTTTAGATTTTATGATGTTAGGAAAAAGAAGATCTACTTAAAAATGTTCAGATGGTGATATGAAACATGATATCCATAAACATAGCTTCATTGTATTCATTGAATATACATGTATTTATTCCCACAGATTTCCTGTCAGATTGGAGACTTCAGTAGTAGTAAGCATGCCTTGAAAAAAGCCTATAAACTCAGTCCAAGAGCAGAGGCCGAGAACCTTAGAAGACTTTTTTGTTCAGGTGTGTCTGGAGAATATGTACACTGAACAGTGAAATTGCAAGCATTATCACTATCAAAACTTTGATTGACCCTTTTGTGCTCTTACATGTACATTGTATTTCAGCAGTCTGCATTTAGAATGATGCAGTTTTGTTGTGTATGAAAAATGATGAAGTGGTTTCACTACATTAATATGTAAATTTAAGAAAATGGCCATGATGACTAATTTTGTTTGATATTTCAATCAGTGTCAAAATTAGAAGAAGCAACAGTGGCCTTAGAAGCAGCCCCCTCAACTCCTTCTGAAGACAGACTGAGACTCTTTGAAAGTCTGGGAGACTGCTCAGCTGAAGCAGGCAACTTTAAACAGGCCATTGATTACTATCTGAAAATGGTATGACTTTCATATGTATATTTCCTGGTAAATTCTTTCAACTGTCATTAAATTGAGTTGTTTTGTCTTTGCTAGTAAAAACTTAAAAAAATTCAGTACAAAAAAAATTATTCTCTTCTAAAAGATAATTTACAGTAGTGAAAAGTTAATACTTGTTTTCAGCTTCAGTGTGCCACAGATCTAAGTAAACCTACAAAAGACTTTATCCCAATTTATGTTTCCCTGGCACAAACATATGCTGATGATAAACAATATAAAGCTGCCATCAAGTATTACATGAAAGAGATAGAGGCAAGGGGAGACGATGATGTACAGGTACAGTAGAACTTTGGTATGGTAACAACAAATGCTAAACAAATGTCTGTTTTCTGTAAGGTTCTTTATTGAAAATTTGAAAAATAATACATGCTCACATTACCAGTTGAACAAAATACAAATAGAAGATGCACATTTGAAATTAATGAAACGACACATCCCCAAAATATGGCAGTACCACACCCAGTCACTGTAGTTTATGCATGTGTGTGTGGTCTCTTAGATAAGTAAGATACTGGTGTTTATTATCTCACGTTAAAAGTTATAATATTTAGGAAATTACAGATTCTACATAACATTCTTAACATAGGAAAATAACATGCATAACTTGAGAAAGTACACGCTCACTCGGGTTAAGGGGCGTCATCACGGTGAATACAGATGCTTGTTAAATCAGTTTAAGTCTTAAAGATTTACTCGACAATTTTATATATATTGATATCAATGTGCTGAGAATTATATAAAAATAGAAAATAACTAATTAGATGATCAAATACATTTAAACTAAGTTTTTGAGAACATAATCAATAAATAAAATTAAATATCTGGCACAAGGACAAAAACACTATAAATAGAAGAAAGGTTAAAAAGTACTGTGTGGTTTCACATCATAAGTGTAATTTTGACCATTACTACATGTATGTCTTGAACATTGATTTATCCACAAGTAATAAAATGGATATGTCAGAGTGAGTTGAAAGCCCACACACCAAACCACTTTTTCATTCTGAATTTTAACCTTTTTGTCACAAACTCATAGTTATTTCTCAGCACCCATCAGAGATTACAAGATTTGACTGTAACTCATTTAGCAATTACATTCAGTAATTATCAGCAATGGACATGGATTTGTTACAGAGCATAAAAAATCTTGTTTATATACAGAAAGATATTTAAGTGCCCCGGTTTCCTTAAGTATTCATATTGTCAGCATTTAATGTCTTGATGTAAATTTGAAGCTGATCAATTCAAACACGGGACGAAAAAGGATTGCGTCTCATTGTGAAGTTTGGAGTATATTGTAATGGAGGACTGTGTTTTTTTCCTGCTGTCACAATTTTTAATAATTTATCTTAGGTTTGTAAGACCCTTCTCAATATTGCTGAGATCCAGTTTTCTGATGGACAAGCGTATGATGATATCAGCAAGACGTACCTCTCTGCGTACAAACATGCCAAGAAAGCTAAGCACCATTTGTTAGAGGTAGGCTTATAGCCTGTCAAATTTTACAGCAATTCTGCTGTTACAAAACTCATTACCGTAATCACGACACACATGTACATGTATACACTGTTCAAATGTGATGGATAATTTCAAATTGAAAAAAAAAGTTATAGTCTTTGGAAAATGCAAATTCCTTCATTATGGTCAGGATTTTATTGGACATTCATTTTGCCAGTCTTAAAGAAGTCATTTTTACATACAGTAGTATTTAAATTATAATCCTGCATCAGAGAGAGTTCATTTGTAAAAAGTTGAAAGACATTTCAACCCTGTTTACTAGATATGAAGAAAATTTGTATCCTTTTTAGTTTCTTGTCCTGAAAGCACTCACTGATGTTCAGAAGAACTTCAATCAGAAATCACACCTTCAACAGACAACAGGAAAACTGGACAAAATCAAAGAAAAGTACAACATTGATAGCTCTGATGAGCTCAGTGATGACGAGAAAGATAGTCAGAGGACGAAAGCAGAGGAGGAAGAGGAACTTAGTATATCAGAATTATCGGAATCAGGTTAGTCCAAATAATTTGGGCTCGGATATCCTTCGTTTCTCTTTGGTTTGATTGAAACAAAGGAAAATACTCCAAATGTTACAGCTGTATTTTGTATGGACTTGCTACACTTCCAAAATATGTATCATGTCATGTAAGATGTAAGGGGAATTGGAATTTTTCAATTAATTTAATTATGTATATATGATCCAAAGTAAAAGGTTTATGACAAAATCAGTTTAAAAATTTGTTGCTGGTTAAATACTAGAGTGTTATGTAGCAGTATCTTTATAATAACCATTGCTGAGATCAGTCAAAGTCATTGAAATTTATCTCTTTTACAATGCCTGTTACAGAGGACAATGATGAAGAGCTGCCAGAAAACATGAACACCAGTATTACAGGCAGAGCAAGGCGAAACAAAGCTGCCACAAAGGTTAGTAACTAATTGAAACAACACCAACATTATTAAATATAAACATGATAAAGGGTCATTTTGTTGCAATCTTACTTTTGCTGTTTTTTGCAAAAAGGAAGTAGAGAAGTTTAAACTGTTGTTAAATGAAATTATATCATTGAATATATAATAAGTTAATACATAAAGGGGTAAATTTAACGTGAAAATGAAACTTCCCTTTAAATAAAGCAAAAATACATGTATTTGCAAAAATTATCAAAATTGCATTTATGCCTTTTGTTTGAAGCTTGTTCAATTCTTTTCTAAGGTTGAAACAATGCATGTGCACCTCCTTCACAATATGTTTCATACTATTATGTCATGGTACACTTATACTATATGATACAGACTGATTGAAGAAAACAAATTCCAAGTTAGACCCCACTTGAAAAAGGAATCATAATGCTTTGCAGCTTTCGGTCTGTAGGTCGGTTGGTATGTCAGTCTGTCTGAAGACCAAGTTTTGTCCACTCAATACCTTGAGAACCCTTTGCTTGAAAGACATCAAACTTGATACATTGGTACCTTGTGAGGTCACAAGGTTAAAGGCAAAGGGGTCAAACTACTCTAGACATACATGTAGGTAGATTTTGACCATTCAGTATCTTGAGAATCATTTGCTTGACAGACATCAAACTTGGTACATAAGTTCCCATCAAGGAATAAATGATTCCTTTTTTTAAGGTCACAAGGTCAAGGGTTAAACTGGACATAGGGATATATTGAAGATCATGAGAACTCTGCTAGACAGACAGTCATTTGATTTTTTTAGGAAGATATTGTTAGCTCAGTATCTTGAGAACCATTCGCTTGACTGACATCAATTTTGGTACTTTGGTAGCCTCAAAGAAGTAAATTAGTCCTAATAATATTCAGATTTGATTTAGATGAAAGTGTTATTTTTGCCCCTGACTAGTAAATGACCAGTTCTTTTCACTATCATTACAGACATTCTAAGTTTAAAGTTGTTCCCTGTTTAATATTGCCAAATGGGGGGGGGGGCGTATATGTTTCTCTAGCATTTCTTGTTTTATGCCTTATTTCACTGAGAACATTTACTTAATTAACATTCAAATTGCTTAAAAGAAATTGACCTGATAGAATTGACTGTTTTTAAAATGATTATTCTATAAACTATTTTTCTTCAAGAATCACTCTTTCCAAAATTTCATAAGTGCTGTGTAGTGTGTTTTGCTGAATGACCACACCGGATTGAATAATGATCCCATCAAAAAAGTGAACTGAAGGGAAAACAGAGATTTTGTATTGTACTATGTGTATCAAATTGACAAAAAATACTGCAATGAATTTATACCATGGTGAACTGTTTCACTCTTACATATGTACTCTCTTTCAGATGAACTTTTTTTAGATAGCAATTTGTAGTTCTATGTATTTTATTGCAATACAGAGAAATGAGAAAGGTGAAACACCTCTTCATAGAGCCTGTATAGAAGGGAATCTTAAGAAAGTGGAAAGACTTATAGAACAGGTACCACTATAACACTCATTTAACTGATGCTTGCAAATGGGCAAAAAAATTACATGTATGTATTACATGAACTACAAGTGATCTACATTGTAACTTCTTTTTAGCTGCTATGAATTTTTTTTTGCCTGTACACCTAGGGTCACCAAGTGAATCCCCGAGACTACTGTGGCTGGATTCCCCTCCATGAGGCAGCCAACCATGACTATTATGAGATAGTGCAGTATTTACTGGAGCATGGAGCTGCAGTAAATGACAGGGGTGGGCAACATTGTGGAGGCGTCACACCCCTCATTGATGCAGCTAATTGTGGCAACATGGAAATTTTGGAGTTGCTGATCTCAAAAGGAGCAAATGTACTGGCTAAGGATGACGAGGTAATAGTGGAAAATATGTGTACATTGAAAACAAAGTCTTGCAGGCGCAAGAAGCATTAAAATGATAAATAAATTTTTATGTCCCTCACTTTAAGGATATGGGACTTGTAGATTCTAATAACTCCAGGTCTTAAACCTTCACTATAGCTTTTGAATTTTACAAGATGGTAAACATGTTAAGCAAAGTTGGAATTTCTGGTTAAATTGAATTCAAATATCAAATTTGATCCCCCCCCCCAATAATTGGCCACTATTTTTAACCAATTTTGTTTGATATTTTTTCTAATGATAAATTTTCAGAACAAAACCATGAATAATTAGTTCTTACATGTATTTTTGTGATAATCATGGGCTGTCTGTCCATCCGTCAGTCACGGTTTGGGGTGCCCATCTCTTATCCACAACTTCTCCTTTACCACTGAATAAAAATGAGACTCTCACAGAATCTTTATTACATAATGCACTTCCTGTTACTTTTTCATCGGACACGTTTCGGATTTCTCATAATATTGAAACATTCATTCTCTCTATAATACATATATTTGGGGTAACCATCTCTTATTCACAACTTCTCCTTTACTACTGATTAAATATGATACTTCACAGAATCTTTATAACATAGCACCATTGTGCACCTCCTACTTTACATGTTGATAGGAGAGATATTTGGGCTTTCCCATAGTAATGGACTTTGCCATTCTCATATGGGGGCAGGGGGTATCATTTTGTGAGCTCAGTGTTCACAGTACCTCTTAGTTTAATGTTTATTACACGCTCTTTGTATATAATATATTTTTACTTTTCCTATTATTTTTTTTTTCAGGGAAATACAGCTCTTGACTGCTTAAGGGCTTGGAGACAGAGATGTGACAACATCACAGATGACCTCATAGCTAAATTTACATCACTAGAGCAAAAATTACAGAAGAGACTACCAAGTACTGAATTATGTGTATCTTTAATACAAAAATAGAACAAAATTTCAAAAAAAAAGTGTAAAATTCTAACAAGTACTCTTTTTGCAAATCCTTTCTAAAAAGAAATAGTGTACATATAGCTGCAAATTTTTAATTATATATATATATATATATATATATATATATATATATATATATATATATAATAAAAGCATGTATAGTTTTGAGTGGACGCTAAATAACCACATTAACACAAACATAATAGTTTAAAAGCATAAATTTGTTATTGCTTATTTCGTATTTTATACATGTAATTTCTGGATCAAGAATCTGTTACCAGACACCCATTGATAGAGTATAGCATCCCTTTATCTTTTCATTTAGATGCCCCACCCATTAGAGAAGAGCACCAAACCATTTCTTCATCTCAAACAACTGGATCAATGCCTTTTCTAAGGCAACCTAAAAGGAAAAGAAATGACACCAGTATGAGGTAGAGTTTGTGTTCAAACATATTCAAAATATTTGGGTTTTTTTTAATACACTGGTTAGAAGACACTAGTCAGAGCTATTTAAAAGAATACTGTTATTATATCTCAAAGGACTTCGTAAATTATTTATCATAAGCAAACAAGATTGCTGGTTTGTAAATCTTTTGCAAGACTAGGTTCTCAAACATTTTAAATATTTAATTCCTTAGATACTTTCTTTTACAGTAAACATTTTACTACATAAAGTACAACTTAATTATTGGAAATTCTAAGCAAATTATGCTGGCATATAATTTTCATTTAAAGTGAGTAAATTTCAATAAGGCATGGAACCTTGTGTTGTTTATTATGGTGCTATATAAGAAACTATTTTACATGTAGAAGGACTTTATCCTCTGGTTCTGAAAGTGATTCTGAAATCCAAGAGACAGAATCCATAGACTTTACAGAAGAATCGCAGGATGCTTATCCAAATCCTTTATTGCAAAAAGAAAAACCTCCAAAACGTGCCACAGAATTCTATAAGAGTGCCATAAAAGCAGTGGGATTAAGTGCTACAAAAATGGTTTCTGCTTCCCAGCCTTCAAACTCTAAAGCACAGAAAGAAATACAGCCATTTTTAGCAGAAGAGGAAGTCCTGGATGATGATTGGCTGATTGATGATATGAAACCAACCAATAGAAAGAGGAGATTGGATGTTAATGATGTCTTTCCTAAAAGTCAGGTGCCCTCTAGTCAGAGGGGACCCAAAAGGAAAAAGCATTCAAATGAGCAAGGGCAATTAAGTGATTTTCTTGATAATGAGAATAGTGAATCAGATGTTACAGCCTTGGTTGTGGCAGAAAATCTATCTCAAGATAATCATTTAAATGTTCATGAAACTACAATTGGTGAGGATCTTCATTTGATAAGTGAAAGTGAAAATAGCAATGACAGTGTAGAAATTAGGCCAAGGTCAAGTCGCCTCTCACGCAAACCAAAACAAACAAAATTGACAAATTTTGGTGTAAGAAAATGTAACAATTATGTATCTGATGAGAATTTAATGGAAAATACTAGCTCCTTACAAGATTCCAGATTTTCGTCAGATGTTTCATCAACTCTAAACCTAGTCAGGCCTGGAGTTACCCTCCCTTCCAGTCAAATGGCACCTGGTTCATTGACACAAACTGTGGCTTTTCCAGTGGGAACACTAAGAGTAACAGTCAAGGATAAAAAACTTTTAGTTCCTGTCTTTGAAAAGTAAGTTATCAAATGGATGCTTATTTATTTTCTTAACATTTTTAAGAGTACATAATTTGTGTGAGCACCCACCGTTGCTTCAGCTCTAGAGATTAGATGTTTGTAGACATAATGACTACCAGTACTGTGACATGAGACTTTTGATAAATAAGTCATACTAAAGGCCTAGGCAATGAGACTATGAGATTCCCCTATTGTGTAATCCCTCTTGAGCATTGAAAATATCATAAATGTTTTACTAGTGATATTTTTATGCCTTAGTTCTTTGAACACAAATTCAAATATCCATATCTATCCTTTGTAGAGATGTCTCCAGCACTGTATCGTGGCTGGCACAAGAGACCGCATCTAGATACTACAAACTGACTGGATTACAGTGTATCCTCAGCATCCAGCTAGGAGATGGATCAGTTCTAAGTCCGGATGATCCAGTCACACTCCTATTATCATCAAATGAAGAGGTAGTGCTTTAAGTGTCTCTAGAAAAAATTCAGTGTATACAGTGGCCTCCTAATATAATGAGAGACATATTCAGTATTTAATGTGCAATGAATTGTTTTCTGTTTGAGCAAAAACCATTCCACGTCGTAATATTCTAAAATCACAAACTGCAAAATTAAATTTGCTAAATTTACAAGACCCTATTCCATAGTACTTTGCAATTGTTACTTTTTTTATACCCCCCGCAAACGAAGTTTGGGGGGGGGGTATATTGGAATCAGCATGTCCGTCTGTCTGTCTGTCTGTAGACGAGAATTTGTCCGAACCATTTCTTGGAAACTGTTGCAAGGATTTGTCTGAAAATTTGTACACTTATTATTCGCCATATGAAGGTGTGCACCTGGTATTTTCATCATGATTGGATAATTTTTTTTTGCATTTTACAGGTGTTTTTTTCATTTTTATTATGTGGTTTTGTCGGATCTGTTCCCAGAGACTATTGCATAGATTTGTATGAAAATTTGTACACTTATTATTTACCATAAGAAGATGTGCACCTGGTATTTTCAACATTATTTGAGAATTTTTCTGCATTTTACAGGGTTTTTTTTTTCATTTTTATTGACTTAGTCATTTTGGGTTCATGTCTAAGGTTTGAGACATAGAATGTAGAACATCTGTACAAAAATGTGAACTACAGCTTAAAACTACTCATTCTAACTAAAAAAAAAATCACAAAGTATTAAAAACAGTTTTTACATTACACAGCAGATAGAGTAAATCCATTTGTCCCTTGGGAGTAATGAGTGGACATGCATCCAGTTAAAGATTAATTAACGAGTTCAGTGTGGGAAGGTGTTAGGCATCCCTGATCAAGCAGGTCTTATCCATATGTCCTGGGAATTGGGCAGAAAGAAATAAAGATCTCTGTTGTCTAAGTCTCTTAATTGTAAATTATGTCTGTCAAAATACATATGTAACAGAGTTAAAAGTGGCTATGCATTGTAAGTAGTGAGGCCACGCTCCTACTAGCACTAGCTAGTGCGTTAACCCTTTAGCTCAGTTGGTAGAGTGTTGGATTTTAAATCTGAGGGTTGTAGATTCGAACCACAGTGTAGACACCCCTAGCTAATCGGTCATACATAGTTACTGGAACCAGCCTTTTATTTTTAAAATGAGTTTGATATAAAGGTATTAAGATCAATTTGATTTTGTATAATTATGTGGTTTTTTTTCAACAAACAATTTGCAGAGTGTCATGTCTCACAAAGATGACAGAGAGTTGCAAACTATTTATTTAATGTAATAAAAAACACTGTAATTATTAGTATTGCTGTTTTATTAGGCTGCCCCTTAGTTTCATTCATTAAAAAAATACAATGAGTAATTAAATTTTCACTCTAAATGTTTAAGCAAATTGTGAACACCTCTCACATCTAGAAAACATTAGTGACTTGGTACCTTCTCTGAAAAACCCAGCGGGGGGTATTTGTCCCTTTTGGACAGTTCTAGTTTTTTTTTTTATCCCTTTTTAATTTTGTTAATCATTTCTAATTTTGTTTCTATAAAAATGGTCTTCCCTTGTTAGAAACCAAGAAAAAAAAATTACAATAAAAAAAAACAACTCATTATTTCTGAACGCATTTAATACATTGTGGATGTGTAAGATTGTATAATCATACCTCTGATAATTGCCATTACCTACCTGGGACTAGCAATCATCCTTGCCGCAAGTACCTTTTTATATCCAATAGTGCCTACTGCTTACTACTAATCAGAATCTAGTTATCAGTGTTCTCACTATAACCAGCATTTTCATGAAAGAAATATTTAAGAAATAATTTGGGACAAAAATACTATCTCTTTGTTAAGCAGTACCTTGTTATATCCGAGCTTTTGATACCCAGAGGCCACTGGACTGAGAATAGTAAAAAGAAACTTCAAATTGTACTTGATTATATAAAAGTTACTCATTTTCTGATATTGTAATGCACACTGGTGTGGTCGTAACTTTCATAGGTAAAGGCTGTAGTGGAGAGTTTGGACCTGGCACCAATGTCACAGCAGTATGAGCAAGCCTGTAGGGAGTTATCCTCTAGTAAGTGTATCTGATAAACATTTGATCTTTGTGTTTTATACTGTAGATTCCTAAATATACGCGAGGAATAAATTACCGCATAATTACGCGAGAAGCACCGCTCGCGAAATAAAATTACTCGCTTTTATTTTTATGGTGCTTGAATGTATGTAAAATCTCTAGATAAATCAACCATTCGCGAATAATTATTCTCGCGATTTGACGCCCTTGGGTCATTTCGCGATAATAAGTACTCGCGTAAAATAAGGAATCTACAGTATCATGATTCCTAATGTGTCAAAGTTTCATTTTTAATTCTGCTTACTCTTAAGAGTCTTGAAAAGAAATGTAATTTTCAAATTATATATATCCGTTGTTATTGTAATTAAATATTACAAGTGTTTTGTTAGTGGATTTTTTTTTCTTTAATTTTGTATTTCTTAAACAGATATGTGTTTTATTCTTATTTTTCAGTAAGCTACAGAAACATCAAAACCCTTCTGATTCAGTCTGATTCTAATGGAGGCAAGCTGGACTTTCAGAACCTGGCTCTTCGTCCGATACAGCTCAAACCTGTTTTCAAAGCTATTCAGTTCCAGAGCAGCATAACAGAGATATGTCTAAAAGGTTCTCTATGTTCCCAGGGCTTCATATGTTTGAAGTTTTGTAGAATAATATGATATTATAACTGGGCTGCATTTTTGAGAATTTTATTTTGCTGTTTAAATGTGTTATTATGATAAGAATGTATGTAATTTAAACCTTTTTGATCAATAAGACAGACGTAAAGTATCAAAATGTTTCAGAATAAAGGATTCTGTACAATCAAATATATAGTATTATATAAGAAATCATTATTGTACAGGACAACAATAATGTAATTTTGTTTCAATCAAAGCTTATAAATAGTCTTTCATCGTAGATATGAACAACAGAAGTTTATAGAAGTTCTTTTTTTCTTTCATTGAAATGGTTAATTACAATTTTGCAACAAAAATTTCTGACATCAAAGTTGCAGCTCATATTGCTTTAAATATTCAAGTGGTAACTTTCACAGACAAGTACATGTACACAGTGTTCCAGCTAGGGTGAAATAGAGGGGCGCCGCGCCCCGCCCTCAAATCATTACGCCCCTCTGCCCCCCACGAGCGCCCCTGTGTCCCCTGTTAGTGTCCTGTGTTATTCTAACTGTCCTTTTCCCTCATTAGAATAATTAGTGTGTTCCAATGCAGATTACCCAAGGACAATCAGCAATTCACACCTCCAGTCATAGACGATTACGCAATGAAACTCGCATTACGGTACCTATGTACTATACAGGTGTCCACTTTCAATTACAGGTGATTAGGTAATTACTTTGATCACTTGACAGTCTGAATAGGGGTTAAAAGTTGAAATACTTTGAGAATGTCCAAGCTATCTGTTTTAATTAATATAAAACAAGTCTTGTATTATAGCGTTCTAAAAATAAATCACGAAGTGAAAGTAGAATTAACATTGACCTTCACTTCTTATTTATAAATTCTTGAGACGTTTTTTTCTGAAAAGAGAAGGAATTCAATATTTAATAGCACAGAAACAAGTATAAATATTCATTTATTTTCTCCTTAATTATGATTTTTTACACTCGGGAAGAATTTTATGAGATTACAGATATGTACATATTAAAATATGTTCTATTTCATTGCAGAAATTTAAAATCTTGAATTTAATTATCTGCTAATAACATGACTAGTATGATAAAACAGGCAAAAAAGATATTGGCTTTAAATTGAAAGTTTAATACTAGTACTAATATGTTACTTATAACCTACAAATACTGTATCCATATTTTATACATTTGCCAAAAACAGACCCAATCACCTGTAGCACATATACTGCAGTGAATAATGTGAGAAACCAGTTAGTTTATAAGAATTATGGTTCTGTTTTTGAAAATAGGAAATAAGAATAGAAAATGATTAAAAAGAAAAGAAGAAAAGTAATATTTATTCTCAGAGGATTTTTAAAAAATCTTTTTATATGTTAATGTATATACTAGCTACAGATTATCCTAATGTGTGTTTATATATATATCTTTCAAATCAATAAGGTTAAATACATGTAAATTAATATTTGAAGGAGTTCATTATTATAAGGGTGAAGTTATGAGATACGCCTATGTAACAAAAGCCAGCAACAAATGGTATGGGGCGAAAAAGTGCCCTCCTCCTGCACCCCTCCATTTTCAGATCCTAGCTGGATCGCTGAGTACATTTAGTATCCAATGTTTGTATTTTAATGATGAAGCAAAACTCAGCAAGTGGAACTATTTGGCAATTATTATTCATTCCTCAAATTTATCAGTGTTTCCCCATTGCAACCTTTCTTTGCTCACAGGACTTCAAGATCTATGTAATATTCAAAGATTGGATAGTATAGGAAGTTATATATGTAAAATTATATCACTAGAATGTGCTATTAAATATCACACATATGCTTGCTTTATTGTATTTTAAAATCTTTTGTTTTGCAGGAAACAGACTAGGTGATAAGGGCCTTGAAGACTTTGTAGTTGTTGTGAAATCACTGAGTAATCTGTGTACCCTGGATCTCTCTTGTAATGGTATAACCAGTGTAGGATTGAAGACCATAGCAGATTGTGTTTCTTCCATGAAAGATGAAACTAGTGCACCTAAAGTAAGACTTGCATGTACATCATAATTGATGAGGGAGAAGCTATTGAAGATGAAAAAAATATGAAAAATGATAAGAAATGTAGAATTTTACTAATTAGGTGTGAAGAAAAAAATTAATTGCAGGGAAAAAGTCCATATACATGAATTATCATGGATATTTGTTGCCTAAAATTTTTTTTCAATTAAATTCATTTACCTTGACAGAATTTGCTGCATCTGTCCCTCAGTAACAATCTACTGGGAGACAACTGCTGTACCTTACTAAACACAGTTATCTCCTCTTTGTCATCTCTGGAAACATTAGAGTTATCCTCATGTGGATTCACAACTAAACTGTTTCAGCAAAACAGACTCAGTTTGGTAGATACAGTAAAAAGTAAGTCATGATAAGCTTGGATTTTAATAGTAAAGTAATCTTTAAACTCCAGGCAACGAGTTGCTTAAGGTATAACAGTTTTGACTCATCTTTCAGTCAGTGCACGTATCCTCTGAAATTTCATGAAACTATGTAGTTAATAAGGACACACTGTGTAAATATGCATATAGTTTTTGTCAGTCCAACTCCTCTTAGACTGCTAAACAGGGTTTCATAAACCATTTTAGTTAATAAGGACATATATAGAGATGTGCGTATTCACAGAAATCCCCCCCCCCCCCCCTTGAAAATTGGGGGCATATTGATTTGGACCTGTCAGTAGGTAGGTAGATCAAGTGTTGTCTTCTCAATATCTTGAGATCCCTTTGCTTGACAGACCTCAAACTTGGTACACTTAGTACCCTTTAATTACCCCTTAATTAATTTCCATGATTTTGAGGTCAAAAGGTCAAAGGTCATTGTACATGCTAAGTAACGTCATATCAAATTTTAAAAAAAGTGTAAGTCGTTTTATACATGTACAAAAATACATTGTGAATATCAGTGACCCATGAAAAAAAATTTGAATCAGCTATATTTTTAGGATCATGAATATTCATTTAATTTCTTGTGAAATTTATAAGTACCCAGTTTTCATGTATTACCAAATAACAGGAATTTTCAGCAATCATATATTTTTGCATTATTAACAATGGTCTAGGCAATGCTTAATATGAATTAATTACTAATTATTTAATCACAAATATTGTAAAAGCAAATAAATAGATATATTTAATATTGCTTAATCATGCTAATAATAAATGCCCACTTTTAGGATATAATCACATTTTTGCCAGTCACTAAATTTACCCATAATGCAGTATCACATTTAAGTTAATGAATTTGAATGTAAAACACACTGATTTCAGACTCCAATATCCACACCTTAGATGTATCCAGCAACACCTTAGGTTCATTAGGAGTAGAACTGGTTCTCTGTTGTTTAAATCCTGGTAATTTGACCACCCTAAACCTGACAGGAACAGTTACAGCTAGTGGCGTGTTACATTTATTTCTCCATCACATTGAAATGTTCCTTTCCCAGGCAAGTGTATAATGTACTTGGGCTTCAGATTTTGTAACTGAAAGTTTGTTGTTTTTTTTTTTAAGTTTTGAAAAATAATATGATTTATAAAAGATGTTGATTTTAAAAGATGAATGGCATCACAAAATTTCTATAAATTCATATTCATGGTTATTCTCTGTTAAACAATGTGTTTTTCAGGACAGCTGTTCTTTAGCTGACCTTACTCTGAGCTCCTGTCAGTTAAGTCTGGAGGAAAAAGAGAAACTTGTCAGGTAGATATTTAGATTGATTGATTGTATGTTTTATGTCCCATTCAGGATTTTTTAGCTCACCTCAATGAAGTTGGGGGAGCTTATGTAATACCCTCGGCGTCGGTGTCGGCGTCCCAGGTTAAGGTTTTTGGAGCAGTTTTCTTTTCAAGTACTTCTATGGCCTATATTAGTCAGAGATGTGTGGAGGATGCTTCTAGTGTGTTTTATTGTACCAGTCAAGGTTCCAGATGCTGCAATTTCAGCTAAAGAATGACCAGGTTAAAGTTTTTGGAGCAGGTTAAAGTTTTTGGAGCAGGTCTCATTTCCAAGTAACTATAAGCCCTATATTGACCAAACTTGCATGGATGATACATCTAAGGATGCACACTACTGAACTTGCTTCGGATGCTGGAACTGACCTACATTTTGCGGATGAGTGACCAGGTTAAAGTTTTTGGAGTAGATCTCATTTCCAAGTAACTACAAGCCCTATATTGACCAAACTTGCATGGATGATACATCTAAGGATGCACACTACTGGACTTGCTTCAGATGCTGGATCTGACCTACATTTTCTGGATGAGTAACCAGGTTAAGGTTTTTGGAGCAGATCTCATTTCCAAGTAACTATAAGCCCTATACTGACCAAACTTGCATGGATGATACATCTAAGGATGTACACTACTGGACTTGCTTCTGATGCTGAATCTGACCTATATTTAATGGATGAGTGACCAGGTTAAAGTTTTTGGAGCAGATGTCATTTTCAAGTATCTATAAACCCTATATTGACCAAACTTGCATGGATGATACATCTAAGGATGTACACTACTGGACTAGCTTCGGATGCTGGATCTGACCTACATTTTCCGGATGAGTGACTAGGTTAAAGTTTTTGGAGCAGATGTCATTTCCAAGTATCTATAAACCCTATATTGACCAAACTTGCATGGATGATACATCTAAGGATGTACACTACTGGACTTGCTTCGGATGCTGGATCTGACCTAAATTTTTGGGATGAGTGACCAGGTTAAAGTTTTTGGAGTAGATGTCATTTCCAAGTAACTATAAGCCCTATATTGACTAAACTTGCATGGATGATACATCTAAGGATGCACACTACTGGACTTGCTTCGGATGCTGGATTTGACTTACATTTTCCGGATGAGTGACCAGGTTAAAGTTGTTGGAGCAGATGTCATTTCCAAGTAACTGTAAACCCTATATTGACCAAACTTGCATGGATACTTCTAAGGATTCACACTACTGGACTTGCTTCGGATGCTGGATCTGACCTACATTTTCTGGATGAGTAACCAGGTTAAAGTTTTTGGAGCAGATCTCATTTCCAAGTAACTATAAGGCCTATCTGAACCAAACTTGCATGGATGATGCATCAAGGCACGAACAATCTCAAAACTTGGTTCTTACATTTTCTGGATGAATGACTAGTTTTAAGTTTTCAGATAAGTCTATTCCCAAGTAACTGCAAGCCCTATCAGACCAAAATTGCATAAATGTTGCATCTAGGGATGCACACTCCTATATTATTAGTTTAGTGTGGGACTTTGCCTTACTTAAAGACAACATTCGTTGAGGTGAGCTCTGTAATCTCTGATTACCTATGTTTTTACATGTATAGAGAAGTCACCATATACCAGTGAAGGGCTTCAAATTTAAACCTGTACCCAGCACTCAGGGCCATTGAGCTGGGTGCTTGGCAAAGGAACAGTCACTACCTATGTTTAGGTCTTAGGTTTGATAAGGCAAATGAGAATTGAACCTATATGTTCACCACTGTATTATATTTGCTGAATAAATGTATGCCTTTGAACACCGGAGAATAAGCAATCCTTATTAAGAGACTACATCTTATATTCAACCTTTTTTCCTTTCTCCTTTGGAAGTTCTCAATACAGGTTTGACTGTATTATATTTTAATATACATACTCTATATTCACATTTAACACCTATAAAATTTCAAAACACGTACTATTTTTAAGGTCAGGGTCATTTTGTGACATAAGTGTGATATCGCTATGTCTTCTATTTCAAAACTGTTTTTCTGAATACTTGTTATTTACTTGTCTGTACTCTGTAATTAAGGTTATTAGCAGTTGGAAAAAATATCACCCGACTTGACATTTCCTGCAATCCAAAACTGACCAATGAAGTAGTCACAGCTTTGTTGTCTGAGTCAACAAAACAAAATTCGCCTCTGGAGGTGTTAATCACAGAAGGGTGTACCATCACTTCCCCAATCAACTCTGATTTCCTGGACACGCTGGGGGAAAAGTTGGATAGTGCGCGACCTCTGACCTATCTGAGCATGAGCAGTGACCAGTTGGAGAAACTGGACATAGAGTGCTTGTCTGATGTTTGGACTCAGTACTGGCAGACAGGTGTAGGAGTTATTAGAAATGTTTTAGATGTTATAGAGCTTTGTGTTGATGATAAGTAATAGTTCTAAGAATTGTATATACATGTATGTCTCTGATATAAATTTTGGATGTTTAACACTCCCAGGGAAGTTTAGACATTGTTAATAAGCAATATCAGCCCATTTTTGTCCTTGCTATTTGTGCTTTTTATTCATATACTAGTATCTTGTTTGTACATAGAATACATACTGTATTTTAGAAGCATCTCATTTTCTTCGAATTGTACATATACAGTAAAACATGCTATTAACGAAGTGCTAGGGACGGACGATTTTGCTTCGTTATAAACATAATTTGTTATATCCGTTAAGCTCAGGATTTTTTTTTTTTTTGATTAAATGAATATATATGTATATTATTGGCTTGCTCTAAAAGAGAAAGGAATAAAATTCTAGTCAGTACTGTTTTTAGTTCATCTGAGCCAAAGGCTAAAGTGAAGTTTTCTGATCAAAATTTGTGTGTCATCGTCATTGTTATTGCAAATTTTTCACAATTTCATCTTTTTCTCAAGAACCACTTGGCCAATTTCAACCAAACTTGGCACAAAGCAGCCTTGCGTGAAGGTGTATTGAAGTTTGTCCAAAAGAAGGGTCACACCCTCTTCCAAGGGAGGATAATGAAGAATTAGTGAAAAATGTCATCTTTTAAAAGTCTCAAGATCCAGTTGGCTAGAAAAAATGAAAATTATGTGAAAGCTTCATTACATAGTGTAGATTCAAGTTTTTCAGATCATGACCTTCAGGATTAGGGTTGGGCCATAAGAGGAGATCAAAGTGTAACATTGAATATATAAAAAATATTTTAAAAATCTCAAGAACAGGAAAGCCATGATTAGCTATATCAATATAGAAGCATCCTCAGGTTGTGTAGCTTCAAGATTGTTCAAATTATGACCTCTGAGAGTAGGGTGAGGCCACAGTGCAGGGTTTGACACTAAGGCACCTCCGACCGACCCAGTCTAGTAAATGAGTGGTCCGGTTATGTAAAATGTTCGTGAACTAGACCGTCTGGTCGCGTGTATGAAATAAATGATAACCCTTATTTCAGTCTTTCAAAGAAATATTCTAAAAAGGTTTTTTAATTTTTTTTTTAATTCTTATTTGTCTGACAGTAAACATCATCCATCGAAAAGAAAACTTTCCCGCATGACACAATTGCTATTTTTAGCCCAGCTGTAATAGACAAGTTGCGATGGGAACTAGCTTCATTATATAAAATTAGTATGAAGTTATTGAATAATATATTCTATAATTCACAATGTATTATTTTGAGTAATTATTTTTATACTAAGTTCATTGATTGTTCCTTAATAAAGGCTTATAATATTTGTATGTCACGCTTAACCCGACTTAATGGCTAGCGACGTATGGAAGAGTCTGTCAAAATATATCTTAACAGGTGCGAGAGACGGAATCTTTTTTGAAGTTTGGTTTCGAAACTTTTTTCCATTATAATTAGCAGTTAATAAAAAGTCAATTTTTAAGTTTGGTCAGGGCTGGTGATTTTATGGTCAGGGCTAGTAAAAATTATTGGATGTAGCCCGATTGGTCTAGTACTCGTAAAAGTTAATGTCAAACCCTGCAGTGGGAGATCAAAGTTTTATTTCAGAATAGGTAGGGAAAATCGTTAAAATTCTTCCTCTAATGCACAGCAAAGTCATTATTTGTCATATTGACGTGCAAGCATCCTCGGGTACCGTATATACTCGCCTATAATTGTTTGGGGGGGGGGGGGGGTTATATTTTGGTGCTCAACTCATGTTCGACTTATAAACAAGTCCTAGAAACATCTGGATTTTTCTGCAAGACAGTATGTAGTATTTTATTTACAATTCGGACAGACTACTATCTTTGAAAAAAGTCGGTACATTTTCTTGAGATACTTAGTACTTTCATATAGAAACGAAACGTCTAGCTACCATAGACATAGAAAAAATGAGTGTTGCTCTATGATATTTTAAGAAGAAAAGGTCAAGTATAAAGGTCATTCTCAAAATATTCTTTGAAACATAGGTCAAATTTCATGGAATGTTGACCTCGATTTACGATTGACTTACAGGGTCAATTGCAAATTCTTCCAAAATAATCGGAAAAAAATACAACCAACTCATAAGTGGACCAACTTATAGGGGAGTATATATGTTATTATTCAGATCAGGGCCCTTGGGAATAAGTTTAAGCTGCATTGGGGGATCAGAGTTTTACAAAGGAGTATGTAGGGAAAAAGTTTTTAAGAGGTGAAAAGATCACAATAATATTAAAAGACAATAAGTAAAATCCTTTTTTAAAATCATGAGCCATGGGGTTAGGGTTGGGCTGAAATCAGAGATCCAAATTTTTACTTAATGCATGTGTACAGGAAAAAATTCCACGAGAACAGCAGGGTCATGTTGATTGTACTGATATTGAAGCATCCCAATATTGTGTGGATTCAACTTTGATTTAATCAAAATAAATAAAATACCCCATCTGGTATAACTAAGGCACATAGCATCAAAGGGTGGGGAGTGTCTGGCCCTCATTTTTTTCCAAATACAGCTTTTTACTATTGAAAATGTTAATTGAAAGGCCGGTTGGACCCCTACTTTTTGTCGCAGTATGGTCAGATAAGGGTAATGTAGTAAAATTTGGTACGGAAAGAAGTTGGAACACCCCACTCAACCCCCAAAATAGGATTTTCGAGTTTGGACAAATTTTTTTGCTTTTCATTTTTTTTTTCAGGTAAGTTGAATTTTTTTCTCTGGCTGCCCCCCCCCCGCGCACTTTCAAAAACGATGCTACGCCCGTGATATTATACTGTATAGCAGAAAGAGGTACATGTATAGCGCGGCGCCCTTTCCCTATATATCGCCTACTACCATGTCCACCCCTACTAATGTGTTCGGAACCTTTTATTTTTCGGTGTTCTGCAAATTATAAAACTCGAAGAGTTCAGAATAGCTCTGCCAGTAGCTCTGGCGAGATTAAGCGAGACTACAGCGAGATAAGGTAAATTATTCACGGAAATATGGCTAGGAAGTGACTTCCACGTGGAGACATGGTAAACAGAAAAGTTATCTTGCATTTCATATTTCACCACAGTATAATATCTGTAGATATGTACTTCAGTCTCTCTTGAATTCATTCAAACTTCAATGAGTATTCCTTTTGAAATTATTTTCTGCAGTTATGTATTATAATTTATTTTTGAACAAAAATACTTGCAAGGAAACTGGGACTATTTTTTTTTTTTTTTGGCGTTAGATTAGCAAATGAAGTACCAACATGGCTTAAACTGAAAAATCAGCTGAATGAGTTGAATTGCATTGTGGGCTACTACGGATACTATAGGAATTTTACGCTTGGGAAAAACCCAAATCTACAGGCGATCGGAAAGGCACAATGAACATTTTTTTTTTCATGCATTTCGTAGATGAAAAGTAATTTGTCCATTTTTATTCTATTATTCCCATGCTCACAATTACAAACAATTCATTTGTTAAATAAACGTGGAATTCTAGCTTTTCTCAAAGTCAGACTGTAAGGCGATTTAATTGCGTCTGTATTCCTTTGTTGTACTATCGGTGAATACAATTGTCAGGTGGTTTCCCTGGCCAAAAACACGTGACCACGGGTGTTGTAATGTGAAAAAATGTGCTGGTGTTCTGAACGTGATACAGACTACATATTATTATGTAATATTTCTAGTTAACAATTAACGTAACGACAAATTGCAAACACCAGACTAGTGACATCTTTCATTGTTTCTAATCATTTATTTTTTTTAAAACAGTTTTTTTTTTTTAAAAAATTGGTTTTTGCAGTGCATTTAATATCGATCTTAGATAGACCTGAACCACGTGTTCGAAGTAAAATGTAAACATGTAGTTGTCCAGTATACGTTGCTATTCATTCAACGATTGGTCAGTTGTTTGTGGTAAGATCCTCTGTGCGCATTAATAACAATAGCCATATAAGGTAAACAAAGGGAAACACATTTTTCATAGGACATGTTTTTAAAAGAAACAGACTATAGCAATTTCTTGTTTACTGCCAATTTTATTTATAAAACCGGTTCTACCCTATAACCTTTGAATGGGTCAACATACACCACGTGTCCTGAATTTAAATCACAATAACATTACTAGGGGTGATGTCATGGAAAGCAACCATTTAAGGAATCACTGTCTAGTTAGTAGAGTATGCCAGGGCATCAACGATAGTTGGAAACGTGGGATAATTTGCATAACGGGCGAAGCCCGCTATGCATAAATTATCCCAATTTTCCAACTATCGTTGATGTCCCTGGCATACTCTACTAACTAGACAGTGATTCCTTATATTTCCATTTCATTTTGAAATAAAATTGTAAATTTAGATTTTAAAAATGTAGACTAATAGATTTAAATTACACGAGGCCTCACATGTTAATTTCAATAGTCCCCGCCCACTGACGTCAAACACAAAGACAGCCGCACGAGATTTACATGCATATTAGGCCTCCTTAGAGTCTGACACAAAGACAGCCGCACGAGAATTACATGCATATTAGGCCTTCTTAGCTCCTGACCTTTCGCTTGGCGAAATTTGCATTCCGTTAGAATGATCAAGAAATCAACTCTCCTAACTTTCAAAGAGTTATCACAGAGAAAACAAATAGAAATGGAAATATTCCTATATATACATTTACTCTGTGTATAATGGTATAGGATATATACGTGAGCTAGTACAATAATTTTATATCTTTGACTAATTTGGCCGGAATTTAGGAAATCGGCTTTATGAATTGAATGCGGAACTACCTTTATAATACACCCCTACTAATGTTATTGTGATTTAAATTCAGGACACGTGATGTATGTTGACCCATTCAAAGGTTATAGGGTAGAACCGGTTTTATAAATAAAATTGGCAGTAAACAAGAAATTGCTATAGTCTGTTTCTTTTAAAAACATGTCCTATGAAAAATGTGTTTCCCTTTGTTTACCTTATATGGCTATTGTTATTAATGCGCACAGAGGATCTTACCACAAACAACTGACCAATCGTTGAATGAATAGCAACGTATACTGGACAACTACATGTTAACATTTTACTTCGAACACGTGGTTCAGGTCTATCTAAGATCGATATTAAATGCACTGCAAAAACCAATTTTTTAAAAAAAAAAAAAAACTGTTTTAAAAAAAATAAATGATTAGAAACAATGAAAGATGTCACTAGTCTGGTGTTTGCAATTTGTCGTTACGTTAATTGTTAACTAGAAATATTACATAATAATATGTAGTCTGTATCACGTTCAGAACACCAGCACATTTTTTCACATTACAACACCCGTGGTCACGTGTTTTTGGCCAGGGAACCCACCTGACAATTGTATTCACCGATAGTACAACAAAGGAATACAGACGCAATTAAATCGCCTTACAGTCTGACTTTGAGAAAAGCTAGAATTCCACGTTTATTTAACAAATGAATTGTTTGTAATTGTGAGCATGGGGATAATAGAATAAAAATGGACAAATTACTTTTCATCTACGAAATGCATGAAAAAAAAAATGTTCATTATGCCTTTCCGATCGCCTGTAGATTTGGGTTTTTCCCAAGCGTAAAATTCCTATAGTATCCGTAGTAGCCCACAATGCAATTCAACTCATTCAGCTGATTTTTCAGTTTAAGCCATGTTGGTACCTCATTTGCTAATCTAACGCCAAAAAAAATAGTCCCAGTTTCCTTGCAAGTATTTTTGTTCAAAAATAAATTATAATACATAACTGCAGAAAATAATTTCAAAAGGAATACTCATTGAAGTTTGAATGAATTCAAGAGAGACTGAAGTACATTTCTACAGATATTATACTGTGGTGAAATATGAAATGCAAGATAACTTTTCTGTTTACCATGTCTCCACGTGGAAGTCACTTCCTAGCCATATTTCTGTGAATAATTTACCTTATCTCGCTGTAGTCTCGCTTAATCTCGCCAGAGCTACTGGCAGAGCTATTCTGAACTCCTCGAGTTTTATAATTTGCAGAACACCGAAAAATAAAAGGTTCCGAACACATTAGTAGGGGTGTATTAGTCATCCAGTACCTTAGTGTCCATACCTAATCCGCTCAACTTCCGGTTGCCCCAGTTTTGTGGAACAATCTTTAAATTATCGTGTGGTGCGTACTTAATGCCGTGGCTATCTATAGTAAACATTTTTATGTTTGTAAATCTATTTGCAACAATTTTTCAGTAGAGGAATGAATAATCTTTCAATTGTTTTAATTTTTCATAAATTTCTCCAGAGGAACCCCCTGCAGACACCATACTGGCTGTTTTAGCAAGCTCTTCGTGGGTCAAACGCCGCATACTGTGTAACTCTTTTTCTGAGTTTTTAATTAGTACAAACATAAAGAACAAAAAGCCAAAGAAAAAAATAGAAATTTATCCCCTCAAAAACGTATTGACACGATTTTAATTTTTTCTATGATTTGTAATTGGTTACGCTTCAGTAAACATTGTAGTTATTTATCAGCTAAGACATTTAAATGTTTTTTTTTTTTTATTAAAGTAATATACTTATATATCAAATACATCATAAACAAGTTTTGAAAAATCAAAATATTAATTTCTTTTGGCGGTGCGATAGCAATTTTGTCTAGTGTATATTTGGAGAAAGTTTGGCAATTTTAGTCTCTGTCAGGATGATTTATTTACTCTCTCTATCTTATTACAGAACAAGGAGTATTTTTAAAGACATTCTTCGTGAAGGGAAGGAAAATCGAGAGTTTTGCCGAACTTCTGATATTCTTTCCTACTGTTTCAGAATATCACTTTCATTCAATAAATGAATTACAGTATTTCATTGTTGAAAATGTAATTAAACCCATTAGATTCCCGATTTTCCTGGTTTAAGTTGGTTCAGATACACATCTTTGTACTTTTTAAATGTACACTCAATAATTCTCCACACATCCTCACAGACATTTGACGTTTTATGTATTGTACTTCCCATAAAAAATTAGTAAATCCATTGATCTCATTTGAGATAAATTGACTATTTCTGCCTACTTGATTAATTTGAATTTGTTTATAGCTAGACTTATCAAATATTAAAAAATATTGAAAACTTTTGGTTGTTAATTTCTAAATGCGCTATATTGTATAGGTCATGTGGTATACTAAATATGCTATACCTCTTTTCGTGTTATAAACTTTCGTGAGGAAATTTAGTTGTTTCAAAAGTAAACATATTTTGTATTTAATCATATAAACAAATTCATCAGAAATTTAATTTCATCGACAAACATTTTCAAAGGGTTAAAAGGAAATTAATTCTCTATAAAGACGAACACTTGTAATTTTTTTTGTCAATTATCCAACTGTAATTAAAAGATTGTTTTATACGTTACTTCTAAAATATAGTCCTATAAATGGATGTGTTCGTTAATTACAGTTCTTCTATTAGTTGCCAAACATATCGACCCCTGTCTTGCAACATTTCAATTACCTCTGGTGCTGAGTTAAGATTTTTGGCGTTTTCAAGTTCGATATTGTACAAATCTTCCTGAGTAAATTTCAAATATTCAGACCATCTCTGTATCATAAGTTGCAAAACATATTCGAGTTTATCCTCAAATAAGCTCTGTTCCGTGATTGGTTGGCTGTCTTTATTTTCAGATGTGTAACTTCTTTCTATAGTTTCTGCGCTGTCTGTCTTGTCGCTGTGATTATTCTTATCGATGCCATACAAATCTAAATCCAATCCTTGTATTTGGCCTGATCCTTCTGGGATAGGTTGAAATGCAGTCATGTTTAAAATGTCTTGAAAATTGTTTTGAATAGACGCAGCATTCAGTATGCACGGTAACCCTTCCGAATCATTGCGCATGCGTTTCTCATCTGTTCCAAGAAGTTCCATCGCTCTTTGCACTCGCCGTTGTAAAAATTCGTCTGTTCCAGCCAATGCCATTCGTAAATTCTTTTTACCCATTGCTGGAGGTACATTCATCTCAACATGCAGTGGATTGGGATTGACAAATCTGATGGAGTATACCTTGTTACTCGGCTTCGGAAGAATCAAACGTTCGCTTTGCTGTTCTCTTTCTCGTACGATCGGTGCAACCTCTTGACCCAATTGTGATAGATATTGGTGATCAAGTTGAAGATTCTTTAAAACAGACGATGATCCTTGGTTCTCGCATTTCTTTGGTGAAGTCTCCTCTTCTTTGTTCTTATGTAAAACCCATATCGTCTTCACAGGCGTGGAGTTAGAGGAGCAAGATGTCTTTGGTGTCGTCACTTCTATCTGGATACTGGAACTCGAAGACGTCTGTTCTGTTTGTTTCGAGAACTTTTGTTGTAAGAAATTTGCCAGCACAGACGAAGTACCAGTATCTTTGGAATGTTTCGCACTTTGATCATTTCCTGAAGAAACATTTTGTCTTGTGGATGTTTCTTTCATGTTTGCTTGTTTTGACGGCATGTTGATCATTGTGACGTTAACGTTCTGGCGGCAAAGTGAACGGTAAACGTTACCACAGTAAAACACAGTTATAGCGAACACGCTCATAAAGAATTAAAGAGTCAAAATGGACTTTCTCTGGCACTTGACCTTAAGCGCATTTTACTGTACACCGTTATTAGCAATTTACAACCAATTCTTCTTTCAGTTTGAATTAATGTGAGATAATTCATTTTATCATCATTATTTTAACACTGTCTTTGGTTTAATTTCTCATTCTTAAATCATGCCGCCTTAAAATTCACAATGTTTGAGTTCTCTTGTTTCTATCAGAAAGTTGCAGTTAGAATTCTAAATGCAATTTTCTGCCAGAGGCAAGAGAACTTTCTTAAATGGAAATTTTAGAAAAAAAAAACTTTTTTAAATTAATTTTAGCAATGGCATAGAAACATACTGAGATACAAAAAAACACAAAACAACATATGTGATGATTTCGGAAACATATGTAATGATTAAAATTCTTGTTAGCGGTTGACAAATACAGCATTGCAAAGAAATGATGATACAATAAATAAATGATAATGGATATTTTTCTCTATTGATGTATTTAAAAGTTATAAGGCCAAACAAAAAAATATGTGTGGTTCCGGTTACACCTCCAAAAAAATTAGGGTAGGTAGGTAGGGATTTTTTTTTTTAACAAAATGATTTTCTTAATTATTCTAAATAATACTTATCACTACTTTGCAAATGACATTTAGATGTGGTGTGATAAAATACTAGTCAGTATTGGTAGGGGACACCTACATGCTAGCTTGCTTTGGATTTAACACTAATAAACACTTGCACTATGTTGTGCAAGGAGGCTGTCATTGCTGAAACTAAAACTTAAACCGGAGCCATTGATGGAAATTGGGGAAAATTCCGGAAAAAATATGAAAATTGTCAAAAAAAAGTTTAGGGTCGGGGGGTATAAAATAGGGACGGTCGGGTAACCGGAATCACACATATTTTTTTACTTGGCCTAACACACAAATACATGTAATAATTAACGGATTACTATATATTGCACCTTTTTGACAATTATTTACACAGATATTCAACAAATAAATGAAGACTTATCAATACAAATATACAATGTCGATCACATTCGTTTCAATCGTAAAATTCAAAATACATGTGTATTTCCAAAGACAGCAAATTGCCGTTACAGTCTCATCTGTTATCTTCAGAAGAATGACAGCTTATCGAATTACTCTACAAACCTCCAACAAATGCTTATGCAGATACCTTTTCTGAGCGAAAGATCGTCCACATTTTTGACATGAAAAGTTCTTGCTGGTCACGGAATGAATCAGCATATGTGAACGAAGATTGCTCTTGTCAGCAAATGCTTTATCACAATCTTCATGTGGACAAACAAACGGACGTTCCCCTGTGTGCGTGCGCATGTGTCCTTTAAGCAACCAAGAGCGCGTGAATACTTTTCCGCAGACGTCACATTTGTTCTTCGGCTGGGCGGTGTGAGTTCTCAGATGAGTTGTATAGTTGGCTGAGACGTAAAATTCCTTTTCACAAACCTCACATTTAAAGGGGGGTAATTCTGTAAATGCAGGTTTGGCTTGAAAGATGACCCCTGAGCGAATGGTAGTAATAGTTGGAGCAGTAAAGGTAGTTATGGTTGGTGTTGGATTTGTGGACATAATGGCAGCGGGACCTGATAATTTGAGATCAGACATCGCAGCAGTGACGGACTGTGTAGGAGACGGGTATTTCGAACAATCTCCAATTTCTGTCCGATTCTCTATAGACGTCACTTGAAAATCACAGGTCGCCTCCCGTATCCTTTCTTCTATGGGTTGCAAACCGGACAGAGCCTCTAATATGTTTCTCGATGGGTCCGATTTTGTTGTGGACTCTGTATAGTCCATGCATTGATAACGGAATTCTTTACTTTGTGCGATGATACTGTTGCAAAAATCGTCATCAGAACCAGATTCGAAGCTATCTTCATCACTTTCAAAATCGAGCAGATGATATTGTCTGGATTTTCTGGAATGACCAATAGTTATCTGCATGGATTCCTCTTCCCTGGAATCGAATTCTTTGGAGTCGTTCCCACAAAGATCCAGATCAGGAACCTTAAAGCCGAGGTAAAATCTAGTCACAAATGGAAGATGGTGCATGGACTTCTGTTTCTGGTTACACGAGCTCTTGTAGTTTTGTCTTCGTTTCATTTCGGTCGTTTCTTGAGCGTACATGTACTTCGTTGCTCCTGAAAACATAGGCGTGACCGACACCTTTCTTATTGCCAGACCAGATCGTGTTGTCATGACATTTTGGTCGAACTCTGAAAGAAAATACAACCAAGATTTAGGTTTGATAATAAATACACGAAGCAATATATCACATAATGTTTGGAGGAAGCATGTTTAAAATTTTTTTAATTGACAGTTAGGTTAAGATGGACAGGGGGAACCCGAATATTTCCTCTCCACTCAACCTCCCTCTCTCAATAACACTTCATCCCATCTAACTTTTTCCCCTTCCCCCTTCTTACATCCTCCCAAGCCAGAGGTCCTGAGTCAACACGTTGCCGTTTGTCCAACGGCAACGTGTTGACTCAGGACCCCTGGCTTGCGAGGATGCCCTTCTTACACCCCCTCTTATTCTGATATCGAATTACAGGGTTATTTGAAATTGAATAGACTACCCGGGTATTTCATCAAATAATTGTGGTTTTCCGGGTTTTTGTTTCGTAGAATAAGAATAAAATATCGGAGTTCTAATGTTACAACAAATACTAGTAGATACTAACAACAAATACTAGTAGATATCAGCTGACGAAAAAGTTCTTCCCTTCATAACCACATTAAAATATCTATTAGAATGTGATTTAGTATGCTCTAAGCACAAAATAATGCTAGACCAGGGTCGGGCAGGAGGAAGGGGGAGGGGAGGCACAATCAACAAATATTTCAGAATTTGTCGAAAAATAATTTCAAGGGGTAAGCAGCCGGGTGTTTGGGGTGCATGAAAAAGTATGCATGAAAATTACATTGTTTACGTTTTAGGCCATTTTGTTTCTCACTTTACATGTATGCCCCCAACCTGAACCACTCCTAAAATTGCATTTCATTTACTACTCGAATTTTCCCATAAACCATAAAATTAAATTGTTTCGTTGAATTCCCAGCTGTATACCTCAGGAAACTAAAAAGAGGAGGGGATTATATTGGTTTGAAATATGCGGTGTACATGCTGTATGCTAAATCCATCAACACAATTTTATACTTGAAAGTACTCAACCCGCCTTTTCAATATTTATCTTCGGTAACTAAGAGCTGAACTCTGACTGTCTAATAAGAATACAACCATCCAAAAATTAAGTTGTAAGGAAAGTGCAATATTACACATCAGCATATATATTTATTCTCGTTTTGCTTATGTGACTAATATTTTATTTTAAAAAAAATAAGCAACTGGACAGGCTATTTAAAACAATTCAATTCTTGATTTATTTCATCAGCTAGGTAACCACAATTAAGAAGCGCACCTAATAATTGGTGGTCGAATTATATTTTCATGTTCTGAGATCATCCCTGGTCACCGACATAGAGCACCTGCTAGCCATACAAGTATGTCAAACAAGTTTATAAGCCGCGGTAATTTGAAAATTTGGAGTGTTATTGATAGGAAAAAATATTTTTTCAATATATATTACTTTTCTAGTAGGTTAATTTATTTTTTCAAGATAGCTATATGATGAAATTGGTTCCAGCATCTGCACTTCGTAAACTCAGAAACTAACATCATTTACTGACAATATACTGTTGCAACAATACAAATAGTCTATCTTTGAAATATGCAAACCTGAGTGCCTTGTGTATTTTCGAGATCTGTAGTTTCGAACTGAATGCATTAAACATTTCGGCATTTTGTCTCTTCTTTTCTACTTCTGTGAACACAATCGCACGAAAACCGTTATTTACGTTATTTACATGGCGTTCGTCTGCATCCTTGGAGATATGCCGCGTGCGATGACGTTAGTTGCCAGGGCACCTTGCTGTGTCTTTTAGGGGTTGTTTCAACGAACAAAAAGAAACGCAGTGTTATTGAGTTGTCGCGCTTTGAATCTTCAACCAAAATTAAATCTGCGCAATTTATCCTACATTGTTAGACTTTAACAGCAATGAAAAGATAATGTATTTGCATTTTTTTTAAAAAAAATAATCTTAAATATTTTTTATAACAAATATTCAGCAAAATCAATGTTCTCAGACTGTTAAGGGAACGAATTGTCATCCGATTGTTTGCACTTGAGGTGAAAGTTATGTGAGCTTTTCTGATCAACTGTTGTCCGGCGTCCGTCTATCTAGCTGTCCTTAAGCTTGCTTCATTTTTAGCTTACATGAAGGTTCAAGTGAGCTTTTGTGATCAAAATGTGTCCGTTGTTTGTCGTCGTTGTCATAAACTTTTCACATTTTCATCTTCTTCTCTAGAACTACCGAGCAAATGTCAACCAAACTTTCCACAAAACATCCTTAAGTGAAGGCGATTCAAGTTTGTTCAAATGAAGGGCCACATCTTCTTTCCAAGTGAGATAATTAAGAAATAGTAAAAATTGGTTAATTGGGGTCATTTTAAAATCCTCTCAAGAACCACAGGACCAGAAAAGATGAAACTTATATGTAAGCTTCCAGATATAGTACATAGGATCTTAATTGTTCAAATCATGGCCCCTTTGGGTAGGATAGGGCCACAATAGGGGGCCAAAGTTAAACATTGGAGTATATAGGGGGAAATCTTAGAATTTTTTTTTTTTCAAGAATGGAGGTGCAAACATCCTCAGTATTGCAGATACAACTTGAGTTTGTTCAAATCATGGCACCTGGGGGAAGGGTGGTGCCACATTAGGGGATCGAAGTTTTATGAGGGAAGATATGGAGGAAATGTTTTAAAACCTTCTCCCCAAGAAAAAGAGGGCTGTTACCAGTAACATTAAGGTGCAATCATCCTTAGGTAGTACAGATTCAAGGTTGTTCAAATCATGGTCCCCGGCGGTAGGAGGGGAGGGGGGCAAAATAGGAGATCAACGTTTTACATGGGATATATGTTAAAAAAATATTTTAAAATCTTCTTTTCAAGATCAGCAGGGCCATGATTAGTGATATTAAATGCAAGCATTCACAGTAGTGCAGATTCATGGTTGTTCAACTGAATCATTTTAAAAGGAAATTAAGACATTCTATTTAAACATCTAGCAGTGTCACACTAAATCGCATTCATATGGAAACATTCCAAAGTTGTGTGGAATGAATTTTTGTCTTTAAGTAATAGATTCTGGTTAGAGTAAGGCCTAAATCAGGGAGCAGTTTTCACTTAGTGCATGTGAACAGCAAGGCAATTTAGTCATAAGTGAAACCAGAATGCGTTGATTGAAGTTAGGTTATGTCATGACCCTCTGGGGCTAGGGTAGGGTCACAATATGGTGAAAGAAGTTTTCCTGTAAATAAAATGGATTTCTTTTTAAAATCTTGTGCTGATTGACAGTAGGACCATTGTGACTCAGGTGAGCGGTTTGGCCCATGCACCTCTTCTTTTTAAAGAAATAACTAAATCAATTTTTAAAAAAGATAATGATCTTTATGTGAGTGAAGTCTAACAGAATTTTGCCTTTTCTATAGTTTCTCATGCATTTCTTACTTCCCTCTCATTATATACTTGCTTAAAATAAACTTATGATTATATCCTAGTGCTTCTTTATCAAAATTATTTGATTATAGTGGAATTAGCAAATTCTTACTGAACAGCATATAACAGTACAAACTCCTCACCTATTCTTTCAAAAACATGAAGCCTGAAATGACTCAGAGTGGAATAAATTACGATAAAAGTACCCAATAATTCATTGGTTTCAAATTACCGGTATTCTTAGAAACTATATTGGAATTCATCACGATAAAAGTACTTAAAAATTCTTACAATGACACTGGATTCAAAGTACTGGTATTTCAATATTACTTCATTTGCTTGTAGGCTATATAAATAGTATATATATAGCGCATCTGATCAGCAACATTAAAACACATCGGTCATATTTCATTATTCATGAACAATCCTACATGTATGCATCTATGTCGCAATCGTGAAGCCATCTTTATTCAGTACATAGCTCGTGGTGTATTGACATAACAGAAATATGCCGTCAGTATGGAAATTATTTTATAATTTTAGAAATTACGTTTAATTCATTGATTCATTAATGACATTGTAATGGCTAGAAGTACTAACACTATTTTTCCAATAATTTATTGTCGATCCAACCTTGGTGGTTCTACGAAGAATTTTACTAATTACTGGAATGCAATGTAATTTGTAATATTAATTTGGAAAGATGTTTTGTTACAAAAAATATTAAGTACATCCAAATGTTATAAAATTCTGTAATTGATGACAAACACTGATCCCGTCAAAGTTTATTTCCTTCGGAAGAGTAAGAAAGTCAGTTGCCACATTAGTATGCATTATTATACCTATGTAGTTTATAGATTCAAGTTGATCAAATCAAGGTTGCTAACGCTGAGGCGGGGTAACATGTACATTTACTATCAGAATTTATGACATATTGTCTGTTCTCCTCAATTAATTTCTGCTCTTCCAAATTGTTGTAAATATGTACATGTACCTCTACCATTTATGTTTCATTTTGTGTGTGTGTGTGAGAAAGAGAGAGAGAGAAATAAATGAATATACATGTAATACGCGCGAACTGGAGTCAGTGTGGACAATATACTATGTTAGGCCTATAGGTCCAATTTCCAAAAGAAGAACTTGTATTCAATAACCATTTAAATTTAATACAATGATGAAAAAAAATTAAAAAAGCAGCGACTTTGGAGAAATTTCTAGAAATTTGAAATAATTGACTGATTTCACTAATTGAATTTCCTTTTCTCCTCCTCCCTTATTTTTTTTCAATATTCTAAAACCCGGAGTCATCATATTTTTAATTCTTAAACGTCTATACATGTACCTTGTTAATTAATTTCTTAATTCTTTCGAGAAGACAACCATTTTATAATTTTTGAAGATTGTAATTCAATTTACAAAAGATTGATGGATACGGATTTATTTCCCTTTTTAGCAAAGTTCTCATTGACAGGTTAAGATATGTACTTGAGGATTTGAACAATCTAATTTTATCCATTGCTGACCACATTGTAAACTTATAATAATTGTCGCAATTTTTATGCGATGGATTTTCTTTCCTCTTTGTAAATTTATACATAAAATTCTGCAAAAGAATTATTAAAAAAGAAAAGAAAAAAACCTGAAGCTGACCTTAAAGCTTCATTTTAGAAGATTGTTAGGTTTACCCAATTCTGTATCCCAATTTTGTTTAGCATTTATGAAAGTATAAATTCTAATTTGTTAAAAAACAAAACAAACAATCAGACAGACAGACAGACAAACAAACAAACAAAAAAACAACAACAACATATTACCCTTTCAATATATCGATAGTAAGATCAACGATTTTATTTACACAAAACGTTTTGACGACCCCGATTACTCCGGTTTTTAGAACTGTAAACCCCAAAAATCAATAGCTAGAATTTTGTTTGTCAAATATTCTACAATTGCTGAAATCCTATTATGTCAATAAGTCAATAAAAATTCCACCTGTCGCTCTGCTAGATGATTTCAATGCTATTCAGCATCCAGACACACACAACTGATGGAAAAACCGCGAGAAGTATCGAAATGGCTACAGCAGCTGATTGTAAAATATATTGATTTCATATATACACAACCCAACAGAATACTGCGCTACAAAGTATTAATTATTCATTTGTCGTGAAGCTGCTAAACTATATACAATTTTATTCCATATAGTGTGATATTTTGCGCTATCCTTTTTCACATCTGATACGCAAGAGGTATATTTCGGAGCGAGGAGTAAACTTGCTTCTTTCAGTGAGAAAAAAAATTCTAATGTCGGGCGCTTCCGTTGGAAATATATAGGTAAATATCCATCATATCGAGTGTCTTGTTTATAATAAGAAAACTTATCTACACATGTGTTCTTAGTCGTCGGTCTTGTGTTTTCACATTGCCCGGCGATGAGGGAAACTCGAGTCAAACCTGTTCGCCCAATAACACATGGGCGACCTTATTAGGCAAATCGTTTCTCCGATCTTCTGAAGAGCAAGCGAATGCAATGGCCGACATCTTTCGCATAATTTATTCGCCCTACCGAAGCTGTTTTCGACTCGGCTCGCAGTGTCTTTTCCCCCGATTTGATTATGATTAAGACCGTAAGACACTTTCGAACACAAATTATCATTGCTTTTAAGATGGCGCGTGGAAGATAGCGACCACCACTGCTGGAATAAGTGATGTAGATTGGGGAAAAGTGACCAAAGTGCTACCGAAATTAACTCTATTACCGATAACGGCCATGCTTTAAGAAGGATCATTCAAGTACATGCGATCGTAGAAGATAGCTGTTGTGCATTATCGTCCTCACAATATATTCTCCATGTGTAGTTAAGTGCACTAATTTTGTAAACTGGAAAATTCATACCGATTGGATTTTAAAATTATGAATAATGATGCTGCTTGCGGATTGAAATAATTGTGTTAATGTTTTCATATTTACAATTTTACAATTGACGGATTTACTGTAAACTTTCTGAAAAAAATATATATAAATGTGAAATTGGAAAATTACTAAGACCACGTGAGTATGCATGAATGATAAAGGGGTACTTAGCTGGCTCTTTCGAAGATGTCGATAACTTTGGTCCATTCGAGTGTAGGGTTATATTGGAGTTAGTGGTCCTACGACACATGTCCCGTAGGTCCAAATGACAACTGGCGGAGGGCGTTTCGATTTTGAGGATGGAGGGACATACTGCGGGGGCTGGGAGGAAGGGAAAGCACACGGTCACGGAGTTTGCACGGGACCCAAGGGGCAAGGGGAGTATTCTGGCGCCTGGCAGTTTGGTTTCGAAATTTCTGGTGTTTACACATGG